GGACTCGCCGACTTGGGGACTGGGCCGGCCAGGATTGCAGGCCCACCTGCGCTGCCCGTCTTGGGGCTAGGCCGCTGGCACGACTGGGGCCTTTGGGGGTCCCTCCAGGCGCTAGCCCGGCCGCGGGTCAACTGCAGTACGTACCACCGTCCACCGCCCACCGCCCACCGTCTCAATCTTTTGGTCTACCAGCCTTCGCCTTCGGGCCTGCCTGCACTTGCACCCAAGTAGGCACTGCCCCGTGCGCCCTGGAACAGCCACTGCAAAATCAGCCAGCACCAGAAGCCTGCCATCCAATGCCAGAAACCACACTGGGGACCGAGGCGGGGCCCGTACTCGACAAACACGACTCTCTTTTCGCATCTGGCCTCGCCGCTAGCAGGCGGAACGGGTCCTCGTTGGGGGGAATTCGGACAGACCTGGTGGATGAATCGTGATGATTGCTCTCCCATTTCGCTGCACATTGGCATTGGTCGCTTCTCCGTATCATACAACCCACGATGATGAGGATTCTGTGGAGCAAACGAGTGCCGAGCATCTAAATACAGCACACCACCAACGGCCGCGAGACACAGGCCCTGCAAGCCTCGCTGGGAGATCAACAGCAACTTGCTTTCCGGAGACCGGAATCTTGCAACGGTTGTTGATCCAGCCCAGCATCCAGCCATCCGAGCCAGACCCGGCAGCTGAGAGAGACAGGCTGACTCCCCCCTGCATCTGCATCTGCATCTGCTGTGCATTGAGGCAAAAACAAAGAGAGCTACCCTTACGGAGCTACAAGGTACTTCCAGCTTGCCTGCCTGCCTGCTCTGCCCGTGGCTGCGTTCACACTCTTCGAGTCTTCTGGTCTCTCGCCTCTCGTCGCTAGAATGAGAGCTCACCCATAATTACGGCACCACCTGCGTCATCGGCAAAGAGCGTAGAGTTAGAGTGGAAAAGAGACAGCAATCACATTGGAATTTGCACTCAATGCACATGGATCCCATCGCCAATTGAGGATCCGCAGCCTTTGATTTCTGACGAAATAGCACCAACAAGCGCGCCGTTCCAGGGTCGTCGCCTGTCCCGTGCTCGCCTAGCGACATTGAAGCTACAGAGGGATCAAGGGGATCTCTTTCTGCCTCTCTCTCTATCACCCAAGCCCATCGCAGCTACTTGCCAAACGAGCTCCGGCCCTACCCATGGTAAGTCAAGTTTGTTCAGAGCTCAGAGCTCGGAGCTCGGAGCCCAGCACCCGGAAACCCTGGACGGCGCCTCGCCTGCAACCAGTCATGGGCTCATGCGACGCTCCAATTTCAGATCGCTTATTAGTTAACTTAAGGGGACCTTCCCAAAACTGAGAAGTGTGTCTGCCTATGTGTACCAATTGGACCAGCAAAAGGGGCACAGCCTTTGAGCGACCACCCACTCCAGCTACCAGTCAACACCTGGGCATAGTCCTGTGGCCCTAAACCAGGACACCAGTCAAGCAACCCGTCAGGACGGGACCCTATCTGATTCAGCATCGTGCTAAATTAGACCTGGGTCTGCTCAAAAAAAAAGTCCCCTTCCCCCTTTTCACGCTCTGGTCATCGGGCCATGGGCCATTTTGGCACCAGAACTAACAACTTACCTTACCGTTATCGCGACCTGACTGGGTGGCATGGATATGTTACCGCGGCCGATTCCATGGCTGGCACAAACTGGTGGGTTTCGGGAGCCCGTGAAATTTCCGAGACTATGCTGTGAGTGGCATAAGTTACTTAAACACCACCACAGCAGCACGGGCTCCATCGGAACCAGTCGACGGCGATACTGATGACTTGACTCAACCTTGCCTGCGCAGCCACGCTGTCAGAGCACTGCTGTCAAACCAGTGCACACGAGTACACGACACGTCTGGATGCACCAAGGTCCATCGCCTGCAGATCACTCCGGCCTACGATTCCCCGTCGCGTGCAGCTCACCAACGGCTGGACGAGCTTCAATGTCGGCCAATGGCGCGTGCTACTACAGCCCCCTGCTCCTGCATCCCCGCGAGCCAGTCGGAGAGATCGTCGACGTGTGGTAGAAGGTCTAGCCCGCCTGATCACTTGCAGTGGCCGTGCCACCTTATCACGAGGTCTCTCGTCTTGAAAATCCAAGGGTCCAGACAAGCTTCACATGCGAACCTGCCAAGGCTTGATTTCACCCTGCCCAACACCAAGTCGTGGTCTTCTAGTCGTACCTGTCTGCATGTGTCCCAGGAGAATCCCAGCTTCGCCCGACTAGTCGATGACCGACTTGTCGTGGCATAGCATTTGGCCCAACTGTCTGTCACCTTGCCGCCAGGGCGGGCGGGTCTGCGAGGCCGCTCTCGACCCTGCAGGACTTGAAACATAACTAGGTCGCTATTCTGCACTCTGTGGTTTGCTGGAGTTGGCGGTTGACGCTCTCCATGACTCGAGACTTGCAGGAACTCGCCTGCGCTTCAGCACACTGTCGCCGCCGCTAAATATAGTCCGCAAGCCCATCCTCCCAGTCCTCCCCGCATTTCTAGAGAGGCCCAGAGGCCATACCGTTCTGATTCAGGACTAACACACACAGATGTTGGCATGGTGGTCACGCAGCTGAACCACACTTTTGGGTGGAGATCGTGGCCTAGCTTACTCGCGTTGCGAATAACAGTTGCCAAAGACCCTTACTGATTTAGGTGATGAACATGGTAGGCGGCACTGACTGCACTCCTGGAGCCGTTCTCGGCTGATCGACAGTTGCGGGCTAATCGTGGGCCATGCCATAGTAGTTTCTAGACGCTGGCGTAGACCATGCTTGACCGTGGCTCCCATCCGCTAAGATAGCAATATTATTTGACATCTGTCTCCTCATTCCACACGCGCAGTCTCTGCCGGCAGATGTTGCCCTATCCCGGAAGACAGAACGAGCGGATTGACCACACCCCTTGACACTACACGTTTGAGGACAACAGCTAGCCCCCCGTCAGGCGAACTGTGCTCACCCCATAGTTCGCTCCGCCGCGGTTTGAACCTGCCAGATCAGCGGCATTAAGCGGGAGAAGACTATAGTACCGCACTGCGAGCAGCACCGGCTCTGCCAACCTGCCCGGGCCGGTCTCACTAGCACGAGGGGGCAGACGATGGCGGGCAAGGGTAACCGACCCGGATGTCAATCCGCCGAGTTATACCCACAAGCCAGGCCTTACGCCCGGGCTAATATAGGTGAACTTCCAGTAGCAGATGTCTCCGCGGTAAGTCCACCTCTCGGCACCTAAATACCGCCTGTCTGAAATGCCTATCCATCTGGACAATTGGGTTTCAATGCAGCTATAAGAGGCTCCACCGGCAGTGTTCCAACAGGCTCTCATAGCGTTCATCACCGCCGACCTCATGGTCTTCAGGTTTGGCCCATGCCATTCGTTCTTAGAGGTCCTTCTTCTGCCTGGGACGCCATAGCAAGCACCAGATCTTGGGTTTCTGCAAATTTCCCGCTTGCTTACATGTCTTGTCCTCATGCGTTGCCGGGATTGCTCTAGCTACTGCGTATCGGGAGCTTATAGTATGTTCTCGCAAGGGGTGACTTCCGCGCGCTGAATGAAACTTCACATGGACATATTATCGTTCGTGTAGTTGGACCCCGATGCCATCCATGCTGAGTCATCTGGTCAAGTCTATAGCTCAGGCCAGGCCGTCAACATCTATACGGTTGCTCTTTACGCTGTCTGTAGGCAGCAAACCCCATCAGTTTATGTTCGTTCTCCATGATGCAGGATGTTTCTGGATAATTCAGGGCACACCTCTGAGAATATGCCAGCTGTATCTGCTATACGTCCTCAAAAACACTGGGCGTCTAGTGAATCTTCACGTAATTTGCTCGAGGTAGTCTGCCAGGTCTATATCCTGGCTCCATTTCCTGACGTCTAGGCTCAATCTCAATGTGTCACTACTGGAGGAGGCTTCTCTTTGCAAGTATTGAAGGAGCCTTGAGAACGGGTCAACACAGTCAGGTGTGGAAACAACACTTAGCATTATGATCATGGAGGCTTAGCGATCAGTCTAAGGTGATGTCGTGGGCCACCATCCGTTACCGGCTGACTTGCACCTACTGCAGTCATTGACATTATCAGGAAGCATGCAAGTCCCGTGGAAAAGCAGCTTGCGGACGAAAGGTTTCATTAATCTCCGTCCCAGGTCAGGCATACAGCTCTTCAAGTCTTCTATAGACGCTTGGTCCAACCAGACGGTTCCTAACCTGCAGTCCAAAGGACGGTCGGAGTACGCCAGAGAGGCTTAGCCGGAAGAAGCTCACGCTTTCTCGGCCCTAAACACTGATGTTGTTACGTGAACAAGGCTGGTCTATACTGCATTTAGCTTCGGTCTGTCTCAAGGCGTATTTGGTGGACGATCATTCCGGCTGGGGCTTGGCAGCTGAAGCCCGAACCGTTCGCTCATATGCGCCAAACAAGTGCCACCATGAGCCACCCGCATGCCTATTCCCGGACCGTATTTCTTTGAAGAATCCAGAGCCTTTTATCTGTTATTTGGTGCCGCTGGGGAACATGTTCGCGCGACTGGCTTGACGACTAACTCACAACCAGGGCCATGGCCAGACAAGAAACTCACGGGCTCCGGCGATGGCGCCGCGCTAGAGACGCGTCCACGGAAAAGCGACAGTACGCATCGGAGCCCCTGGCCTTGAACCTTATTCCTCTGGAGCTGCAGCTCCTGGTCATATCGCATCTCGACGTCGCCAACACCGCCCGCCTGCGGCAGGTGTGCCGGTTCTACCGGCAGCTCGTGACGCCGGACTTCGTCGCGAAGCAGTTCATCCGCGACGGCGCGCAGGACCCGGAGCTGCAGTGGTTCTGCACGGCGTGCCTGGCGCGGCCGTCGCGGGCGCGGCTGATGCTCGACGAGGGCCGCGCCGCGTGCCCGTGGCGCTCGCTCTGCTTCCGCTGCTTCCGGGCCCGCGGCGGGCTCCGGCGCCACGAGCGCGAGCACGGCCGGACGGTGCTCCTGGTGCCGGGCGGGCCCCAGGCGAGCGTCGTTGCCGTGCCGTGCCACTTCTGCGGGTGGCTTTTGGCGCCCGGGGGCCCGGCGCCGGCGCCGGAGAGGCCCGCCCACCGCCCGTGTCGCGTCAAGATCAGGCTGGTCAGCTGGGCCTGGATCCTGCTGGGCGTGCTGCAGCTCGTGCTGGGCTTCATGGGTGCTGTTGCGGCGTGGAGTAACTACGAAGAGATGCGGGAGATTTACGTACCCGGCACTGTAGGTTTCGGCCCTCTTCTCACCAGCCTTATTCAAGTCCCTTGTCGTCAGAGTATAGGGCACAACTCTTTACCAAAACTTGCTAATTTGGCTTATAGCTCAATTTTGCGCTGATGTGGGTGTCACTCATCGTCGTTGGCTTTCAGAAGGTCCATATCAGGCGATGGAGGATTACTATCAAACCTTGGCTCATCCCATTCACCTTGGAGTCTGCAATGACAATTATATGGCTTCCGCCGCTGATAGCGAATGCAAGGGATCTGGCACCTATGATCGAGACATCGATGGACACTTTCCCAGTGTTCTCTCTTGCAGTCTTTGCTGCAAACTTGTAAGTCAACGTTCTGATAAACTTGGGCTTCTTTGCTGTAGCCAAAATTCAAGTAAAAGAGGTTTTTGTACTAATTGCACCCCAGTGGTTTCCGGCTGTTCAACTCTATCGGCTACGCTCTCTTGTTCTTTGACTTTGACCCGAGGGACGTGTATCTTCCGGACCTGTCCGCCGCACAAAAGCTGTTGCGTGCGGGCAGCACATTCATGATATATTGGGCGGTTATTCCGTGAAGCATCGCCTAAGCCTCTATAACAGTCTCATGGAAGGCATGGCTCACATCTCGACCCAGTCTCAGAGCCCTTCCGCACTTGTCTGTACCATATCTTCAGGCATATCCTGGGTGAATAGAAGAAGTCCCCGGGACACCCCAGGGATACCGTTGATGATGGTGGCTTATCTTCAACTCTGATGTCGTCTTCATGCAGACTCCTTCATGCATATAGCATAACAAGACCGTCGGCCTTGTAACCTCAAAACCGGGCTCTCCGGGTACCGACTAATCGAATATAAACATGGCGACCCACCATCAGAATGGCGTCATGAGTTCCTAGTGAGAGAACACCACGCACACTACCAGGCTCCTGCATGTGCACACATGTCAGGGCGACACCTCTCCAGTAATGCACCTGCAGCACATGACGACGATGCATGGCTGCAACGGCCCGAGAGATTGGCATGCGTAAAGGGTGGGCACTCATCTATTACTGACCGTTCGTGAAGCTGGGTGACCCCTGCACCGGTAGTGGATGGCGGTTCATTGCGATCACCAGTCACACTCGGTTCTGCCAGGCACGCCCGCCAAGGTGCGCCCCAGGCTGCTCCCCGCAATACCAATGCCGCGAATTCCACCAACAGCAAGGGCTCGATGCAACCATCAACGAACCTGTCTCTGCGCAAGAGGGCTTCTTGGGTTTTGGCCAGCATGACACGATGTCGCGACTGGTACGGCGTCCCGACATTTTCTCCGTCCGGTATCCGTCCGGACTGCATCCGGATCTTGGGCCGAATGACGATCGATTGCGCAATTGGGAGAGTTAGACACCAGACTCCCTTCGGCAGCGTCTGCCGTCCACCGACCACGGCGCCCAGCACTCGCGCACTATCTGGCCTGGGGGGCCCGCCGGGTTTGGCCCCGGTCGGTTGCCGAAAGGGGTCATCAACTCGGAGCTAGATATCGCAGGGCGGTTTTTCATATAGAGTTCACGACTGCTGACCAGGTGCTGTGGCGGTCTGGGTGGTATATATTGAGCACGCCTGCCCGGCCGTAGTCTGGAGAAATATATTGCTTTGGTGTCCATCTCTCAGAGCCTCATCTTCCAAGCAAATATTGAGCAGTGCCCACAGAGTGTTTTCCACACTGGCCAATATGCAGTCCTTCCTCTTCCTTGGTCTCCTGCCCCTGCTGGCGCTCGCGGCGCCCAGCGAGCCCTCGCTCGAGAAGAGAGCCATCACCTGTCTGAAGGTCGGCTCCACCGCAACGGCGACGTGGAAGAATAGCGCCGGCAAGACCTGCAAGTGGACCGGAACCGTGGGCAGCAACTTCGGAACCAACTCGGGGAACGGTGGAGAGTAGGTCGCCTCTCTGGTGTTGGGGAATAAATACAAGAGAATACACCAATGCTGACTTCTACACCGTAGCTACTCGTGCAATGGCCGTTGTGGTGCCGGATGCAGCGGCGCCTCCCTTGGCAATGCATACACTCAGGACTGCTTCTCACATGATATCTGCTCCTGGTTCAACAACGCCAGCGGCGGCTCAAGGTAATTGTCACATAAATCGCATACGACGAACAATCACTGACCGTGTCGGCCATAGCGACGCCAACTGCGGTGCGGCGTATGACGCGGCGGTCGACGATACTGTTGGAGGTGTCCTGGCTGGCTGCGGTGGAACGAACCCTTCGAACGCCGCGTCGCCTCCCAAGACTTCGCCAACTTGCAGTTAGAATCAGTGTACATCATAGAGCGATGGTCATGTTTCAAAGCGGGAGTTCCGGCTTGCTTGATGAGTGGCTGTAAAGATAGCGAAAGCAATCAATTATCATTGGACCACCTTTTCCTAACCGGTGTTCTGCCCTTTTTGAGTCATGACTCCAAGCCTATCCCCGGCAACCTAAGAATACAGCTTCCTACAGTTCCTCGTTCGAATTCGATGACTCGGTCGACGGGTCGTCCAAATCGATGAAAAGCTTGACTCCCCAGTTCTTGCCCGGGTTGCTCATCCTCACCTTCTTGTCCTGCTTGGCAACCTCCTTCAGCTCCTCGTCCGTAAACTTGATATCCAAAGCTCCCAGGTTCGCGTCAAGGTGCTTCTCGCTCGAGCTCTTAGGGATTACCACAGTATCTCTCGCCAGGCCCCAGGCCAGGATCGTCTGAGCAACCGTTGCGTTCTTGGCCTCGGCCAGCTTCTCCCAGAACGGGTCTTCCAGGATGCTAGGCAAACCCCGGTGGTAAATGGGGTTGGTGTTGGCCAGCGGCGAGTAGGCGATGACTTTGATGCCAACCTCGCGGTGCCAGTCGACGAAGTCCTGCTGCTGCAGGTACGGGTGCGTCTCGAATTCATGCGCGTACGGGCAGATGGTGCAGATATCCAGGATGGCCTCGACGTCGCGCTTGGCAAAGTTGGACACGCCGATATGCCGCGTCAGGCCCGCCCGCACCAGGTCCTCCATCGTCCGCCACGTGTCGACGAGGCTGGTCTTCTTGTCCAGCTTCGTGCCCTCTCCCGGCACGAATGCCACCGGCCAGTGAATCAAGTATAGATCCAGCTGGTCGACGCCCAGATCCTCGATCGACTTGCGGATCGCGGCGTGGGCCTCGGCATCCCGGTGATCGTAGTTCCACAGCTTGCTGGTCACCCAAATGGACTCCCGGCCCACGCCTGAAGCGGCGATTCCCCTGCCGGTCTTATCCTCGTTTCCTGCAATTGGTTCTTAGTCATTGTGCTGTATAGAAAGACGGTGCCCTGTGAGATTGGATCCTTTACTGTATATGCGAGCAGCATCAATATGGTTATAGCCATTTTGAAGGGCGTACTCGACGGCATGCGCGACCTGCATCGAAGTCAATCAACTATTTCAAAGAGAACCGCCATGTGGTTTCGAATGAGTCGGGCCGCCCACCTCATCTCTTTCAGACAGCCAGGTGCCCAGGCCGAAAGCCGGAATCTCCTTCACTCTTGCGGCCGAGCTGTCCGCCGCAGCAATTGGCGCTCCGAAGAGGGCAGCGGCGCAGAGTACTGAAAGCATGCGAGTGGCCGACATATTAGCTCGATTCTACAATACACAGTTGGTAACTTGTTGAGTCGCGTGCGCGATTAATACGGAGAGCAGAGAAAAACGAAAGACGGCGGTCCGTCCCGCTTTTGATACGCGAGGCCCCGCATCCGACGGGATGGAGATGCCGTGATTGATATATTGCATCATCGCCCATGCGAGACGAGAGGAATGCATTCATTAGCTTGAAGCCAATTGAACAGATGTGTCCCGTCGTTGTACATGGATAGTTCTTTGTTACTGTGATGATAGCATTTATTTCTATGTAGGATCTGTGATTCGAAGTGTATAATATCAACGCTCTTATGCTTGGGCTTGCAGGCCTCAACTCCACATAGGTATCCGCACCTCTCTAGCATCTAAGCCATCTGAATCTATAGTGGAATTACCCCAGGCACTAACTCTAATCCAAGGCTATTAGTTTCCTGTGAAGAGTCTATGAGATTTCTTAGGTACGGGATCTGATATAACTACTCTGTAAAGTCAGTACTGTTTTGCATGCATGACGTGCATGACTTCGACCCGATCTGTCCATGCCAAGCTCTCCTGTCCGAGACCCCTGTTACAGTGCTCAACTACAATCGGATCCTCTATGGAGCCGTATGTGAGCCAAATTCGAGCCATGCACACCGACCTTTCACTCATGGGGTAGTCACGTCAATTCTGAGCCCAATTGATACGTTCAAGTTCAACAAGAGTTGCTTGGAAGAACGTGCTGGGCTCGCGGTGGAGGTAAAGCAGGCGTATATTCATCGCATCGACTTACCGTGTACGGGTATTGTAAGGAAGTGTCCAGAGCTTATTCATGACACATACCGCACGCTTAAGAACAGAGTTATTTGGTTTAGATCTTGCAATTTCAGTATGTCCAAAACCGTACGCCTATCCCCATTGATGCTGATCCCAATGCCTCGGTTGCGCCTGTAATGTGCAGACAGCTACAAGTTCATGTCGAGCGCCAGCCCTCAAGTCCTGCTGACCTCGATGGTGATTGATCCCAGAGCGTTCCCCTCGAAATCCTCGCCGGAGCTCTTCACGTCCCACCCAGCGGACACGTCCGAGATGACAAAAGTGTTGGACCCGTCCCACGGACAGTTGTACGAGATCTGGGCGATCCTTTGTGCCTCCCCTCCACCAGTACCCTTCTCCAAGATGTCTACCGTTCCCTCCAAACCCGAGGGTGCATTCTCCCGCCCCGTGTGGCCGTAGGCATAGGACGCATGGGGGGCAATGTCTTTGTCCTCAATCTCAGCATATGAGATCTCGATGCGGTCTGACAGGTCTCCAGTGCCAGCGAATGGGTAGCCCCAATGGTCGCCTGCGTTGGGGAACTTCAGCTTCAGCGTGTCCGCGGAAGACTTATTGGAGACGCGGAGGAGCATCCACTGATCCCAACCCATGATTGCCAAGTATGTGGTGCTCGTAGAGCTTTTGAGGGCTGGTTCAGAGTAAAGTGATGCTTAAGACGAGATTGGAAGTAGCAGCTTAAGATGCTGATGAATTGAGGTCTTGAGTTCGAAGGTATGCCGCAAATCCCCAGGGGTCCAAGTCGATGAGCCATCGTGCGCACCTGACCCAGGTTCCGTTTCCAAAGGTTACGCCCGATACTCCTTTGGTGCTAGTTGTTCGTTACGCATGGTGCGCTGAATGACCCAAGAGTGCCAGCTTGGTCGCTAGTCGGCTCGAGCTACCCACATTGTGTGTCCCGAGAGCCGCTCCGGCCGCGGGCCGCAACCGTCTGGTTAACAGCGGTGAGAGTAGGGTCATTAGGAACAATCTGGCAAAGTCATTCGGTCTAAAAATCGTAGGGACCGGATAGATTCACGTTTTGAAAGTGGTAATATAGAAGAAGCTGCAGTCGTTCAAGGCGTTGATACTTATTCTATGTTGAACAAGACTACTACTGCCTACAATTATGCCGGTGACACGAGTCAGTGGGTATTTAACATACGTCCCAGTTTCTTCAAATCATCATGAATGATGAGGTTACGTTCTGCCACCGAGATATGTGTCCCAAAGTCCGAAATTGCATGCACCTACCGAAATGGCTATGGGGAACGATGAAAGATAGGCCACAACACCTCTGCCTCGCCGAAGATGACAATACTCCGGAGTAGCCTGTGTACCAGTCTTAGATGAGTCGCACAGACATGCTGCATGCATCGTGACTTCAAGGTTTGAATACATGGCTGTGCAGCACTGTATGCCGAAGAACGCCCCCCTCTGGTATATGTTTTGACCGAAACAAGGCCCTTAGCGCCGTCAGTTTTTGCGTCGAGCAAATAAACTCCAATACACCACGCTTAGATCAAAACACAGATAGGCCGGGGAAGTATGAGAGCGAAGCCTCATTGCTGCGTGAAACTCCACTCGTCGTTGCTTCCGACATTCGACATGAGATTCTCGAAATCGGCATCAAACGAGTTGTACATTTCCACCCCCAGCATGGCGTCAATCGATTGCTCTAGGAAGCCTTGCATGGCCACTGCTGCATCATTATCGAAGTTCATGTACCCATCGTACGGCTGTATGCCTGGCACGAAACTATTGACAATGCCTGCTGGCAGCGGCTCAGAGCCAGCAGCTAGTGGGATCTGTGCCACTTCTTGGGCTACAGGGTCGGGCCGCAACTGTATTGCAGCAGGTTTCTTCGGCATGCTCCTTTCTGTGATGATGTCGATTTTGGCGCATAATTCCCGCACGATATTGGCGGCGCTCGCTGCGATGGCGAAGCTGTCCCCAAATGTCTCGAATACAGCGGCTGAGAGATCAATGGCCTTCCGCGCAAAGGGTGTCACATCATTCTGAGGCTCCGCAAGAACGAAGCCAAGCAAGGTCATGGCAGCGTTCCATTGCCACTGGAAAGCCTCATGCCAGCCTGCAAGGATTGCTGTCGAGCATATAACCTGGTGCATGATGTGTGTCAGTGCCATCGCGTGCTCGGCACACTTCGTCGCGCTTCTGCTGGCGAAAGGAGTTGGTGCTGCTGCTGGGATAAATGAGACGAAGGGGCGATATAAACCAAGGCTTAGATTGTGAAATAGTAATTCCAGAAGCAAGCGCTGTCTTTGAAGCCACAGTGGCGCGAATTGTTCAATATCGAGTATTGATCTGTCGGTGGAAAGGGGGATGCCGCCTTGCCGTCCTGTCCTGAGCACATCTGGTACATCGCTCGCCCAGTCTGCTAGTTGCTTCATGTGCGGTGCCATAAATTCTGCGTAGGCCTCCAGAAGTCGCGAGTCTTCCCAGATATTCGGTGCAGTGCAGGGCACATTGAGGGTCTTGGGGTCTTTGTCATATAAGGCGGTGTGGGCCGCACGAGCGACCAACATCAACCTGGTGTTGTGGATGTTCCAGGTGAGCCAGGTGACATCCTCCCCTAGGGGGGCAAAACTCGACCCTGATAACATTGCCGTCTTGTGGTGATCATCCGGAAGATTGCACGCAGTGGCCGAGCTGTGTGTCAGGAATGGGCGCCCCAATTTCATGCTCATTTTACTTTCCAGAACATAGAGCACCCACCATAGACGCCGTCTCAGTTCCTTTTGTCTCTGCGGCATGCCTTCCGGCGGATCCAGATGCAGACCCAGCATATAAGCAGTTCGGACGGCAAGGGCGCAAGCGCCATCGGAAATGTTCTGAAACGATCCACAGCAAAGATATATGGATGATAGAATGTGGCACTGTAAAGTCGCAATCGTAGGGCTCTCTAGGTCTGATGCCAGCAGTGTCTGACTGCGTTCATAGTGCCACCTCCCAGAGATGGTCGCATCGTTATTGTCCACCGTCGCTCTGGACGCTGCACTGATCTCGCGCCTAGCATCCCGCAATAAGGCCATGCCATACTGCATGCACAGAGCGATGACGATGTCAACGAGTGCGGATGGCTTTCGGACCTTACTCGACGTTGTCCACAAGGACCTGTAATGTTCCTTGAACTCGATCTCATCCAAGATCGGGTATGCCGTATGGTAAGACTGCCAGAAAAGACCAAGGAAATACTCTTCTTGGGTTGGGCTCAGATATTTGCCCGCGTTGATAGATTCAGCTGTGCCTGTGGCGCTTCGGCGGGCTTGATCGTCCATTGAATGGGTAGCTGGCCCATCCATTAGTTTGCTCGCAGAATTTGGTAGCATGTGGTTGGCTGAGTGAGTTTGATGGAGGGCAAGGCTCAGAAAGTTGTTCATGCGTCCAATGAAAAAGAATAGAGACGAGGGGCCAAACCACGTCTTCTGCGATGACCGAGCTGTGTTGATCTGTATGCCCTCCCAAAACCTTTTGAGGGGGTAGGTTTCGACTGCTGCATTGTCGCGAGCACTGTGCTGCTCGGGAGACGCCGAGAGCGCCAGGCTCGGAGGCGTGTGAAGTTGATGAACGTCGTCCTCGGACTTGGCGCGACTGCGCTCTTGGTGAAGCTGTTGCTCCAGTTCTTCCACCCGTGACCTCAGGTTCTCGATCTCTCGAAAAGCCTGAGGAAGTGTCGCGATCTTGTTTGTTCCGTTGTTACTACAATGCCCACCCCTCTTCCTGCAATTGGAACAGGGCTGGTCACTATCACACTTAACTCGGTGCACACGGCACCAGTCGCAGGCTCGGGCAACTTGACTCCGTTTTTTCCGTGGCCGGATGGCCATTGTGGATTCCGGGGGTCCGGACCCGCTCGACCCCCGCGGTCCTTGATCACTGGCGAATGTGGTAAACATGGTTCATGAGCCGGCCGGCCAAGGCAGAATACAAGTCAGAAGAGGTGAAGTCGGATTTAGGTCCGTAGAGCGTCGGCCTTTCGGTGCAGACCCCCTCTTTCGCCCCGCATCAGGCTAATCCCATCAGCAAGCGGGACGGGTACTTGGGGGTTTGATGAGCGCAGCCAATCGCGTTTTTGAATTTCTCGATGATCGCGACCGGGATGGGGCGGCTCGAAGCGTGTGTTCACTATTTCTTATCCGTTGGTGTGCTGCGACTGTAAGTGAATGCGAATTGTTGCCGCGATTAGTACTGGATGTGAGGCCCCAATTCCCGAGGCTCCGAACTCCGGTTTAATGTTTTTGCGTCTTGTACTGGCGCCAACTTAGTACCCTCAAGCATTGTTCCAGCGACTTCTTGCCGCCTCCCTAACGAATGGCTACAATCAGTAGCTGGTACCTATAACGGTGCACAACACGATGATCACCGACTTCTCGTCAATATGTACGAAGTTGCCTTAGGATATGATTGAGGCATAATAAAATGGGTTAATGAGCATGTGCTGTTTGACAACCTACTACACCAACACCTGGCACCACATTCCCCAGACTGCTGCTCCCCGTCGATCCGCGTCAAGCCTCATCCAAAGTGTGGAATATATAGTGACCATGAAGCAATGTATGCTTCAGGGGGGAGGTTTGGTAAACAACAAATCATCTGCACAATCAAAATACAGCGGGAGGCAATATAGGCAGCCGCTCGGAAGCCATACAGTGTGTATACGGGCCAAGGTTTTCTCTCCGGCCATTTAGTACCATATAAAACAACACATAGTCCATAACATAGCGAGATAGGCAAAAGTGCTAACATAGACACCAAAGACGAGACCCTCCAGAGCTGCTGGTTAACAGTTCAGGCCACCACGTGGATTGCTCCAAACGGTATAGCGAGACAAGCCCCAAAAGGTTAACAAAACCGGAAAGGCTAGGCCAAGATTTTGGTCGAAGAACCTGTCGATACTCAGCTGCGCCATAAATTCGCCTCCTATGGATCTCATCCGGTGATGTGAATATTCGTGGCTGGTCGGCAAAGATCGCTTGAGCTTAGATCGAGACTAAAGGTCTACTGGTCCCAATTCGAGCCCTGAACTACATTGAGCGAACGGCTGCTGATCATCTGGCTTTGTTGGCACGTGAAAATGGATCCTTGTACCAATACTGACGGCCTTGGGCTTCTCAAAATAGAGACACCATGTGGCCATAGGCAACAATGCAAAACTTGCCACCCCAAGCTCAAGCTGCGTGATTGGCAATTGTCGACTAAACCTTGTGATCAAGTCGATGATGAACCATGAGATCTTCCAAATTGCGAGGAACTTGGCAATCTATCAGTTTTAGACTGGTCGACAATCTCCTGATTTATAATAGGCGTTCTGGTATTTAGCAAACCGCAATTTATCGCATCCACAACCGCTGTCGCTCGTAGCATGATTTCGTCTCAGTAAAAAACCGCTTCAGGTGTGTTGCTATGAGTAGCGAACGGTCTCAAAAAAAAAAAAAAAAAGAATACAAACGAAACCCTCACATGGCAATATAATGAGAATGGGTCCTCGCCCATAGTTGAATACTGCTCCCCATGTTAGCGATATCTTGTAGGTAGCCTTTCGTTCGATTGAATGCAGTAAGAAAATTTCCAACCCAGTCATGGTTCGAAGGTTCCAGGGACAACCTTGCCGTGACTTGCATTTCTTTGTTCACTCTGCTTGTTTTCTTCAGCTTTCTCTGTATCGAGTTTGCACTGCCGAAGTCGACTATTTCTCTCTGCAATACCAGTTCCGGAGCAAATAGTGCTACCAGAGCAATGCCAAGCTGCACTATATATGGCCTCACATAACGACATAGGCGATTGTAGAGCCAGGGGACTTCGCACTATTTGCACTCACACGCAGTCGCTGAAGTCGCCGATGTGTCCGCTATCACATCTAGGTGAAGTGCTGAGTAGATGGATGCAACGAGGCTCAATACACATAGCCAAACTATACCCAACGTAGGCCGCAGTTGAGGAGTCGCGACAAAGCCAACTTGGTGGGTTGGGAAGGTGCAGTTGGGAGCAGATGTGGTGAACATCGTGGGCGCGACAGGACTGTCGTAACTTGACGAGGCAGATGTGTTTAAGGCAAGTTTTTAGGTTGAACACTGGCGATACTTCGTCCGACTATGATAATTAACGGATTTGAAGGTGAGGCAACTAACCTGTTAATACCCCGAGAAGAAAAAACAATAGGGACAAGACATAAATGAGAAGAGCAAGGGAGAAAGCTCTCATGCCCACGCAAGGCTGCGATAGTGTCAGATCAGGAATACGTTTAGACAATGGCGCAGTACATTAACATGCGCAAATCTTACCTACTTTCAGATAGTATGAAGATTGAGAATGTAGTATAGAGACTTGGCGTCTGGTCCAGGATCTCAGGCATGATTTAATTGGTTTAAGGACCAGCCGTGGCTGGGGCCATGCTCCTAAGGCTGGTGTCCTGCTGCTGACGAAAATACATAATTACATATGTTATGTTAAAGTGGCTGTGCTATGACAGTATCTTAGACAGTTATCCTCACGACCATTTGTGCACTTGTCACAAATTGAGGTGCCAGGGCCAAGTATGCCTACGTGAGGCTTGTGTTGGAGTATGTTTCACCCGGAACCTAAACTTCGAATCATTTTGTTCGTCGAGAGTGCTGCTATATCGAAGCAATTTCGTCAATGTTCACTTTGAAATATCTTCAAAAGATTTCCAAGCTGGGTTGGCAATGAATATATTTAAGACGCTGCTCACTTGTGGGTGGCTTGTGCGGTAATATGCAGTAGTGCTAGCCGACGGCCAGCTGCGCAGTAGCTCAGACTGAGAAGGATTCGCTTCCTGCCTGCTGTCGCCTTGTTGTTCTTTAAGCGTTTCACTACATTTATTGATGCGGAGACTGCAAATTCTTTTGGAAAGTGCTAGCGGTCAAGCCGTGATCTAAAAGTCGTATCGCGTGATCTTTTCTGATTCTGTCATGTTCGCATCTTGAGGCTCCTAAAGGCTAGGATATTCTCGACTTTTCACTAGATACTCCCTTCTTGACTCTCATCAGTGACATTGACTGTATTGTAAAAGACGAGGAAGGCCACTTTGGATCTATTTCTCACCAGCTCCGTGAATTCATGGCGATATTCGTGGTATTCCTGTTTCTAGGTAATCACGAACCATGCCATCTAAAGTGGTTAGAAACTAAGGACACGATTTTTGAATGCAATGAATCTATTGCAGCCAAGAACAATAATTAGGAGAAACTTGGAAGATAGAATCTCGTTCCGCAGTCAAGATTTTGAGACGCACTAGATTGATTTCCCGGTACTTGCAATAGTGCAGAGCTGTGAGTTTGATTGTCGTAGTCGATATCTTTTTAGCAATGTGAAGGCTGAGCTGCAGGCCTTGGTACTTTTGCCTGCATCAAGTCTTAGACGGGCAATGGATCTGGTTTTCTGCCTTGTAGCGATTCAACGTTGTTTATGAAGAACTTGTATGAGTATTCTCCGAGTCGCAGAACAAAGCAACAGCGCGAATTAGCTCTCACACATCACCCAAGGTCCGGTAACTCCATGGGGATATGTGGGGATGTAGAGTTCCGATTTGCTATGCTACCAAAATTCTAAAATACAAACTTTTTTGGGACCAGCTCTATAAGGTAGCCGTTCTTGGAGAAGTCAGTTGGGATCTTATGACTGGTCAGAATCGATGGGTTGTCTACTGACCGGATCTTCAACAAAAGCGATCTGGCTTAGAATCGTTTGAAACTTGGGATCGAGAGCACCATTCGCAAGTCCCATATCATTGTGTTCCCACTTTGTGAACGGGATAACGTCATTTGGACCTTCATTGACGTCTTTCACCACCTTGACTCCAGATGTCCTTAGTCTTTCAACTGCAGCTCCCACATCCGGAACAGAGAAACCGAGATGATTAAACCCAAGATGCGGTGGTCTACTACCAGGGACTATAATGCTCTCTTTTTGCGCCTCAGATCCGTGGTAGTGGACAAGCTCCAAGAGGCCAAGTGTGTTCGACATAACGGCCATCGTATCATGGGAAAATGCCGCTGGGTCAGCTCGGTGTGCTGGTGTTTGTGGATACCCAAGGAAATATACCGTGAATGGACCAGTATTTTGGACAAAGACGGTGCGCATGCCCATCAATTCAATGTAAAAGTGCATAGTGGGCTTGGGATCATGAATTCGCAACATTGTGTGATATAGCTGGTAGCCTATTGTAGGGTGTCCTTCGGGTACTGGCGCATTTGTTTCCAAATTGCCTGGAATCGGTGGGCCGACTGGAGGATAGTCGGATGAATGCAGATGAAGTTGGCTGTGAGACGCCATGATTAGGGATAAGATGTTAGTCACGTCAACCTTGGGGGAAATGCATGCTATGGAAAAAGAACCTATACACCTGGTGACTTGCACAGGGACTGTGTGCCCAAATATATGTTTTGACACACTACAATATATGCAGCTCCCGATGGGTATGCTACCCCACATCCCGTATCTTCACCCACAAAGTCTTTGGAGAGCAGCTTTTAGTTTGAACCTTCTGTGGCGGATCGGTTCTAGTCCGCAAGCTACTACAAGCCACTGTGCCATACAGCAATACGTCTTAGCTCGATTTGAGAGGCGCTGAGAACTCCAAAAAAAAAAAAAAATCTTTGTCTTGAAGGCGTATGTCTGGGCGCTGACAGCCTCGCCGTTTGTGTACCTTGTAACCTTGTGCTTCCCTCCACCTACGGAGCCGTGGGTTCAGGCGAGTGCAGTCATTACACATCGAGATAAGGGTATCAGGTTGGATCAGGACTCAAAGCAGGTGTTTAATTCATTCTTGTATACTCTTCCTAGAGGTGCATGATTCAAATCTGAAATGAGGGGCCACGACGCTCGCATGGTTCTGTGGAGAATCCTAACGCTAGGTAGGTTATACACGACTAACGCGTTGCGTGGCTCCACAAGTGGAATACCTCACCCCACCCCCCGCCCCGATGCTCTTAAGATGGAATGTTTCTGGCAGAAACTGATCCTTCTTTGCAGTGCAAAGACCAGATGCACCCGTTGAGACCAATTGATGAGCATTCATCTACATACAGTGTTCTCCCAGTGTTTTATTTTGTCGCCATTTCTGTCAGTAGCGGTTAGCACGATGCATAAACCGAATAAAGTCTTTTTGAGTGACCATGAGTTTTCACTATTAATCCTACATGAGGTCGACTTGAAGTCTACTTGCCATCTCACTTCCATCACCTACTGTGTTGCCCAGTAGCCCCTGACTTTGCGGCTAGATTTTCTCCGATGCGGTCCAACATCTCGGCGTGGGCCACGCCTTGAGTATCGCATCCAGACAAGATGATCTTGCGGGACCATTCACCACGAGGCTTAAGAGTAGCCTTGAACCGCAGAGGCTTCGTAACCAAGCCGTCCGTAGTTGCGGTAGAGTCCACCTCGATCCGCTCGCCCCTCTTTGACAGGCCAGGCGTTATGTTGAAGGCCCACAGCAAACGGGCAATTACAATCCATAGACTATTGCGCGCCACGTGACGCCCAGGGCATACGCGTCTTCCGTACCCGAAACCTACGGTTGGCAGATCTCGCAGCTGACCAGAATTGTTGATTGAATCCAACCAGCGACTGGGCCGGAATGATTCCACATCTGGGCCGAACACGGCCTCTTCACGCGTGATTGCCCAGTGGTTGGCTATGACGACGGAGTTGGCTGGGATCCTGTAACCCTCGTAGGTGCCTCCAACTTTGGTGAAGTGCGGGACGCCTGCAGCTCCTGCAGGTCGCCATCGAAGAACTTCTTCCACGATGGCGTCGATATACGGCAGCCGTGGCCGGTCTTCAAACGTGGGCAGTCTATCTCGCCCAACGACTTTGTCCAGGCAAAACTGAGCTTCGGCCATGAAGCCCCCATCATCCGTAACGCACGCAACGAGGAACCAATACAAGGTCCCCGTGCTAGCATCCAACGCAGCATCGGCCATGATACCGATATCGAGTGCTAATTCTTCGGGTGACATTTCAATAGCTTGGGTATCCAGATACCCTCCCATCTGCTTGCAAAAATTCCAAGCCCTGTCCCGAAGGCCGCGTTGGAGGTTTCCTACATGCAAGGCGCAATTGCGTTGCCAATGGTCCTCGGCCTCGGCTTTCCACGGGGCTAAGAAGCTTGGGAGATTGTTCAACACGGGGAACGAGTCGACCAGATATTTCCCGACCTGCGCCAGCTGATCGAATTCGTGGTTGACTGCATGTGCAGCAAGAAGCACGGGTTCTGAGGCCGACTTCAGACGATACCCGTAGAACAAGGCATAAATAATACTAGCAGTAGTACGTTCGAGATACTCATGGCAGTCAGTCCCTGAACCTCCTGCATTCTCCAGGAGATCAAGCAGTAGTTGCCTGGACTCGAGTTCCTGGAAAGGAAGATAAACAACTGCTGCTCGTTCGTTCAATACTTGACTCTCCATTCTCTGGTGTAGTTTGAAACGCGCGTCATACGGCCTAAGAAGCATGTGCATGCCTTTCAATGCCAGTTCAGATGCCATCTACCGTTCTGTCAGATTGCGCCATGGAGTGAGGGTTGCTCCGTAGAAACGCTTACTACAAAACGAGGGCGGTCTGAAAATATACTGCCTTTCTTGGCTAGCAGATCATGCGCAGCCTTCGTGGTAGATAGAATGATCACAGATTGACCAAGCATATTGAGATGGATAATTTGTCCGTACATCTTGGCCCAGTGATGGTACTGTCGCCATGGATGAGACTTCGGCGCCTGGTGTACATTGCCGATGATGGGCAAAGGAGCTGGTCCAGGCGGGAGAGGCAAATATGAGGATGCTTTGGTGTAGGCTTTGAGACAATACAGAAACGCAAGCGTCACAAATACAAAGCCTGTATATAAGGGAATCAGAGCCATAGCGGTCCTGCGATGACGATGCTTCAGAAAAGTTCCTCGATTTTCTTGTTTTATCCCGAAACCTCTAGATGCATCTAATTAGAGACATTCCGAGGCCAGTTGAGCCAAAGGGTTTGACAACGCTTGAATTGAGTGAAATGTTGGTAACCGATAGAGATTGCGACTCCACGGAACTTCTTGGACCCGTAAGGGAGAAGCTGCTCTTGATGATGTGGCCAACCGAAGGGCGCATGTGTAACCAACCCTCCGTCCGTGGGTGACCGCAGCAAGTATTAACGAGTGGGCCGAACCATCCGTCATCGCCAATTCAAGTCACTCACTCGCTTCACCAGCTGCAACCATCATTGGACGAGGTGTGAGGCGCAGCAGCCTTACCAGATTTCACAACAATGTGGAGTGAGAACCCCCCGCAAGCTTCGTTCTGACTATATCAAACATACTTCATTACGAGCAGAGTTTTGGTGCTAATACAATGGCTTCCATTATCCACCCAGCAGGCATATGGAGAGTATCGGATGATGAGGGCATGGGTGATGACCATGGCAGGAATCTTACGAGGCATGTTTCGTTGCACAGACTTAGCCAGGACCCCATTGCTACTATTGAATCTCTCCCCAGCGCAGCGCTTGAGCTCGTCCGAGTGCAGAGCCATGCTGACGGCATTCCTAATCGAGGTCCCTCCCACGACGGCCTTGGCCAGGAATCCGGAGGTCCTCGCCTACCCATATCCCAAGGCGTCCCGCCGGAGCTCCCAAACCTGCTGGCAGAAGTGGTCTTTGTCCTTACCTGCACCGGCGGCCAGCTGGTCTTTGCCCTTCTGATCGGCCATGTCACTGTAACACAAGCCGTCTTCGCCGCCGCGCTAGGCATCCCACCATCACAGATCCCCTGGCTTATTGGCTCTTTCATGCTCGCGTCCGGCTTGTCGGTGATAATATCTGGCTCGCTGGCTGATCTCGTACCACCGAAGCCGCTCATGGTGGGTGCGTTTCTATGGGAAGCGGTGTGGAATGTGATCGCGGCGATTGCAATCAGCCCGCGGCTGAAAATCCTCTTCTTCGTCGCGAGGGCCATGCAAGGTCTCGCGGTCGGCGTGCTCGTGTCGGCTTCCATGAGTATCCTCGGCCGCGTGTATAGCCCTGGTATCCGCAAAACACGGGTATTCAGCCTGATGGCAGCAGGCTCGCCGCTCGGGTATTGGCTTGGCTGTGTGCAGGCTGGGGGACTAAGCTCGCATCTCCCATGGATATTTGGCAGCACGGCGGTCTTCCTCGCGGTCTGCGCGCTGGCGGCACAGCTGACAATCCCTCCTTTGCAGCCAGCGCAGGATAGTATCAACGACGAAACCCTGTCGTTACGCCATTTTGACTATCTCGGTGCTATGCTGGCGTCTATAGGGTGTAGTTTGGTCATCTTCGGTCTCACCCAAGGGTCCTCGGCGCAGTGGAGCCCGTACACGTATTCCTCTATTATCCTTGGGTTCCTGATGCTCGGGGGCTTTTATTTCGTGGAACAACGGGTCGCTCGCCCGCTTATCCCGAATCAGCTCTGGAAGACGCCAGGGTTTGGCGCACTCCTCGTCTCGTACTTTCTCGGCCTTGGAGCGTATTGTGAGTTCTTAGTGCCCTTGGGAGAGCTTTGGAGCATTGCGTTGAGAATTTGAACATAGCCGGCGCATGGCAGTTCTACGCCATCCAGTTCTGGCAGCGCTACCAGAGTGCCACGCCACTAACTGCAGCCCTCTACCTCCTTCCCAACGGCCTCGTCGGCGTCCTCGCCGCCTATATCGTTTCTAAGACCTTGCACGTTGTGCCCACCCACGTGATACTTACCGCTAGCATGGTCGCCTTCGGCCTCGGCCCCGTCTTCTTTCTCCCTCAAAGCCCAATGTCTGACTACTGGGCGCTTTCTATGCCGGGGGTAGCCCTCGCAACGTTTGGGCCCGATATGAGTTTCGCGGCCGCGGCAATTTTCATCACGAGCAGTGTTCCTAGGAGCTATCAAGGGGCGGCGGGGAGTCTGTTAGTTACAGTTCAGAATCTCACGATGGCGGTGATGACAAGTGTCTGTGAGGCGATCGGGTCGAGGGTAGAGATATTGCCTACTGGAGAGATCGGGTTAAACGGTATTAGGGCGATCTGGTGGTTTGGACTAGCGGCTGCGTTGATGGGGGCATTGATTACAGCGACGATGGTTAGGATCCCAAAGGCGGAAGAAAAGGAACATGTGCAGTGATGGGTATACGTGTTAGAGCATAGTTCTTCCTCGGGCGTAGGAGAACAAAGCCGCTTTTGCATCGAGAGTGAGATGAATCATGGTTCTCCAGCTCGCTCTCAATGATAATAACGGCCAACTCATGCCACATATCAGGTTTCACCCGCATTAACCAAGTAGAAGAATTTGAACATGAAATGCAGATCAGTCTCAGTGCCCCGAATCAGCTATACTAGTGCCATGGTAAGCTAGAACAAGACATTATAGCATTATATAAAGTATTTTGATAAGCTAACTGCATCATATAACCTCTCTCTGTAGAACTGTTCCTCGCTAGTCAATAAATGCTAAGCATGCGGGCTGCGCAGTGGCATATAGCCGTGCGGCGGTTGATATGTCTATCGTCAGCCTGGCAGCAGACACAAGTAGAACTCGGTGCAGTCGTCAACTTTTGCTAATGTCACATGGCCAGCCAAGATAGCTTCGAGATAATACAGGATAGCGACATGCTGTGGCTCGTATAGTTCGTCTTAACGCATCCCATCTCCACGCGCTAGTCGGCCTAGGGTAAGAAATACGCGCTGGCCCAGAGCCAATGATCGGCGCCGGCGCCGGCAATCTCCCTGCCGAGCGGCTTCTAAGCGCCCAATACCTTGACGGGCGCGTAGGGATCTGGAGCCCCCAACTCACCACCAACGACGCCGCCCGCTCATCACGCCCTGCCTTCATTGGGTGGACTATCTCCCAGCTCCCCGGGGCAATCTCTGTTGGTCGCTCGCTGTTCAGGGATCATGCAGCACCGTCAGGGGACTCTGGCTGAATTTAGCACAGCCTCGATGCCAGCTCTGCAGGTTGGAGACCCAGCGGGCCTGAAAAAGCGGCCTCCTGTCCTGCGGTGCCGTCGACCGAGCTGCTGCGAACAGCTCCTCGACTCCGAGGTGAGTTGTTGACGGTGAGCTCTCTCTCTCTCTCTCCTCTCTGTCCCCTTCTTCTCCGTGACATTTTGTTGCTATTCGGGCTCCAAACTGTCGGTAAGCGGCCCTCTCCTGCGTCACAGCCGCTGGGCATCAGCTCGCCAAGCTATACCTAGTACAAGATAGACATGTAAGTGCGGGGCACGGGCTGATTGCCGTCGTACGAAGATCGCCAACCACCCGTGGACTTCAGGCTGACGCTGGATATAGTAGACTGGCCGTTCGCAAGGTGGTCAATTGTCTGTAGTTGGTCTCTGTGAAATCCTGTCCGTGTTGGAAGCATCCAGCGAGCATGTCGAACCAGTACTACCCACGTAGGCGCATCTGCCACCCCACCATGAGCGCATCGTGAAGCTGACTGTCCCATAGCTCCGCCTGGTGCTGGCGGCCCAGCCGGTATAGTACCCTGCCCTCATTCACAACGCTTGTTATAGCTCAGAATGGACCGACTGACTGGCCTTCTCTCTTTCTAGGCCCTCAGAAGTCATATCCTCCTCCTCCCACCTCGCCGCCCGCAAACCAGACAAAGTTCTACCCGCCGCCGCCCGGGACGCCGAGCTTCGCGCCTCCGCAAGCCCAGTCCTACCCGACACCACCACACCAGTCCTACCCGCCGCCGCAGCAGCAGCAACAACAGCAACCGCAACAGCAGCAGCAGCAGAAGAACTACCCGCCCCCGCCCCAGGCCGCCCACCAGAGCGCTTCGCCTCCGCCCCCGATCCAGACCAGCACTCCCGTGAACTACTCCCGTCCTCCCTCCGCCGCCCACCAGACGAACCTGCCCTACCGTGATGCCAACGCCGCCACTCCTCCAGCTAGGGTCTCCGCCGGCGGCCCGCCCGGCTACGACCAAGCTGCCCCGGGTGCACCCGAGGGCTACCCCCAGGAGAAGGGCGGACACTCGGCCCAGGGCAGCGTAGACCTGTCGCGGCATGTGTCGACCATGTCCGCACAGCAGCCGGGCCCCTCGGCCGCCGGCGCACCTCCGGCCGGCCAGTTCCAGGGCGCGCACTCGGCGACGGTCGACGACGTGGGCACGTTCAACGGCGGGTCGTACCGCATCTCGCACCGCGACTGCAACACCATCATCACGATCCAGCTGGCCATGGGGTGCCCGCTGGACGCCAAGCCCGGGGTGCTGATCGCCATGTCGCCGACCATCACGCTCAAGGGCGAGTACAAGTTCAGCATGAAGAAGATGATCGCGGGCGGCGAGGTCGGGCACTCGACCTTCATCGGGCCCGGCGAGCTGCTGCTGGCGCCCAGCATGCTGGGCGACATCACGACGGTGCGGCTGGGCGGCGACGAGAGCTGGAGCGTCAGCAAGGACGCCTACGTGTGCAGCACGCAGGGCGTCGTGCGCGACTACAAGCGCCAGGGCCTGGGCAAGGCCATGTTCTCGGGCGAGGGCCTCTGGGTCCACAAGATCTCGGGCGTCGGCCTCATGTGGATCACCAGCTTCGGCGCCATCATCCGCAAGGACCTGGCCGACGGCGAGAAGTACATTGTCGACAACGGCCACCTCGTCGCCTGGAACGTCAAGTACATCATGGAGCGCGTCGCCAGCGGCGGCATCATGGCCGGCTTCGCCTCGGGCGAGGGCCTGGTGTGCAAGTTCACCGGGCCGGGGACCGTCTTCCTGCAGACCAGGAACCCGGTAAGTGCCTATTCTGGTCCTTTCTTCCATGGTCAATATGGTTCTAACAATTTGCAACAGAGGGCCTTCAGCGCCTACATGACGGGCAATGCTGCACCGCCGTAAAGGAGGTGTGGTCGCCCCGGGGTGTATGAGTAAGAAGAGGTTGAGCTTGAAGTCTAGAGTATTTTGAAGGCGGGGTGCGGTTTAGCAAGAATTGAATGACGATACCGATGATGAATAAAGCGAGTTCTTTCGAGAGGTTGCATTGATGTTCATGACTTGGTATTTATGGCAAAATTGACCCTGGTTCTATTAGATGAGTACATCCTTAAGAGTCGATGAGCCACTTCTGAAATCTCTGTTACTCTCCGCAGTCTGCCTTCAAACGCCTCGTCTAGGAAGCAATGGGTATCAAGAACCTAGTATTCCATACTCCTGTGAATTCAGCAACCCCTGCCAACCGAGCCATGGCGCCCTAGTCCCCAAATTTGTACTTGATCCTCTCGATCCACATGCCAATGTCCTCGACCACCTCCAGCTGCTCCGCCCACTGCTCGCGGCTGTACCGCTTGCCCTTGCCCTTGGCGGCGGACGAGTCGGCCATCTCCTGGTCGCCGTCTCCGTCGGTGTCGAACACGTTGTCCGAGATGATGTGGACCTTGCCGCCGGGGTGGATCTCGAGAGTGATATTGGCGGTCCTGTTCAGGAACGGGAACACAATCTTGAAACGGGGGACCGGGTTCATGGTCAGGGCAATGTCCACGGCGAGCGCCGTCTTCGAGGCATCTCCATTTGTTTCTACAGCGGTAGCCTCCTTCCTCCCGGTCCTCTTCATAAAAGCTGCGAAGTCATCCTGAGCAGCCGCTGCGAAAGTCGATGCCGACTTCTCCTCGGTAGCCTTGGGACGGTAGTGGACAGGCTTGAAGCTCTTCGAGAGCAAGGTTGACAGAAATGCGTATTGACGCAGGGTCGGGAGCATATCCATCAACTGCCGAGGGTGCTCAATGGGGACCTTAGTCAAGACCTGCCCGTACACAGCCCTGTCGATATTGAGCACGTTCTTATGGGTCTCATAATGGTCCTTCCCCTTCCGGGCGAAAGCAGGCACCGCTTGAGAATGTGTGATGATCCGGTTCTCGCTCGGGTCATAGTTTGTCTTCGGGTCGACTGGGAACACCAAGGCATCGAAGGTGACGCTGGTGTTCAGGTTCGGGGCTTGCATTGAAGTGGCATTGTGGATGTGTATGGCGGCACTGGACGAGACGATCAGTGGCGGGTCAAAGGCCGCCACAAACATGACATCAGGAAGCTTTGGTTGGTTCGACATCGCCGAGGGGTCTGATTCCATGCTGCCTTCTTCTCCCTTGTTGGCTGCCGCCGCTGGCAATAAGATGTTATCAAGCTCCTGCCAGTCCAGGATGGGGCCTGTCACGGATAACATCATGTCGTCCGGCAGGTTCTCTGCCTTTTCAACGGCGTCTGGAACCCAATTTTGGGACACCCTGACCGGCATAATGGCCATGCCGTTCTTCGGGGCGCATTCGATCAGGATAGACCAGGTCGTGCCAACGTCGCTATCTACTGTAGTAGATGGCACTCGTCTTCTCTCCTTCCAATAATCCAGGCTCAGTCCAATCCTGTCCCTCGCGTGCATAAGAGGACAACCATGGCGAGTGCAGAGAGCAAGAACTCGAAGGCTGTCCTCGGACTTCTCCTTCAGAGCGGAATCCTTGCGCATCTGTGCCACGTCCCACTTGTGGATCTTGGTCAAGCTCTGGTAGACACCGTCGATAGCATCGTAGCAGTTGAGCGTGGGCAGTACACTAAGCTGGTCCAAGCTGGCTATGCGCTCCAGGTTAGGTTGGAACCTCTCGAGAGTCTTTGTGAGTGCCCATTGACCAGGTGCGAGCTTCAGATCCCGTAGAAGTATATCGGCAGCCTTGCCCACGTGCTCCTGGACACTGGGCGTGGATTCAGGTAGCGTCAGCGCCACATTGTCGACAACGTGATTCGTGATGGAGATCTCCAGGGCGAGACCGGCTCCGGCTATGAAGAGGTTCTTAGACTTGGGTCCAGCCGTGAGGTTGTCTTCCCAGAGGCACTCCAGACCTATGGAGCGGGCGAGCCTCTCCAGGCCCTCATTGCTGACACGGCCCTGGCCGGCAGCCTATTACTTGTTAGATATGCCCACACAGCCCTTTTGGGCGGAATGCTTTCCTCACCTTGACCGTGGTCCCAACCGCATCCATCCGTCTCTTGCGGTCATCCTCGTCTGACCGGCCCATTCCCATGGCGCCCATGCTGATATTATCCAAGCCGAGATCATTAATCCCCAAGGCACCGAGGGCGGCCGTGGCCGAGGGGCTGTCAAAGTTCACGGCGGCGGTGCCATCGGACAGGCCCTTAAGCGTCTGCGAGGTAGCCGGCGACTTCTTAAGCGCTTGGGGCGAGGTTCGCGACCCTTGGGGAGGAGAGAAGGCGGCGTGTGTCTGGGAGTTGGAGAAAGGTGTCGAGACTGGCGGCGTGGGTGCTGCTCCGGCCATCTGCGACGGGGTTCGGCCCTGTTGCGACGGCGCGTGCCGCATCGGCGTGGCCATGGTGGAATGCGAGGTGGTTTATGAGGGAGGATCGAGAACCGGCAGAGCCTAGGCAGTCGCAGTCAGCCGACGTGGGCAGAATCGTTGCTTGGTATCCAGCGGCCGGCTTTCAAGTGTAACTGAGCGTCGGTCGTCAAGTGTCGAGGGTCGGTATAGTTTCGCTCAGAGTCGACCGCTGTCGTTCATGGCCAAATCGTACTGGACTGAGACCTGGGCAGAGCCGACACCCATAGTCCTGGCAACCCAGTCAATTGCAACCACCCGCCGCTAGTGATCAGACAGCCGCGCAGCTTGTCGCAAGTCTCTGGTCCAGGGCGGCTCGGGTAAGGCAGGTGTCTGTTCTATCCTGGCGAAAGTGTGGTGACAGAGTTGAACTTGTGAGGTTAGATGAGTTTGGAGCTATGGTGGGGTCGCGTTGGCCGACGTAACGCGATCTTTCCGCTTGTCGCCGCGGATGACTTGTCACGTCAGCCCATGGAACCCCCAATCATGAGCCTCTCTTGGAACTTGGAGACAAACATTATATCGCTCAATCACACTCATTGAAAGACATGTGAGGAAGTCTGTACCACTGATCTTCCAAAAGCACGACTGCCATCAGTAGCTCAGCAGTAAGCTACCAAGCTGCAGTCATTTCATGCAATGCCCACATACATGCATCAGGTTAGTTGCAGGTATTATGTTTCCACATATATCTCTACAAGGCGCCTATTAGAGTTGATCACAGTGCCACATGGTAGAAACGTCAGATACAGAGACCTAATCGTAGCATTACGGTACCTGTATCCTGTGGGATGGTCAAATAGACCAAGGCAATATCCGCCTAAGCTACGTACCTATTAAACTACATAGGGCAGTCTCATGGTCATAAAGATGAACAAGTCCCGTTCTCAAGAAAGATGTCTAAGCCGACACCGAGAAACACCATACTTTAGTCCGTCACTCCCTCTGGAGCCGCAATCATGTCGTCATAATCAGGACGCCTTGGTGGCCTGTCCGGAGGCAATCGAAACGTGCCCGTCTCGAAGCTTTACGCATGCCAATATCCATTGCTTCTCTCAACTCCCTCCTTTGATCCAGCATATCTTCTGCTAGTTGTATAGTCCAACACTACCCGGCGTGAATGGTGGCCTAAGCATTCTGGTTTTCTTTCGTTTTCTCACCAGCCGCTGGCACCTTGATCTCGATCGGCGCGCTTGGGCCTGGGATCTTGAACTCGCTTCGCAGAGTCTCCCGTCTCTGTCGGTCGGCTCGTTTAGACTGTCGCTCTTTGCACTTGATGTGATAGTTGGGGTCTACTGTACGCTGATGCTCGAGATAAGCCTCGTACTCAAGCTGTCGTTTGTTCCACTCAGGGTCATGCGGTCGAGGCGGTCCTTTCGGCTTAGTCACAGGCTTTGGTCCCATGGTGTTCGGCGGAAGCACGACAGGGAGCGGCAACGGATTGGCGGGAGGAGGTCCAGATGTGGGCCTCACAGTCGGTAGTCCAGCTGTATGTCCATTGTACGAAGGCATCGATGAGGTTGACGGTGCCGTACGAGGTTCAGAAACGCTTAAGACCTGGGCAGCAAGTGGCTGTGCTTGCGAAACAGTACCCAAGGATAGGCTGGAGAACACTGGGCCACCAGAAAATGGTATAGAAAGCGCCGTACCATTGTTGGGCGGCGGAAGCATCTGACCTAGCATAGAAGTGATGGGTGCTGTCATCGGAGTACTGCTTATAAACCTCATCTGGCTTGCGTTCATATCGATTAACTGACGCACAAGTTGCACATTCTCAGCCTGCATGCGCTGAACGCGGGCTTCCAGGAGCCGATATTTCTCGGCTTGAAGTGACGCATCCAATGCGGCGAAAGATTGGTCTGTTTCATTCGGAAATTTCGGGAATATTTCAGTGTCTTCGCTTGAAAAGCTTGTGACCGTTGGTCGTCCAGCTGGTGGAAGAAGACATTTATGGTCAACTGTTGCAGGTAACGTTTCTTGCTTGCCAAGGTACAAGAACTCTGATGCCTGCGGGTTTAACGTAGTCGCTTTCTGCAGGCCATCTCGACTTGCGTCACTAAAGCCAGAGTGATTTGATACTTGACCTTCTGATACTGGAGCCAAATCCGGGTGCAAAAGAGAAGGTCGATCAGGGTAGGTCTTCCGATTCAATTTTTCAATAATTGCTTGGTGTTTTCGCATGTCTTCTTCGGTCTTGCCAGCCGTTGTTGGTTGACCAATAGCACACTCATTGGGCTGGCGGCTGCCTTCGACGCGTTCTGCCTGAGTTTGCTTGCACCTGTGACTGGACGGGCTTAATTTCGTCAGGGCTTGCTTGATCAGATGGTCAACCCGTGACCAAGGCAAGACTCGAAAGCCGTTGCAGCTCTTGACCGCTTGCAGCTGGCCTAGAGGAAACTCAACATCGTCCCAAGAGTCCCCAGACCTAGAACTAGCTGTGCTTTCAGAGATGGCAGTCAATTTTGACCACGACCCATCCATGCTGGACAGAATAGGTGACGGGACATGATCATTTATTTTATGGGCAATTGGCGATGTCAAGTGAAGACTGACGCGGTGAGGCCGACCCAGGGCTACGGAGTATGAATAGCAGTCAGTTTTGGCGGAAGAGGGGTCGATGTCTGAGCTACTGTGTTGTTCGTCTTTGGTGAAGCTATATTCCTTCTTCGTAGCTGGCGCCGAAAGAACCCACTCTGGATCTAGCGGAGAATCTTTGGTACCACGATACTGGCGGACCTGTGGGTGGTTCCCTGCCGCGGCCATGGCTGTATCGATGTACAGCTTTCTCTTAGCTACTTTTGACCCAGCCTTGTCCGGCCGGTTGAAAGGCGGGTGAAAAGCATTGGTACCTTGAGTTGTCTCGCTAGCCTCGGGGCGCCATTTTTGCCTCCAGTCATCGTTCAGTAATGCCTCGCTGATCTCTCTCTTTTGAGGTTCTTTGGTGTGGGGAACATCAATCTCCTTGACCAATATGGCGACCGAATCTTCAAGAGACTCTTTCTTGTTCGGCTTGCTGGACAGGTTCTTCTCAACATGCAGATTCGTTGTGACCGTTAGACCCCGATTGCGATGGGCGTGGTTGTTGAACCAGGTCACATCGTTGTGGCTCGTATTTCCCATATCGTTAATGTTGGGTGGAGCACAAAATGACTGATTCGTCTGTGTAGTTTGAGCGATGGTTTTCTGTTCTCTGCTAAGGCGTCAATAAAGATACGTACGTACATGTAGAGCAGTGGTAGATTATATCTGTGTGTAGAGAACTTGTAGACCATATGATCCATAAAGGACTAGTGGCAGTCATGTAAGGCCTTTAAGATGTTTCCGGCTGTGTAGATGAGACTTACTTTTGTTGATGACTCCAAACGAGGGCCTGGTCGATTTCCGACAATCTTTGCCAACAAGAAACTCAACAATAGAATTATCGACGATTCAGCTCAAACTTAGGCCCAAGCTCACATGCAGCGGTATTTCTGTGCCGGTCACTTTGTTGAGGCCAGGCGAGAAACAGAAATGAGCCGATGGCTGTCACGAAAATCCGTTGACGTTGGGCCGCTCTCGGTGTGAGAGTTCAAGTTAGACGATCCTGATGACAGGAGCTCAGTCTCTTCAACGAGATGCCACAATGCCTGAAGAATGCAAAGTGTAGTATGGTGTAGAATCAACTCGGGATTCTGGGTGAAGTCAGAGGCAGTTGTTCCCAGCCTGGCGACGACAGAGTTCTGACATAGGGATCGAGTCGAAGCAAATGCCCAGCAACGAGTTGGCTGGCTTCCGCTGGCCTTCAGCCAGGACGAGGTCCAATTGGATCGCTGTTCGGATGAAATTATTGCAATGTGCGCTCAGGGCGAGAGATTGTGTTTTGGGAGCTTGGAGTGGGAGGTTGAATCTCGCTGCGATCGAGACGAGGTGGAATTAGATAGATGCGTCCGGCTTCTAGTCTCGTGACATAAAGGTTCCAAAAAGGACAGTCCAAAAAGATCGAATACGGGATACGCTTCGCTGTCCGAGCCCAATCGTGATTCTGCATTTGGAGGAGCGTTGTGCAGAAGACGTGGGACGAATGGAAACAATGAACTGTCTCCTGACAAACTCTCTTCTTAGGAAGTAGTTACCAGACGACAGGGGAGCTAGGTAGCACTTTGTTAAATTACATCAAATGGGGTAATGCGAAGCACATCGCCGCTTCCCTTCATTATACGCTAGACGGTTGTCGTGGGTCCCATTGCCCGGTTTCATGCTGAACCACCGACATCACACGGCCACCGACATAGTAATCTAGGGTCGCTTACAATCCACTGCAGTAAAATCAACGAGTGCCTAAATCAAGTTGGCAATATTCAGTATCACTATGGTGAGTTTCGTACCGGCTACCCTTGTTACTGTACAAGGACAGGCGATTGGCTGTGTTTGAGTAGCAGTTGCGAAATAGTTCGCGTTTGGCAAGGTAAGCTCCTCTACATGGCGCAATGGGGTTCCCATGTCAAAAGGTGAAGACTCTCCCAAGGGCCTGGGTGACCTGGGTATGTACCTGGGCAAACAGCGCAGATCTCGTATACATCAAATCTTTCACATTCTTGAGCACCAAATTTTGATATCCAGTTTTCAGTAAAGCAACCTTCTACACCATGGATATGGAACGTATTGTCATTGCGCGTTCTATCATTGCCCGTCATGTTGGAGTAAAGGTAGCATCGACAAATGACAGAAGAAGTAAGAATTCTCATGATGGGAATGCATCCATTCTCATAGTAATGCTTACTCCCACGACGCCAGACTTCTCCTGTGAGGAGTCTGGTAACGTGGCTCTTATCACAGTAAGTCGTGTCGTGATGGCAGCAACCAATTCGGTACGGACATCTACAGCAGTTCTCGATCTTTCTCAGCGCATTAATGCAGTTGTCTTCTCAAGTACTCAACGGCCTCCTGTGAGAACTCCGGCAAGGTACCAAACAACTCTAGGAATTCATCATCGCAACAAAGTGCCTCGAACATGCATGCCGTGTAGTGGCATACCGTTGATCTCATGGGGGTCCTTGAGTCCAGCCCTTTCCACAGGATTCTCAAATATGTAATCAATGAGACTGACAATGTTGTTTGTTCCATTGTATGTAAGTGGGGTCCAAAGAAGAGCCTTATGCAGCTTTCTACTGGCAACGGCTGCGAGGTGCGGAACTTCGTAGTGATCCGCCAGGGCGCCCAGCCGGACATGGGCCAGCAATTCCCCAGAACACAGAGTGCATGATAGCTTCATACATTTGATGGTCCTGGCCGGACAGATTTCCTAGAGACGCTGTGGATAAACTGTAGGCACAATTGTTGTTAGACGATGAAACTTCGTAGTCTCCCGTATACGCGTACTGGCAGAACTGCAAAAAAGTGTCCTCATCGATCGACCTCGAGCCACTCGACTGTGCCCTCGCGGGCCTCTTTCAGCGAGCCATTGATTAAGGTGTCGAGGGGTTTCGACAGGCTTGCTAAAGGTCCGCGTGCATCATGTACTCTTTCTTATCGGCGCCAACCAAGAACCTTAACGGCTTGGAGGCTACGATACTGCGCCATTAAGTCAGCCTAGTGAAAATCGGGCAGCAATACCGGGACGTGAAAGTACCTCTCAAATGGTAGAGCCGCCATCATTGGGTATCCGAGAAAGCCTTGGATAGCGTTTGACGTTGCGAGAATAAGTTTGTCAGAAATGTTTGGGCCATTTGCCTCTTATATATACAGAGCCGAGAGCCTATTGGAGCGCAAATGGTTAGGCTGCTAGCCACACATAACGCCTGAGGTTGGTGGTCAGTGGATTCGCGTGCGCAAGGCCGAATCATCTTGAAACATTATGAAGACTTCCCCGACAACCTTTCTCCCATGTGCGATGGCCTCAAACAGGGCTCCCGCTCATCCTAGCTGCTTCTTGAGATAAAATCGACAACTATCAAAATCAAAGTTTTCAAATCATTGTGTTTGAGAGAATTGTCCGAGTTCTTGTTCTACACTCTCTATCACATCTTTGTCTATTTTTACAAACATAGTCTACGAGTCCGTCGGTACACAACACAGCACTTTGAACTGACAAGGCTCATCCTTGTCTAGGCGCCACACGTCGGCTCGAGCCTGTAGGAGGTCCAAGGCTTCCCTTTTCTCATCAATATCGTCATTCGCATAGTAGTCCGCACGGCTGCAGGCGCGTTGATGTGCTAGCTCTTCCGCCAGCAGAAAAGCATTTCGGTCTGGAAAGTTCCATCTGTCGTCGTCTCGTTGTACTTCGTGAAAGGTCATCCCCTTGCCATGAAAGATAGGCTCCAGTCTGTCCACTGATCGATTTAGTACGGCCCCGCTCTTGGCCGTGATGCGGTAATCAATGAAGTAGACACTCTTCAGAAAGGGGAAGTAACTGTAGGTCGAGAAGTTATGCATCAAGTCGGCCAGCGTCTCTTCTTGCCGGGCAGTGATGCAGTCGTGATGGTTTTCCCTGGTCCACGTCGGGTAGAATTGCAGGGCAAGCCTGCGTACGGGGAACGCGTTGCCCCACGCCCGCAGCTCCTCGATACCCAGTATCTCGGTTCCGTTCAGTTGAAATCTTAGCCGATCCAGGTCTAAAGTGAGGCAGATGATGTCTTGGTCAAGATTGATCAACAAAGGGCGGTTTGATCCAAAGAAGTTATCCTCCGGTCGGTGCTCCCCATATGAACAGTCGCAGCCACTGTCGTGGCTCCTCCAACTGCGCAGCATCTCAAACGGCGAGTCCTCCTCAGTCAACATGCCTTGTGCCGTGAGTATGGGGCCTCCCTTCTCGCCCAGACGCTCGTTTCTCGGGCTGAGCTTCTCGAGCAGCTGGCGCGACTCGCAGCAGGCATCCCAAACGCCGACGTCGTTCAGGTACGAAGAGGTGTAGTTGCCATTGCCTCTGCACCTGGAGTCTGTCGGCACCTCAAGTCGACAATTGGTTTCCCAGCTGTTCCCATCAAACAAAGGCTCCGTGATAAGTTGGAAGAAGTGAATCCCAGGAACGAAAGGCAGCGCGGCGTATTCCCAGATGACATCGCGCAACTCCTTGGGCAGACGGGGAAAGTAGTGGAAGCTGCCGTGCGGCAGGCCAATTGAGGACATGTCGTTCGTGATGAGGGATTTGCCAGCCCCTAACGCAGTCTTTCCATCATGAAACGAGGACACTCGAGGCCAGCTCAATAAATGTCTCAAGGGAGGCTGCCGACGTGACGTAAAGAAGCTCGGGTTTTATCTAGAACCCATTACGACGGCTTGGCCGGATATCCCGCATGCAGTCGTGTTCGTGGCGTTGGCACTAAATCCTTTAGTGTAAGCCGAGGCGTCTGCAGCTGTTACGCGGCGCCGCCCCCAGCTGGCCCCCCAGCACCAGTCTCACCTTGAGGGGCATCTCGCCGGCCGCTTATCTGGACACGACGGCGGCCGAACTCTGCTCGGAGCCAAATGTATATATGGATGGGTTCCTCAGGAGCAAACCATCGTGAAAATCATGTCGTCACTAGTGACTAGAATGCACGAGTTCACCAATGCCTGGGTGAATTCAACCTGTCCAATGGCTGGCATCTCGCGGCACCTCAGGTACCGCCGACACTGCTGCGGCTCAGTCCGGCGCTTGTGTCGCTAACTGTGGGGTAGCGCGGTTTACCGGCACTCAGTGACGCACACGACGGCCTTGGAACTGAACGCCGAGCTCACAGCACAGCCACGGCGGCCCTGATAGCAATTCCCATAACTTATCTTGCATCGGCAGCCTCTCCTCTCGGGCTTTTCGCGCAGCCGATAAAAGTGTAAGCTAATTCACGGTGGAGCAGAGATCGACCCCGCGGTGTTCCGTAATCGAGTCGATACGAGCGCGTAATAATTCGAACCGCTTACCAAGTCACATTCAGAACCATGCTGATTGCTGACAGAGGCTCTGTTTTTTTGTTCTCCCTCCCATTACATCAATAATCTTCCGCGTCGTTGTGTACACAGTCAACCATTTCAGACCTCGAGACCTGGATTGCCAATTAGATCTATTGTTTCGATTAACCAGCTTCAATTCACCAGCCCAGGCCAATCGTCTAGCTACGTTTTCTACCATCGGCACACAATCCGCCCATACGAATGTTGGTCTTTTAACAACGTATAACTATGCCCTCCCCTATGCCATCAAGATTGCTTTGTCACCAAAATGGTTCTCGTCGACTCGATCTACATCCTAAATCCTCAGCGACTGCGCCTTGTATACGCCAATGATGAGACGTTCCCGGGCCGAGCTCTATGCCAATTCTGGTCTATCCGGGACCTTGGCGCGGGTACGCAGCTTGCGTTGTAGTAGTGCAGACTTGGATGGCCTGGCGTTTCCTATGAAGTAAAGCAATTTGAACAGTATGCACATGGTTCTGTTCTGCCTTTGCAGGAATGACACTGGCCAGACGCCCTCAGTGGGCTGTTGTAGTAGCGATTGTGCGGCTCCCAAGCTTCTAGCACGTGATGCTATGCTTGTTGCGTACCTTTGTAGGTTACTACACTATATGGTATGGGGAATATGAGCACAGGCTCTTTGGGCTACAGACAACAGGAATCATCATTTTCTGGTTCCTTACTAGATCGCGCGGTACAAACATGGATTTAGTGAAGCAGGTTCGTGAACTTGAGGAGGCTGACCCCTTAACAATGTCACCTTGCATGGATTTGACTGCTGGTTTCAAGACAAGATGGGAAGGCGATATATCAAGTCGTGATCTTTCGCGCCAGAACGAAATTAAGACAGGTAGAACAAGGGTCCAGTGACAGCGACGATTAGACTGCACTTATAGAGTCAGCTTCCGGTGCGTTGACTGTCACCACCTTTGTAGGTAACAGATACTGGAGGACTCGAAAACCTATCTGCTCTTCCGTACGTGCATTGGTAACACAACCCGTCTGGTTGGGCGGACCCGACGCAGTGGTTTCCGGTCTTCGCATTTGCGTCGGATACATTGCGAACACATCCAGCATTCCCAGTACAACTCAACTGAAGCATCCACCCACTCCTACCAAGTACTCAGTGCCATTGGAGAGCATGTCTCCGCACATGCTCAGATCTCAAGAGCTTGGCCAATCACGCCTTGGACCCCTGGGACCCGTCGTAAGAGCTTACACCGAAAGTATCTGACCAGTAGGCGTCCTGTCGTTAAGCTATGTAACGATGTGCACGGTATTTCCTCCAGTGAAAACCCGAAGAGCAAGCCACAGTAGCACATGCGGTAACCCTGGAGAAGGACCATAGCGGAATTCAGGCGAGAGCCGTGGTACTGTAAGGTGTACTTCCAGTGCGCGCCTTATTATTGGCCCATGAGCACTCGATCCAGGCCTGGCCAAAGAGCCCGAGCAGAGGGCACGAGTCCACGAGTCAACCCCACACCGATTACCCCAAGGACGATCGCACTAATGCTGCATCCCGGGGACCCCCCAGACCAGGTGAGCACCAGACTACCAAGACAGGTCTACTCCGCTTTTCCCATCTCGTCTTACAACGTCGGTACAAGCATTTACTCAAGCTTTTGCCCAGAGGTATACATTTATAGGAATAGGCGAGGTGTAGTCTCATCGCGCGCCTCCGGCTCGGCTGTCCGCCTTTGGGGAATGCTTTTCTGCAGCAAGGTTGTGAATTTGCTTCGTGGTCTGCACCCCAGACAGATGTCGAATGGGTAGCCTTGAACATGTTCAGAGCCCATGCGGCCGTACTTATGGTTCTCATTGTTGCTGGGTTTGTGGTTCTCGCCTGAACACCCTGGCTCGTTTCTCATCCATGTCGGAGCCGAAGGTATCAATCAAGGGTGTAACCGGTTTCCTGCATATGCTCACTCGCCTACGACCCTGGCCTCGTCCAGGGACAGCTAGCTGAGCGGACGCAGATTGATCCAGCGATCACGCGTACACTATCTAGAGGCAGGTTGCGTATGGCTGTCAGCCAATGGTATTGTATAAGACCCCGACTCACTCTTCTTGCTTACTTTGCTCGTCTCTGTTCCCCTCCTCCACCCAGCTTTGTTCCTATATATCCTTCACATTGATAAGGTGCCAGAACGATCTTGCCCAACATGTCGGCAGGTGATATTCAGCCAAAGAGTGAGTTGCAACATGGCGACGAGATCGCCGTCCATCAATCTGAGAAGCCTGAGGCCGTCTTGGCCAACAAGGACCTCATGAACGATGCCTTCGATGGAGAAAACCACGAGCACCAAGAGGGCGTGTGGGAGTCGGCCAAGAGCCATCCTTGGGCTTGTTTTTGGGCGTTTATTATGTGCTTCACCATTGTGAGTTTTCTCCCCTTTCCCTTCTCCTCAGTAGGGTAGCCCCTAATCTGCCTGGGTTTTCCTGGATGGCGCGAATGTCCCCTATATCATGTTGATCATGGTAAGCAACGTCTAATGTCTGTTAGGTCATGGAATCGTTCGACATGTTCCTGAGCGGTAACTTCGTCGCACTCGAGGCTTTCCAAAATCGCTACGGCGTCCCCGTAGAGGGTGAGGGTATGGTCATCGAGACCAAATGGCAAAGCTCGCTCTTCCAAGCCGGTCAATGTGGTGCTTTCATTGGTGTTTTCCTGGCTGGACCCATTACCAACCGTTTCGGCTACCGCTGGACAACCATCTTGGCCCTTATTCTTATGAACGCTACAATCTTTGTTTCTTTCTTCGTGAGTAGGTTGACTTGTTGGTTGAATTCGTCACCTGACCGAAAACTTGCAGGCCGACTCACTCGCTGTCCTTGTAGTAGGACAGCTTCTGGAAGGTGTCCCCTGGGGGATCTTCATTGCAAACTCCCCCGCCTATGCCAGCGAGATCGTCCCCCTCGCCCTCAGAGGTGCATGCACAGCTACTTTGCAGATGAGCTGGTCCATTGGTGGAATCATTGTTGCAGCCGCCACCTACGGCTACAATTCAAGAAACGACGAGTGGTCTTGGCGCGTGCCTCTTGCTTTACAGTGGATCTTTCCCGTGAGCGCTCTTCCATCCGTTCCAACAGTGCTAAGTGTGGTAGCTGACTAAACTAGACCCCTCTCTTAATTCTCATCTTCTTCGCCCCAGAGTCTCCATGGTGGCTTGTTCGTCATGGGCGCAAGGATGAAGCCCTTCGATCTATCGAGCGCGTCGGCAACAAAAGAGCAGGAAGCGCTCAGCAGACACTTGCCATGATAGAGCGAACGGTTAAGATTGAGGAGCAGCTGGGCGGTCAACCAACCCTCATGGACCTTTGGAAAGGCACCGACTTGAGGCGAACGACTATCACTTGCTTGATGTACGCGTCACAGAATTTTGCTGGTAACTTGATTGCAAACCAGGCAACTTTCTTTTTCGAGCGTGAGTAGCGCCCACTCTGATGACTTGCATAGCGTGGGCGATTGACATCTTCTTTAGAAGCCGGTATTCCGCACGAACGTGCCTTCCAGCTCAATCTTATTAACTCGTGTCTTGGTTTCATTGCCAACGCTCTATCCTGGCCTCTGACTGCCTGGTTCGGTCGCCGAACTATCTATCTCTGGGGCACAGTCACCAATATCACTTTCCTCATTCTTCTGGGCATCTGCGCCTCTATTGCACAGAACACGTCGACGAACTACGCCCAGGCTATTCTAGGGATTATCATCTCCTTCGTCTATGCTGGCGCTCTCGGGCCCATCACATATACCGCCATTGCCGAGACATCATCGGTCCGTCTTCGTGCCTTGAGCACTGGTGTCGGCCGTGGCGCCTACTACGTTGCAGAAATCCCCATGATATTCTTAGCCTCGCAGATGCTTAACCCGACAGGGTGGAACCTCGCTGGAAAGTGTGGCTACGTCTGGGCAGGTACTGCTTTCGTTTGCTGGCTCATGGCCTACTTCTTCCTTCCCGAACTCAAGCATCGCTCTTACCGTGAGATCGACATCTTGTTCAACCGCAAGGTTCCGGCCAGGAAGTTCAAGACCACGATCATCGACGTTAAGGAAAACGAGTGAGGTCTGGAGATCGGCGACGAGTAGCAGGACATATTGGGAGTGTCCGCCGCATCGCGACCTAGGAATGAGGCTTCACCCTTGTTCAAAGAGCCGGGGAGTTGACTGTGTGACATCCATCAGAAGGCTGCAGAAACTAGCTCTATGACGTTGATGTATGCCTGAAACACGATTCGGTTCTTCTCAAATTCCTCGCAGTTTCCGTTATTTCCAAAGGTAATACTCCCCAATATTTGCCCTTAAATAAGCAGAGTAGAAGCTGTAAACTGGGTTACATCAGTATCTAGCTCAGTTAGGGCCCCCAAGAACAATACATATATGCCGTATAGCCTGTTTCTCTGGTCCTTAGGAGTAAAGTGAACCACAGCTGTACGGAACGACGCACTCTGGCCTTGTATCAGTAAACCATCATGCCATTGCTATAAACAGCTCGCTCAGTCAACACCGCTGGTTCGCTTGAACTGCTCAAGCTGTGATTGGTCTCTGTTTGCTGTGTATATACCTGACTTGTGGAGATCCTAACTCTTTAACAATGAACAAAGCGGGCATTTCACATGTGTACATCTGTAGCAGAGTGATGATCTTTCATTTCCATGTATGTCATTGCAGAAGTCAGAGTTTCAATACTTTCCTTCCTGGGAGTTGACATATGCCGTTCTAATAGGCACTGAGCATTAACCAGAATTGAACTTCTTTCTGAAGTCGGCCATTTCGCTTGTTTGACGTCCGTGAACGACGAGAAACCCCCAGAAATGTAACCTGATAGCATTTATACAATTTTTGCCGTTTTTTCCGAACAGGCTGCTTGTCTACAGTGAACGGGTACGTTCTAGAAGCCGACATGCTAAACAGTTTCGTCATTTCCGTCATCACATCACATAGAGTTCGGCCTAGTAATCTGAGTCTTCACTAACCATTGCCCAATCACTGTCCCATGCCAACGTCATGACACAAGCTAAGACCAAACTCAATTGGTAAACTGCCAGCCTGGACAGGTGCCCAATTGTGCAGCTGCCAATGCCGGAACGTTGTCTTATGTATACCTTCAGACTCGATGCCGATACTTTTCTTCTAATCATATATTGCACTTTTTGACCTTGATGACCTGACATGATTTGCCAAATCCAAACGTGTTGGGAGAAAAATGTACTCAGGCTGCGATGAGTCTGATTAGTACTTAGCGCCGAGCTCAACAGGGTATATGTGAGCTGGCACCAAAGAATGGGCGATCATCCAGTGTACTTCACAAACCCAGCTACTCGCCTGCTCCACAGTACCCGCAGAGTTGAAGGTTGGCACTTTCGACACGTGAATAGCAGGTATGTTCCCTGAGGAGGCCTGCCGCTAGAATATTTGGCATAACATCCTATCACGTGCATATGTATACCCAAACTCTACGGTCACAACACTCAAGTCGAAGTGTCTCTTAAGAAAGCCAAGATCCGCTCCCGCCCGCACCACCTTGAAGAGAAATGGTAAATTATTCTACTCACTCAGTGACAAGACCAACGTCCACCCGACCATCGATTTATAATTCTGACACACTCCTCACACACAAGCCTCTCCCAATAAGAAAGATTCATCAACAAACAAGAGACAGTGAGTTTGGTAACTCTTATTCGCATGAGATACCAAACGTGGCCGCCCTTCGGAACAGACTCTAGCCACGCACTCCCGTGCTTAAATTAATCCGTCGCACTGATCGCCTCAGATCTATCAAGATGAAGACATTTAGCATCCTTCTCAGCAACTTCGCGGCCTTGGTCGCAACCCAAACCCTTCCTGCGAACTTTCCCACATGCGGCGTAAGTCGTTCTCCGCTCCTACTCTCGCTTCTACCAGCCGAAAACAAGCCCTCAGCAACAAACACCGCAATCGCATTGAATTTGGCTGACTTTCTTGCCTAGACTACTTGTTTCACTGGCTTGCTTGCACAAGCCGGCAACTTGGGCTGTAGTGCAACGGATTATTCTTGCCTCTGCACGCGACCACGCTTTCTATTCGGGGTCAGGGATTGCGCCAACCAAGCGTGCCCGAACGCTGGTGATGCTCAGACTGTCATAGATTACGGAGTCGCCTTTTGTGCCAATGTTGGAGTTGCTATATCTGATATCTCTGTCTCCAGTACTGCCGTAAGTCTCTAGCCGCGTATAACTCTAGCTCTAACCCTTTGCTGATACTCCAATCTCAGTCTGTCTCTGTCAGCCCTACTACCACTGTCTTCTCCAGCGATACTGCATCAAGTGTAAGTGTCCTCTCTCATACTCAAGTCCGTCTACATGACCTAAAGATTACTTTCCAGGGCGCGACAGGTGGCGGCGCAGGCGGTTCCCAGTCCTCTGCATCTCAGACCGGCAGCGCTGGCGGCGCATCCTCTACACCCGTTTCGACGGTTGCCATAGTGGGTACTGACAGCGCCGGGTCTGCCACAACCACCGAGTCGTCTACAATATACAGTAGTGTTAGCGGCGGTGCGAGTGGAGCGGGATCCAACTCCGCTACCTCGGAAACTGGCAGCTCAACTATCACCGTATCGAACGAAAGCACGACAATGACGACAGAGGTGCCCGTCTCTCACACGAGTGGCGGTTCTGGAACGTCTGGATCAGGACAGACAAGCACATCCAGCTCAGCATTCGCTCCTCAGAGGACTGTTGGTCCGGCCGGCGTCATCGCTGCGGTAGGTGCCGGGTTCGCCATATTGTTGTGAATCAGGCTCACGTCTGCCTGCTAAAACGCCCCGTTTCCATACTTACTTAAACATGGAGAGCTTCACCTGGACCGGAAATTCTATTTGAGGGGATGCAGGAGGTTGCGCTGGCAGTGAAATGTTAACCGCCTCATATTACCTACATTATACTGTTATAACTAGCAAATATAGGGTCGTAAGACAAGTTTGAATAGCCTGAACTGCAAGACCGGCTCCGATACGTTGTTCCTCGCCAAGGAAAGTATAGCTCGCCACGGTGTTCTAACAGACCAGTACTCCATCTAAACCACTGCAAGAAGAATCCATCCTCCTAAAACTGCAAGCCCGGCTCCTGAACGATACTTGATTGAGTTTCTAGCATTCTCACCATCAGGTTTGCCGCTAGTACTACTCCCTCCCTCCCCATCTCTACCACTTGTTTCCTCGAGGTGGCGTGTGTGATTCCGTTTTTTTTTTCCCTATGCCCTTTCCATAATACGGCAATGTTCCTCGACGTAATTTTGTTGCCATCACGCTTTTTTGATGCCAGTGGGCCCCCAAAACAGTTGGATGTCATAGGAGATGCCAAAGCGCCTATTCGTATTGATTTCGCATGACGAAGTACCATTGCACTACGGAAAGAAGCGAAGTATTACTCAATCTCCTCTAACTTGCGGGACCAGTATCCCCATGTGCGCTTCTCATCCACTATGTACACGCTCGTAGGCTTCATCTTTGGGCCAGTCTTCCACACTACACCTAGTGCCTCGGCTCCTCGCCTCTGCTTTTCACAGATGTCGCTTCCGTTCAAGCTCTCTAGAACTTCATCTATCCGTACCAAGAAGCAAGATCTCCAGAAGCCAACGTACGAGGCTCCTGCGGGCACCGCTCGCACCTGAGTCATGAACTCTTCCACGAGCCCCTCAAATAGCTCGATCATAGACTCTTCGTCTTGCTCAACTTCATCTTGGTGATATATATCCCACTCGTCATCGCAACACGTATGAGTCAGGCCCAAAAGCTCAAAGGTTAGGAAGCGGACGGCCTGTAAATGATCCGCCAAACTCCAAGTCCCATCGAACATGTCAAACTTTTCGATAATACCACCCATATGGTATCTGTGAGAGCCCCTAGTATAATATATCCCCACCATTCGGCATACAGCCTTTAACATGGAAATCAGAGGGCTGCATCCTTTGGGTGAGCACCTGCACTGACAACTATCAGATACGTGAATATTGAGGCCCTGTCTCAGCAATGCGAGGGAATCACACGTCATTTTCCCCCAATGTAACCCTTTTCCCAACGTTGAAAGCATGCAGTGGGCATTAGAGATGACGTTCGAACTTCTCTGTAGCCTCCTGTGGAGGTCGACTCCGTGATCAAGGACCCAGGCCAAGTACCTAACACTGGCTCCATGCCAAATCGGCAACTCTTGCGGAGGTTGAGGGTCTGTGTCAACAAACCCTAGACGGAATAGGACGTCGTATACGTCAGTGTCAATCGCATAGGAAATATCTCGATCAAAGATGGGTGTGTAAGACTTCCCACTAGGAGATATTCTTAGGCATAGCGGGATATCGACTTCGTGATTCTGTAATGACAAGATGATTGAAGGCGCATGAAAGTCGAGTATCCCTGGGGATCTTGTCAGACGTGTTGTGATAGAAACCGGAAGTTCGTCGAGAGCAAGTTGCTTGAGTGCATCGCGCCGTTGTTTCAGATGGCGGACAAGCCGTGTATGGCACCTTCGCGAGCATTTCGTTCTTATTGCTTCTTGAAAGATCGCGCAGCCAGCATTGAGAAGCATCACAACACACTCTGCACATCTACACCAAGAACATTTGAGCTTGCCCCTTTCATTTCCTCTGCAAAGATCAGAGCTCCGCCATAAGGCATACCCTAGTACCGATGAGCCATCATTGTCTTCCGCGTTTATTAGAACCGGGTCCGAGTTCTCAAGTAGAAGTCGTAAGATCGCAGGTCTACTGGCTGCAAAATGCAACGGGCTCTGTCCTAGATAGTTTCGTTCGTTCAATGAGGAGGGGAGACTAGAAATAAGATGCCGGACTTGGGTTATGTTGTCCGTGAGTATGGCATAGCTTAGAGGGCCCGTATCAAATGCTGTTGCATTATTAGTACATCAAAACTCTTATCATAGTGTGTACCTGGGTTTGCGCGACCTTCTGAAAGTGAGGGCAGGGAAACAAAAAAGTCTCCCCATAATATTAAAGGATGCCAAAAATTACGTTCTACCAGGCTGTTTACATTGGAAGAAGCAGGCCTAATATCGGTTGCAAACGTCGAGAAAACCTCAAGAACTTTATTTGGGCGTCTTAATGCTCGTGTAAGTTCGATTAGTGGTGTACTTCAGTGCGTATAAGCTCGTGGTCGTTTCTCGATTCGTCGTAAAGTGATCGCGACTGGGCAACTTACAAACCATCTACATCATACTCCATCAGTGGAACTTTATAAGTGGTGAAGACTCTAATCATGTCTATGAAATCTTCATTTTTGTAATACCAATTGTCTGCATCGGCCTGGATTTTGGCGATGCAAATTAGTGAAGTGGAGAGAAGCCTAAACAGCACGTGGACGGTTACTCACAAGTTTGGCATAGATATGCATCAGGTTACGGTTTCTCGAGTCCACGGCCACCGGGCTCACATGCCCAAAGTGTAAATCTCTCACCAATTTAGTTATTGCCTGACTTAGGAAGGTGTCCATTTGAAACCTGTCCGGTTGGAAGCTGTATTTCATACCCATGCTGTCAGCCGCGTCCTGGAGCACTTTTAATACCCGGAAGGCCGGGGCAGTTTCGGCGTCAACGGTGGGATAGTACGTGAAAAGTGGTCCTAAACTTCGGCCTCCTGCACCTGATGTAATTGTGAAGGAAAGTCGAATAGCGTGTCGCAAGACTTTTCGAAATCCTAGAAATGTAAACCCAGTCGTGTGGGAGTTGTCGTCATTTGCGGGAAGCCCGTCCATCGGGCAGCCGGGAAGATGCCTCGTGGACTGTGTTTCTCTGTATAAACCTATTGGTCCCCACCAAGACTCTTGACGCCTGTAACGTGGACGGGCGTCGGCGTTGCAAGAGCACTTGTGGTACTTGGCCAACACCGGGACTTGGTTCCTCGATTCTGACAGTGGATAAGAATTTATGTTGAACGCGTCGCACACCTGCTTCAAACTGTCTGGTTTTTCCGCGAGTCTCATGACTCGATCACCAGGAATTCGATCGGTATCAAAAGGTGAAGAGCCAGAGCTTGGTTGATTTCGTTGTGTGTTAACACCCCCTGGCAGACGTTCATTCAGGAGACAGAAGATTCTGTCCAGCTGCTGACTTACGTCTCTTTGATTAGAGACAGTTTGCTCTTGGAATACGGCAAGCCCAGAGAGATGAAGTCTTTGGTGACTCGCGATGCTCGCTGCAAGAGCTGTGGTTGAACTCTCCGCTCGAGCACCAAATGAGTCAATAGAGGCCTGCAAGTTAGGCATGCCATCGCGAATGTGTTCAACGGAGCTGTTGAGAGTGCCAATTTCAGTTTGGACTGTCTGCAAACCGGTCGACGTTGTTTGCAGGTTGCGTTCCAGAGTGATTAGCTTGCTTGTGTTGAGTCGAGTTACGTCTCTATTTCCATTTGTAAGCAATGACCATGATACAACTGCATACCACAAAAATCACAGACCCAGGGCTTGTAAGGCCAGCTGAAGAGTCTCAATTGTTTCATCAAGACGTTGGGTTAACTCCTTCAGTTTGGGGCGGTCAAGCGGATACCTAATTTGCTTGCCGAAAGTTTTGAATCCAGCAAGAGAGTCACGGGTCGTTGTATTATCATTGGAGAGCTTTGATGCAAATTGACCGAGAGCATTCAAGGCAGTCTCGCATACTGTGAAGTTTTGCGTTACGGCAGAGACCGACTCAGGATGCCGACTTTGGAGGTTCGAGGACGACGCCCGAATGACTTCGATTGTGTTCTTGAGAACAGTGATCTTCGACTTGATTGAAACGATATCTTGGTCCCGAGACTTGAATGCGTCAACATATGAGGTGACGCCGCTGAGAACTTGCAGGCCGAGAGAAGTTAGTCCAGCAGCCGATGCTGCCAACGACACTGGATCCATAGCGTTGGGCGGCCAAGACAATAGTGATCATCTCAACCGCAACACCCGAATAAGGACCCAAAGCATACGTGCAGGCCGAGAATATGAGTGCTATATACGCACCTATCACCTCTACAAGCATGAAAAACAGAAGACAAGACAGGAATGTGGAAAATGCGGGGGAAAGCTCATCATCAGGTTGTGGATGTGTCCGCCTTGCCTGCATGTAAGGTTGTATGAATTCATCCAATTATCTTTTGCCACCTCTGTATGCTGAGTGGCACTGCCTCACAAGGCAGAATGATGGCTCAGTAGTGGTAACGCACAGCCTGATAGGCCGACCGATCGTACGTATGCAGGTAATTATGCACACGGCTACCACTCAAATCGCTCCGTCGCTGAGCACTTATTGCGGAAAGCTGACTGATTGGCAGGCATCACCAGCGGGTTTTGACAGTCTGGCCACTCAATCGATTGTGCGTTCCATGCTGGGAGCATGTACTGTGCTAACAGTCCGATATCTACCGTGCTGGACCCTGTGAGGCTGAGAATCGCCGGAAGGAGGCCCAGCAACATGCCGGCAGTTGCCATGTTCGCTTTTATCCATTCTGGCTTGTTTTGCAGAATGAAAGTTCCCACTGATCAAGACAGGCCAGCCGACACATGTATGGTAGGGCACAGACCCAATGCGGTAATAGTAGAGCTCTTGGCTACAGTTGGCAAGTATGATGGCATTCAGTCGGGACCCCCACTGGGGTTACCACGCCTCGTAGAGCATCATTGTCATCTTTCTTGAACTAACAGTAAGACACCAGAGTGCAAGTTCGTTGGCACCTGGGTATGTCTCCTTTGCGCAGAGGCGCTCAGGGGCAATCGCATAACCTAGCGAGCTGAGCCGACATTCTCGATGTTTACAGAGTTGCTATAAATCAGAGCATGGCATGCGGTGTAGAAAATGTGATGTAAATCCAGCAAACCGCCTTGGCCAGACCAGTTTTATGAAGACGGCTGTCCATTATCGATGCGCTATCCACACAACGGCGGTAGAGGCTTAACGCCACCCGGGAAGTGCCATAGAGCTTGCAGGTTTGTTTCCAGTGTTCCAAGAGCACTACCATAGTCAAATTGCCCTGCGTGGCATACTATTCTGTCTGCAATGGTCAATGAACTAAGGGCATCTTAAACCACGACCGAGTCTATGGAAAGTCTTTCAACTCTATCATCACCAATGGCGCAGTCCAGTTTCTTTCCGTCATTTGCTTCGAGGATTGTTCCGTTGACGGGGGGGGTTCGATCTGGTCACTATCATGGAGTACGGGTGATGAGTGTCCTCTCGAATAAATGGAAGTCTGGTCCTGTCACATGGGAATGTGGCCTATGAAGAGTGATAGATCCAGCATAAGCCAATATGCTTCATTCGTATCTACAGACCACCTAGAGAAGTTGAATACCAGACCCTCAAAAACGCCAGCCAAGACCTAATTCCATTATACAGCCCAATCCATAAACACCAAAGCACGGCAGAGGCCTCATTTCATGATCATCAACATTCCATCCCTTCGCATCACACACGACACCCCCGATCCGGGAAGCTACTCAAAACTGCCACCCCCAAATAGCCCGCCGACGACCTTGCCGCGGCCCTCGACGCCCTTCCACTTGCGCTCCTCGCGGCGGCGCTCGCTCTCCTTGAGCTTCTCGCGGCGCTCGTTCTCGCGCGCGAAGAAGTTGACGCCGCTGCGCTTGCCGGCGTTCTTCTTGAGCTTGGCGTCGTCGCCGAACCCGGTGCCGGCGGCGCCGTGTCTGCCGCTGCCGTGCGTGGCCGGCGTTGTCGCGGATGACGTCGATGTGGATGTCGATGTCGACGAGGCCTGCGACATGAGCGAGTTGGTGGTGGCGCGGCGCAGGAGCGCGGGCACCTTGAAGCCGCCGGCGCCCGACGACGAGGCCGACGAGGACCCGGCGGCGGCGGCGAAGGCCAGCTTGGACGACGTGCTGAGATTGGAGGAGCCGGAGCGCTTCAGCGAGATGCGGTCCACGACGGCGACGGAACCGGGGCGGCGGTTCTCCTTGTTGGGGGAGCCTGCCGCTGGGCTTTGCTCGTCGTCCTCGCTATCGGGCTCGGCTGGGTCCGTGGCCGGGATGACGGACTCGAAGCTGAGGTTTGGTTCGCCCAGGAGGCTTGACAGCGAACGGCGGACATCGGCGATGGAAGTAGGCCGAGGACCGCCCTTTGTCCTCTTCGCATTGGGCGGCGGGCGGGCCGCCGCTTCGGCAGAATCCGTCCGCGTGCGTTTACGACCCAGATTGGTGGTATTGTGCGATGTCGAAGCTTGCGGTTGGCTGTCAGGGACACTGTCTTCACTCTGCTCCGCGTGTGCTTGGTTATTGTCCTGGGGCTGACTGTCCTCCTCCTCCTCAACAAAGTACGGCTCGTCAAAGCCCATCTCCTCGTCGCTGTCGCGATCCTCGATACTCTTCATGAAAGCGGCGTTGCGAGGGTTCTCAGCAATCTTACCGATACGTTCATCAGCAAAGAGGGCCTTCTGCATCTTGGCGAATTGCTTTCGCTTGAGACGGCGACGGGCTTCGCCGCCGTCATCAGAGTCTGATAGGTCAAAGTCTCCGTTGCCGCCACCACCTCCACGGCGGCGTTTGCGCAGCATACCAGTCGTGATATCCCGGAACAGCTTATCAACTTGGGCGCTGTCTGCTGCACGCTCGCGGTCGCTATAATTATGGTGTCAGCATTCGTCCCATACAAGTCTCGGGTCCAAAGGGGGCAGTTATCACTTACGCAAAGAAGGCTGCCAATTTCCCTTCATCGTCTTCATTGCCCTTTGCATCATCGATCATCTGCTTTCGCAGCTCCTCCAAGTCCTCGTCATCAGACGAGTCTTCGCCGTCGGCACCACCAAGCCCTGCGTACTCGTCCTCAGACTCCTCGGCCTCACCCTCCACCATCTCCTTGGCCTTGCTCTTCTTCGCATCGAATTTCTCCTGGCGCTTCTTTCGGCGCGCAGCTTTGGCCATGAGCCTAAAGGCAGAGACGCCATCGTCATCTACTTCGGCATCCACGGCTCTAGGCGCAGCTGTCATTTTCACCAGCGGAGAACCAGGGATTGCCGTAGGCGGCAGAGTAGAATCCTCCGCGAAGGAGACTTCGCGCCGCTGTATAAGCTTACCGCGCCTGCGGACAAGGGGTGACTCCATCTGATCAACGTCCACCTCAGGGTCGGCAGCAGGACTTCCATTGAGCAGGACAGTATCGACCGTGCTGTGGGGGGGATCAACGAAGCGTCGCTTTAGAGGCGAGAAGTCTGCGAATCCAGTGTCTTGGGATGGGTTTAGCAGGTCAGAGGCCTGCGTGTTGTCCATCTGCATCAAGGAGTCAAAACCATGCATCTGACTTTGCTCAAAGTTAAGCTGAACTCCTTGAGTCTCCGCTTTCCCTCTCTGGGTTTCAGTCTGACTGTCCAGAACCATGTCCTCTCCAGCAGGCTGTGAGGTGCCGGCAGTGGCAGAGAATTGGGAATCCGGGAAGTTCTCAAAGCTGGGCATGAACTCAACAGGCGAGCCGCTGGTGGGTGCTGCTGATGCAGCCTGGCTGTCATCCATGGTTCCAGCGAAGATCTGGGTAAGACCTAGGCCAGCAGGACATGCCGCTGGCACGGAGAGACCAGGAATGAAGGTTTTGGTTGCCGAGCGAAGGACAGAAGTGGGAGCCTTCGGGTAGTCCGAATTGGGGCCAGATGGTGATTTGAAGAAGGCAGACTTTGGCTTAGGCGTAGCTGCAACAGGCGTTTCGTCCTCGTCATCTGAGAGGATCTGTGTGTGTTTTCTTGGGCGCCGGAACTTCGACGTGGCGCGTGGTGTGTCGTCTGCATCCTCATCGTGCTCATTCTCGGTCACTGTGCTTTCAACGACCCCGTCCACATCGTCCCCTTCAGACTCATCTGCTTCCTCGGCATCTTCGTCGAACATAGGATTGCCAGCAGACTCATCTTCCACTTCGTCGTTCTCCTCCTCATCGGAGCCCGAAAACTCGATCTCGCCCTCCTCAATGGGCTGAAGCGGCTCATCATCACTGCCGACAAAGCTGTCGTCATCGCTGTCATCCCAGTCCAGATGGTCCTGCTCGCCATTCTCCTTGCGCTCCTTCTTGGCCTTCTTGGCATCGTCGAGCTCTCGAGCCATGATCTCTTCGGCTTCCTGGCGTGCCCGGGCGACAATATCCTCAACTTCTTCTCGCTCTTTCTCGCGCTCCTCTTCGGTCTGCACGTGGACTCCCTTTGCCTTGAGCGCCTCCAGACGGCGCTCGCGCTCGAGTTTGGCCTGAGCACGAGCGCGCTGCTGTAAGTTCAGCTGCAGCTCGCCGACCGTCATGGAAGGCTTCTGATGCCTCTTGCGAGAATCCTGGGGCGGGGAAGACACGTGAGCCAGTTGCCGCAACACGTGTACCGAGCGTGCCTCCTTGGTCTGCTGTGCGGGCACGCGGCTGAAGATGGCATCAATCTTGCTTTGCTTTTTGGGCTGCTCGATTTCTAGCTCATCATCCAGGTCAATGGTAGTCATATTGGCTTGTACGGCCGGCAGCTTGACACGGAATTGGCGCTTCGGTTTGCTGGGTGTTTTCTTCTTGGGTGATTCGAGGTCTGCGAGAGTCGCTTTACCTTTACCCTTATCAAGACTTTTGCCCGGAGGTATTACATCGGCAAGACTAGGTAGCTCGCTTTCCTTAGCCTCCTGCTGGATGGCATCTGCTTGTTGCTCCTGGACTGCACCGACATTCAATGCTGCCATCTTCTTCACAGCGCTGGGAGGAGAGCTCGGGGGCGTTGCCTCCTCGGCCATTTCGGCGTCGGTCTGAGCAGCCGAAACAGGAGTGGTTGGCCGACTGGAGCTCGTTGGAGGAATCTCTTGTGGCGCCTGAGGGGCAGGCGTCTTGAAGTTGAATCTTTCAAAGAGCGAAGACTTGCTGATCTTCTTCTTGGTCTTGGCCTCGTGAGCCAGCTGCATGCTACGGCTCAAGCGCTGCGTCTCGCGGTTCATCTCCTCCAGGGCCTTCTTGCTGGCCTTGCGAGCCGAAGGGCGGGAGAGCTCCTGCGTGAGCTTACGGCCCGCGTCGTCGTCACTGATGTCTGACATGTCGTCATCGTCGTCGTCCGCGTCCGGAAACGCCTCGGCTACGCGTTGGGCGCGCTCGTCGCGTTTCTTCTTCTCCTCAGCCTCTTTGGCGAGGCGTTGTTCACGCTTCCGGGCCACCAAGGCCTGAAAACGCGAATTCTGCGCCAGGTTGTTGGGTAGGTCCGCGTCGCTGTCCGACTCGGCGGCTGAGCGTTGTGAAGCGTTTGGGGAGACGAAGAGGCCCGGCGATGCAGGGCTCTGCTCCCGGTTGAGTGCTGTCTCGGGTGTTCTGCTACGAGCAGCGCGTATCCGGCGTTTGCGCGGTGCAGTGCTGACATCGTCGTCGTCGTTACTGCCATTGCCACCAGCATCTACGTCGTTGGCACTTTGCATTGGCTCGTTCACAGCTTCTGGTGCCTTTTGTGGAGATTTGGGTGCCAGTTCCTGCTTGTCTGTGTCGTCGTTGGCCTGCATGCGTGCTGCAAGCCTGCCTCGCGGCCGGATGATATCCTCGTCAGCGTCCTCTTCATCGTTATCGTCTCCGTCCTCTTCGTGGAGTGTCTCGCTAATTCTGCCAGTCGGCTTGGCGGGCGACTTGAATAGAGTTTTCCTGTTGATTGGGCGTGCATCCTCATCGCCTGAGCTCTCGTCCAACGCGGCGAGTTCGGCCTGGAGCTTCGACCTGGGGGTTAACTGTGGCGAGGCAGGCCGGGACGCGTCGCTCGCGGGAGACGGCGAACGAAGGGAAGCCATTGCGGCTATGGATGCTCAAAACTGAGTACGGAATAATAAGGGTGAATCAAGCAAGCATCGTACACCATGCAACAAATGCTATTCTCGCTCCCAATGCTGTCAATGTTGAGGTGAGGTGTGGTGTGTAAAGTGCAGGATGCCAAAAAGGTGTAAGTCGATTTGACGCGGGTCGCCCGTCCAGAGTCGCGTCCCACCGTGCACCGTGGAGCGCAACGCGTTTTAATGGGACGGGACCTCGACCCCACGTCACTGGATTGGAGCTGTTGGAGCTTGGACCCAAAGAAGCACAACACGGTCATGTTCTTGCTATTGCCCAACGGACTGCAAAGGATACTGGAAATAATATATGGACGTTGCTATGGATTCGGATTAATTGACAGACTTCTTGAAGCTTCAGCCTCGACAGGATACGTGCGACCATCAGCAAGACTCGGTAAACCGTTCTATACGTTGACAAGCCTTCAGTCAGACGCAGTCGTAAACTACGGTGCATAGTTCTTCTCGGTGTATAAATCACCGGTACTGCGTCTCATCCTACTTGTTTACTTCTTTTCTTCATGAAGCTATTTGGGTATCGTTGACGTAAAGTACAGCTGCGTGTGCCACCCACACATCAAACCACCATGACGACGCCAAAGAACCCCGCGACATCTGCGCTTCCCCCCTTCTGCCCTTGTACTTTTTTATACATGGAAGCGCAGTTATGCCTCCCTAGATGCGCCGGTAATGCCATGCCAAACCAATGCGGGTGAGGCCGGGAGGCTTCCAAAAATCAATCCAAACTAGAAACAACACCATGCTCGCCGGGGCGCGTGACTGCCGGCAGTCTAACGAGGCAGGGCTGCTTGATATAGCGCTGCGGCCCTGCACCGAGAGACAACCGCATGCCGTCACCCTCAACAACAGTTATCCCATTACCGCAAAGTCTGCGATTCCTCCGTGGCGCGTCTTGCTCTTTACTATGATCATTGCTGGTAGCTTTGCAGCTCATGTATGAGAATACACTTGCCGCCACTTTGTGGCGACGAGGGCCGATCTGACGCCCAACTGATGTCGACTATGCAACGTCTCTCTGAGACATGACTCTTCTTTTGGGGCGATAGACGCCATGGTCTCTGCCCATAACCGATCCCATGAATCCTCTGGTGTGGCTTATAGTCGTGTCGTCCAGGACTGCTTCTGTAACTGACTGTCGTAAGTCTGGCTCTGCAGAAGCTTGGTTATGCCGAAACTTCTGGATAGCAATGTGACGCATTCTGTGACTGCATCGAATGTGCCCGCGGTTCGAGGGACCTTGTCCGCCTTGTCACAAGCTCGAGCCCGCTGGCAGAGAGTTGTTCATGCCGCTGCCAGACACGAGTCAAGGACGCTGTCAAGGTCTAGCAAGTCTGCAGGATCTGTGCCTTGCCAGCCCCATGGCTCGTCAATGTCCATGGGCTCCGATTCAAACTCTCCGTTCGTGATGGCATTTGTGCTGTCAATGCCGCCCACCATTTCCATGTCCTCAATGGCAACGGGCTCGTAACCATCAATGTAGGAATAGTCATCCCAGTGTTCCAGCTCGCCTTCCCTATAGCTGTACATGACGGACTTGGTGACGATGGGGATTGAACCCAAGCCACAGTCGCCCATCTCTAGAGCAAGCCGGAAGTCGGCCATGCCCAGGGGCGGTCTCTCGCTGGCCGCCTTTGCTTCGATGGGAAGCATGCCACTCTTGTCTTTGGAGAGCTCTCCACGCATTAGCGCTGCTTCTTCGCGTCTTAGTTGCCGGCGGTACTTCTTGGTCTGAATCCAGCCTGCGCCTGCGCCGAACCCAGCACTTCCCGAGTCACCTGGTCCGTTGCTTCGCGTCCTCGTGAAGACGGCCGACAATAGTTCCTTGATAAAGGTCTCGGTCGCAACGTTCATCAGCTGGGCGGCTTCAGGGGTGTGGCCGTTCACCAGGCCAGCTTCGTAGCAGAAAGGCAGCATTCTCCCTTCGATCATGGCCGTGTCCGGGAACTCTCCAGACTCGACAGCCAGTGGCAGCTGGTAACGCTTCTTGATTTCCAAGTCCCAATCTGTGCGGTGTCAACACGGCATCCCCAAGACAGCCCACCGCGCAGGCAAACAGCACTTACTCATCTTGTTCAGGCCTCCTGCGGCACTCGGAGGTACTTCGGCGGCTCGCAGAGGCTTGCCTCGGTGATGTTCGGAAAACATGCTGGCCATTGACTCGTACGGGTCGAACTGATGGGGCCGATGTTAGTCTGTGCTGGCGCTCGCGATTGGGGTGGCTCGCATGAGCAGACTCACGTCATTGTTGGCCAGCTCCTTGATGCGCCTTCGGTCTCGAGTCGGGAGCTGCATGACCTCTCCCTTCAGTCTCCTCTCGGCGGCATCGCCCGTAACAGGCTTTGCGCCGACGCCCGCGGTGGGCTTGTCGTTAGCAGAAACCCATGGTGCTAAGCCGGCATCTGGCATTTCCCTCGTCAGGTTGCCATAGATGGCGGCGAGGAGCTGGTTGTGGAGATGGTCCTTCTCGCCATTGGGGGAGGCGAGGATGGGATCGATGCGCTCCGAGTACTCGGCCTGGTTCAGGCGGCCTGGGCGGTCGGCGGTTAGCTTGGGACGGAAGAGAAGAAAGAGACGGAGGGCGGCAGCTCTCACCGAGAACGAATTGGGTGGTGGACTCTTTGTAGACGGCCCATTGTTCGCTGCCGATGGCGGACTTGAGGGCGGCATAAAGCGGCTCCAGGTCTATGCGGGCGGGTATTATCTGGGAGGTCTTGGGCTTCTGGGAGGCCGGGGCGGAGACGGTGATGGACTTCAATATCGGGGTCGAGAGGCTGACCGAGGGGCGGCTCAAGGCCGCGGGATCTATGTCGGGCATCTTGATGGATGGATGTGGGCGTGGACGTGGTCGATGGTGATGTCGTCGTCGTCTGAGGTCGGATTAGGTAAGATTCGACGATGCGGAGGCGGAGGCGGAGGCTGATGCGATGCGATGCGCGAGACTCGCCGACCGCGATGGCTGGAGGGCCGCCGGTCGCGTGCGGTCTGGAAGCGCCCCAACACTGCGCAGTGCGAGATGGCCTAGTGCAAACCCATGTAACAGATTCTTCGGGCCTCTGCGATCACATTTCCGGGGTTTTTACGATGGAAACACCCATGTGCGTGATGTTGGCTGATGGAGAGCGCCGAGGCCGTTGCGGTGGGTTTTGGCTGTGAACTGGCTGAAGATGTGGGATGTCGTTGAATTCCGTCTGCCAGTAGCCCAGGGGGGTCCACGGTGGACGACGGGACAGCTAGTTAGGGGACAGCGGCCCCCGGCCGGCGGAGAACCGCGCTTCGACCCCGTTCTGCCCTTGATCTTTTAGTTACCTACACCCACTAAGTTAGATAATCTTAGCCTTTGGACTGGCTGGTGTACGTGAGTAAGTTACACTTATCACTCGCTACCACTCGCTTCCGCTCACTACCAACGAGACTTGGACAAAGAAATCATCGTGTAGCCCTCGTCTTATTGGAAGATACGTAATTATTGCAAGATCGAGTGTCTTCAAGGTGCATATGTTGTAACATAACAGAACCGGCTCTTGTCTTGGGCACGTGCTTGCCTGGGAAGCGAGCAGCAAGGAGCCGGTCAAGCAACGTTCCATGTTGTCTATTATATGTTATGTAGTATAAACGCAATAAATAGCACTTTATAATGTAGATTTAGCTGATAGCACACAGCAATGAGAAACTACCCCCATGCATCTGTCGAGATGAGATGATGCTGTTGTTGCGCTGCACGTAAATAATCGAGTGACGGCATTGGACGGACGCCAAGGCTACCCCAGATCGCGGGTCGCGTCCCACCTTTCAGACCTCAGGTCGCGAGCAAACTCGACGTGCATCTGGAGAGTACAGACGCCAACTAACCGCGGCATATCGACACAGCACCTCGCTCTGCACGGAAGATACCCGCCTCGTCCGATTCTAGGCCACGTCCTACATGGAACTCCAATTTGTGATGCAAAATGGCCGCCCCTTCATCCCAAGATAAAGAGCGGCGCATCAACCTGAGCATCAACCGCCTGGTCTCCCACCTTGCCCCTCCACCCGACGCCCTGCCCGACGACGAGGCCCAAGCCCACCAGTTCTCGCTCTTCAGCCAGGCCAAGGCCGACCTTCTCGCGTACGTCCTGTTGATATGGAGACTCCATCTTGCCTCCCCTCCCCGCAGGCCCTGACACTGACACGCCGCTGTTAGCTCCCCATCGTCCCTCGATGCCTCCGATATCAACAATGCCGCCGATGCCATCAAGCGCAAGCTGCTCGCCAAGGACCCGGCCCAGGCCCTGCGCTTCTCCAACCTCTACTCGCGCCTTCTATCCTTGCCCGTTCTCAACCGGAAGTGGGCCATGCTCTTCTTTCTAAACGAGCTCTCAGACCTGCGGAATCCAGAAGACGACAGCGACCCCTCGCCAGCATACCCAGACTACGCGCCGGACGAGCGGCCGGCAAGGCAGGACCGGAGACGCCAACTCCATGGAGAGGACAGAGGGTCGACGCCAGGGTCGACAAGGAGTGCTCAAGAGCCCGCGAGACAAGCACATCCACAAAATGACATAATACCAGATGGACTAAGAAGGGGGGTGCCGCGAGGTAGAGGATTAAGGGAGGAAGAAGCCCCAGAGGAACAAGACCAAGACTCCGACCACCCGCCATCAGCGCCCTCGAGGCCCTTGTCATCAGTCGGCGACCACAGACGGCGAGCTACGGCTGAGAGGGTGCCCGTAAGCCCGTCTAAGCCGCGGGATGTCTCCATCAAATCCAAACAATTATCCGACAACTTCTCCAGTATCGACCCATCTGAGCCTGCCTTATTACGAGACCTACCATACACATTACAGGGACTCTCTTCTGCGAGCCTGCCATTTGGCAAGGAATACACTCTGAGGCTTCCACAGAGCCTCCCGACCCCTATAGTTTCAATCCTTAACACCCTGGCGGAGCCGTCACTGCTCTACCGCACCCTCGAGGACTTTGTCAAGACTCCGGCCAAGAGCTTACTGGATCAAAGCCTGCGTGCTGCCATTAGCAATGAGCTCCGCGCATACCTCACACTCGTCGCGACCCTGGAGGGCCAGATCCGGATGGCCCTTGCCACCATCAACGACAACGCCCCTCGAAGTGGGATCGGCAAGGCTGGCGTCACCCTGAAGCGCTGCGTTGTCTGGACGAGAGAGGCAACAATGGGTCTCAGACTCATGAGCCTGATAGCAGAAGAGTCCAAAAACAAAAAAGGTGGCCAGCTTATCTCCTTAATCCACTCCTTCTCGTCCATGCACGGCGACCCCATCGTGGGCGCCTTTGCCGAGAGACTCCTGACTCCTGTCACTCGCCCGTTCTACGACATATTGCGTCATTGGATATATGACGGTGAGCTATCAGACCCATACCAGGAGTTCTTCGTGCGGGAGCAGACGCCGGAGCAGATGCCCAAGGGCAAGTCGGGATCGACCAACGTCTGGGAGGACAAGTACCTCGTCGTACAGGACATGATCCCGTCCATCATCACGGCCGACTTCGCCGAGAAGGTCTTCCTGATCGGCAAGTCCCTCAACTTCATCCGCCACTCGTGCGGCGACGCCCACTGGGTCGAGTCGTACTCCAAGGAGTCCTCCAAGGAGCTGCGCTACGGCGACACGGCGACCCTGGAGGCCTGGATCGACGAGGCCTACAAGACGACCATGCGCCGCCTGCTGCACCTCATGACAGACAAGTTCCACCTCTTCGACCACCTGCGCGCGCTCAAGTCGTACATCCTGCTGGGCCAGGGCGACTTCATCGCGCTGCTCATGGAGTCGCTCGCCGCCAACCTCGACCGCCCCGCCGGCGCCCAGTACCGACACACGCTGACGGCGCAGCTGGAGCACGCGATCCGCGGGTCCAACGCCCAGTACGACAGCCCCGAGGTGCTGCGCCGGCTGGACGCGCGCATGCTGCAGCTTAGTCACGGCGACATCGGCTGGGACTGCTTCACGCTCGAGTACAAGATCGACGCGCCGTGCGACGTCGTCGTCTCGGACTGGGGCGCGCGCCAGTACCTCAAGGTCTTCAACTTCCTGTGGCGCGTCAAGCGCGTCGAGTTCGCCCTGTCGTCGGCCTGGCGCAAGGCGACGACGGGCTCGCGCGGCGTGCTGCAGACGCCCCGCCCCCAGGTCGCCGAGGCCTGGCGCACCACGCGCGGCGTCCTGGCCGAGATGGTCCACTTCGTCGGCCAGCTGCAGTACTACATCCTGTTCGAGGTCATCGAGTCGTCGTGGACCGAGCTGCAGGCCAAGCTGCGCGCCCCCGACGCCACCCTCGACGACGTCATCCGCGCCCACGCCGCCTACCTCAACGCCATCACCCACAAGGGCCTGCTGGGCGTGCGCCGCCGCCGCTTCGCCGGCGCCGACCGCGACGAGGACGAGAACAGCTACATGGTCCAGCTGGCCGACCTGCTGCGCAGCATGCTGGCCTACCGCGACTGCGTCGACGGCCTGTACTCGTGGTCCGTGTCCGACTTCACGCGGCGCCAGGAGCTCGACTTCCAGGCCACGTCGCGCAGCCGGGCCGGGCCGCCGCGCCCGGAGGAGGACGAGGACGAGGACCGGCAGCAGCCGCCGGGCGGGCCCGAGTCCGAGTTCCCCGTGCTCCGCGAGCGTCTGCGCCACCTGGGCGACCGCTTCCGCAACAAGCTGCAGGTGCTGCTCGGCGACCTGGCCTACCAGGCCGACGTGGACCTGCGGTTCCTGGGCGTGGCCATGAACTTCAACGACGTGTACCAGCCCATCCGCAAGAAGCCCAAGGGGACGCCGGCAGCGAGCACGACGAGCGGCGGCGGGAAGTGAGAGGACACCGGGGAAATGAATGGGAATGCTGTGTGTGGACTAAAGGCAGGATGGGCTTTGGGGTCACGGAGGAACAGCACGCTTCCGTAGACTACCGGACAAGCTGATCGATCATGCTGGAGTTGAGCGATGATTAATAGCACTTTATGAGGGAACAGTTATGGTTTATGTCAGAAGACCTCGCTAAACAAGCACAACGGGACTTTTTGGGAGATATGATTGATTACAGTGACTATATATATGTATATATATGTGCACTAAGTTGAGTGTGACAAAGGGAAAGTGTGAGAAGTTCATATCATATCGTCATTCATACGTCCAGCGATCGTAAAACGTAGACATGGGCCTCTTCTCTATCCGCCCTTTCCTGCGTGAAAGATGATGAATGGATCGCAATGGTATAGCCGCCAACGCCGCATTCATGATCTTTCCGAATGATCCTGTCCGGAGTCTGTCCTGTCCCTTTTTGTTTATGAGTCCGTCATGGTCCAAATACAAGGATGTCTAGGCTCTCGCCGTTTATATCTACATGTTGTTCCAAAGAGTGCCTGCTTCTTCCTTCAGGCTGGTCGGCTACCAAGTAAAACAAGTCCTTCACTGCTTCCTCCAAAAGTTCGAGGGATTTCTTGATGCAGGCTCGGCCAGCTGATATTTGCCGAAGCCTTGACACCAGATTCCCTTCCATTGTGGTCGTTATCGTGAAGTGGGTGGGGGTGGAATAGGGATAGGGTAGTTGAGAAGAGTTTGTGCGTGACTAATGCAACAGTCAAGCGCAATGATTAGTAGCCAAATTGGGCCACACATCTTTCTGTCTAGCGGTAGCCAGTTCGAGGAGGGAGAGCACTTGGTCGCCAAATCGAGGTACCGATAGTATGAGGTACCTCGAGGGAGTGCAAATAAGATTTGCCAATTCGTAGCCGAAATCCTGACGTGGTCCTGAGACAGTCAAGAACCGACATCTGTGAGTAGACGCCGACTGGAGCCTTGTAAAAAGGCATGCGTATCCAGCAGAACTGGGAGAGATGCCACCAAGGCATGTCATCGCAGCTTGATCGTAATATCCAGTCAACCAACAAGATCAAGCAACATGAGGTAGGCAGTGAGACGGCAGTGTCTAAAAGCTGCCTATCAAGGTATGCTGGGACCGTTTAGACATCCGTCATCTCTGTGTCAAGTGAGACCGGTTCGTATTCTTCATCTGCTGGGCCCCAGTTGCCCTCAAACACTGTCGCTCCTGCACGCTGGCGAGAAGCTACCCAATGCAGAGAGTCAAGCTCGAGGACTTTTGTGATGGAGGGTCGGCAGATAGGCTCGGCGGTCAGCATACATTTGACCACATTATCCAAAGAGCTTGGGTCTGTAGCTTCTCGCATGAAGGTCGGTGGCTCCAGCAACTCGTGCTTCCGGGCGAGGCCGAAGATGTCGCCCGACTGCCTTCTGCCTCGGAAAATGTTTGCGCGGCGCGGTTGTCGAGATAGTGTACCGTCTTCCGACATAACACCGACGCTGCGGTCGGTGTCTTCAATTGGCATGCCAGTGGCATCACGCAACACGGCGTTCGCATCCTGGGTAAGGGCTGGAACTTCGGAGAAATCACCAGTTCTAAGTGCAGTCCACGTGGCACCGTTGTCGGGCAGCTTGACGTTGGCTGCAATTTCTAGCATGATGAGGCCCAGAGAAAACACGTCAGCTGGCTTGTCAATCTCTCCGCGGAGAACTTCGTAGGCAAGATATTCGCGGTCGCCCTCAAAGTCGGGCCCCTTCTCGACGGGTAGTGCTGCTGCCATGCCAAAGTCACCGATTTTGAGAGTACCTTCAAAGTCGATGAGGATGTTGGAGGGCTTTAGATCAAGATGAACGAACCCAGCGTTGTGAATGTGTTGCAGGCCCTGTGATTTCTGTTAGTACAAAATTTTCTTCAAGCCTGCTACAGATTGGGAAGCTCACCTGACCAAGCTCCAGCATGATTTTCCAGATCCTGAAGTCATCAAGTCGACCCCGAAGACCAACGTCGGCAAGAAATACATCCAGGCTGCCCTCTTCGCAATATTCTGTCTGAATGTAGAGGTTGTTCTGCTCCTCCCAGTGGCTGATCAGCTGCAACACGTGGTCGCAGCCGCGCATAGCATCCAAGGCAGTGATCTCACGCAGCCTCATGGCTCGGTCTTGAGAACCTTTCAGCGGCAACTTCAGCTTCTTCACCGCGAAGATCTTGTCCGACGTAGGTGAAGGAGGGGTGCGGTGCGTAGGGGTACTGAAGAAGCTTGGTGGCTGGATCGCAGTAGGCTTGGCAACATCCACAACTCTGTAGACCTGAGAGAATTCGCCTTGACCGATGAAGTCAACCTTTCCAAATCGACTCAACAACGAAGCATCCACCTGATGGGCAGCCAAGCCATTCGTGGGCGTGATGGCACGGCGGTCCTGGAAAAGTGAGAAGGTGTCATGTCGAGCAGTGGGCGTTGCTGGCGGAAGGTTGGAGACCTTGCCACTGCTCGTAGGGAACAGGAAGCTCTCGTTGGGATTCGAGATCGAAAGTCGACTCGCGTCAGGGGCTACATCAAGAGTGTCATTGTCAAGAGGCGTCCTTGGGGATGCCTTGTCGCCAAATTCTAGTCTCTCCAGAGGACTCGCTGAAACAGGGTTATTCTTAGCAAACTCGAACTCTTTGTAGGATTTCTCAATGGAAGACATTGCCCTCGTCTTGAGCGGCGCGGGTATCGAGAAAGATCCCCGCTTGGCACGAGTTCGACGGAAGGACGGCAAGGAAATTGCAATGGGAGGAACGGGTCCCTTAACAACGGGTGTGTTGGAGTCCGGAGGGCTACCGCTTGGTACAACGGCCACTCCAACTTGCCCATCGTCGCAGGGCCCTGGGTGAGGGCTATACTTACAGCTCGGAGCTGCGTCTTGCTGCCAGGAACCCTTGCCAAGGGCTGAGACGGGAGCAATAATGTGGCGATTGGCTGTTGGACTGTCGTTGGTCAAGAGGTCCAGGTTGCTCGGGGTCTGAGAGAGAAGCTGTTGCTTGGTAGGTGTAGGCGGTACGTCGACGTCAGAAGTCATCTGGCTATCTCCGTTCAAGTCAATTGGGCTTCTGCCATCATCACTGTACAGGCTGAGAAGGCTGCCCTTTCGAGCATGCTTCCCGCCGAAGGACGAGAACAGACCAGGTCTGCCACTCTGGTTACCGAAGGTGTTCGGGGCCTGAGATGGTTCGCCCATGGCGTTGAACGGGGTGGACGGTGCGCCGAAGGTGTGGCGGATGTTGCGTCCACCTCTCGGCTTGATGTTGCTCGCCGGGATGGGTGGGTAGGTCGCAAAGATATTTGCCTGCCTCTTGCACGGCGTATCAGGAACAGCTGCGGTCCCACGAGGGCCAACAGGCTCCAGCTCGGGATTGCGGTTCATCTTGGACACCAAGCCAGTTGATGCGAATGCACCAAAGAAAGGCTTCGCAGCCTTGTAGTCAGGCGTAGACACGCTGCCAGAGATCGGCGCATCATCTTCAGCCGTTGGTCGCAAGGCACCTGGAGGCAAACTCTTGGACCAGTTCATAGGTGCCCGAGGCTTTTCGCTAATGACGGGGAAATGGGTGGGCGACTCGTCGGGGATACTGGAATTTGACGACGATGTTGTAATCGTCCGCGACAACGGATGAGGCTGGTGCGCCGGGCGGGGCTGCAGACCCATTGCATGCGACGATGGGTTGGGAAGCGGGGCGGGAATATTGAACGGGCTTTCGCGCTGAGGCGGCGGCATGTAGTGGTCCAGCGAAAGTCGCGGACGTTGCTCCTTGACCGGAGTCGTCACTGGAGACCCCTCGCTGTTGGCAAGATGCGACAGGTGCTCCGCCGCGTGTCGTCTTCCCCAAGACCGCTGTTTGCGTTGCTGCAGGGTTGAATGGCGTAGGGAGCCTGATCGTCGCGGCATGCCCGATGGAGTGGTAGAAATGGGTGAGTCGGATGGGTTCTTGTTACCAGAACCTGTCCAACCATACTCTCGGCTGGACTCGTCGTTGATATCATTGCTGGGCGAGGTTGGGCCGTGGTCAAAGATGGAGAAGTTCTCTGCAAAACTCGAAGGCCCGTAGCTCCTACGCTTGGCCTTCGGACTGCCAAAAGTCGACTGGTCCAGGTTCAAGGTCGCATCACTGCGCTTCAGTGGGCTGGCGGTGGCACTCGGTGTACTGCTCTCGCCGAAGCGCGATATGGCCTGTAACGATGCGCCTGACATGTCCAAGTGCATACTGTGGCGGGACTTTGTCTTCTCGAAACTTCTGCGCGGCGCCGGACTGCGGGCTCGGAAAATGTTGGAGTTCTCTTGGCCGGGCACGATGTCAAACTCGGTTGGGCAGGGAGTCGAGTTGCCAGCCGAGGGCGAAGCAACACTCAAAGCGCGCTTCGAGGGGCTCTTTGGTGAAGTTCGGTTGCGCGTAGCAGATCTGGGTGCAAAGGCAGGCGAGCTGCCACCGGCGGATTTCGAGGCGGATTTGGCGGAGCGCAAAGACAACTTGGCACTAGGGCGGAAAGGTGTTGCGAGGGGCGTTTGCGCGAGGAGTGATTGTGTGGTAGGCGCGTTGTTCTGCGAGTTGAAGGCGCCAAACTGCTGAGAGGCCATGCGTCGCAGTGAGGGCGAGGCGGGCGAAGGTGAGTTTGGTGAGTTTGCGGAGCTTGCGGAAGCATCTGACCCCATGGACGCGGTTCGGGCGAGGTGAAATTTCGACGGCGACCGCGATATCGATCGCCTCAACGACCGCACAGCGGCCTGAACGTCGATGTGATTGGGGTGGGTAGGGCTGGGCAGGGTGAGGGTGCCGCCACCACTGTTGCTGAATGACATGGTGAAGAGATGGAGTGCGCCGTGAGGACGCGACGCGGGGAGTAACAAAGGCCTTTCTGTCGAAGCGATCTGGGGACTGCCTGGGTTGTTGGAGCGCAGCACAGAAATTCCTAGACCAGAGAGCGCAGGTCGAGGGACGATGTGTGACGCGAGGAAACGGGCGCAAGGCAAATTAATCAGGTCGAGTCGCCGACATCAGCGCCAAAACAATACGTCGAAAGCAGGCGTTCGCAGACAGCGGCGGGGTGAGAGCGAGCGGGTGTGTGTATGTTGACTCTCGACAATGCGATTGATAGATAGCTGCTGGCTGGAATGAAATGAGACTGGAATGAGGCCGGGTGGGAAGGAGGCTCTAGCTCGGGAGTGGTGTCTCAGATGGATGGGTGTGGGAGTGAGCTGATCTACCTTAGCCACGAGGAAGAGACATCGACATCATACGCGCACGTACAGCCCAGGTCGGTGGTGTCAGAGGCGCGGATAACAGACAAGAGGGACAGACAGACAACACGCGCCAACCAGTTCCCCAGGACCCCTAAAAAGCGAGCGCGGAAAGTCGTCGCCAACGTCGGGCACTTGGGCACTTGATCAGCAACGCATTCGACTGGAAAATACTTGGAGGTGGCGAGTTGAGGGAAACTAGGAAGAAAAGAAGGGGACCAAGGACCAAGGACCAACACCAACGAGCGAGACACGACCGACTGGGGGGGGAGATGGTGGGCGTGTCTGTCTGTGTATGTGGACAGTGTGGTAGACTTGGGCGCGGGCACATGGGCAAGACCTGTGGACTGGACTGGCAAGACTGGGGGGGAGACTGGGACTGGGCTGGGACGAGCCAAGCAGATACCAGCGGCTTCCCGGCTACAGGGGGGGTTTCTTCCCATGGACTTGGCTTTTTGGCTGGCTTCTACGGGCTGCCCTGGCTGCTACCAGGTCGCGGAGGGCAAAAACGGGGTACGTGGCAGGTGCTGTGGACCGCCCGTGGCCATCGTTGGTGGTGGAAGGCGGCGACGGCTCACTGATCAGCGGCGCCCATCGTGGGCTGCGCGGGCAGATGGGCAGGCTGGCAGGTGGGCGGGCAGTCAGAACCCAGATGCGCACACTCTAAAGTAAACAATGGAAAGCGCGTCAGACGCGTCGGGCCAGGATCAGGGGACAAGCAGGAGGCGCCAGCCGAGCGGAAAAGCGGGTCGCCACATTTTGGGCAGGGGTGGGGCTGCATGGGCATCATGGGCCTGGGCCAAATGGCTTTCCACGCAACCATCTGCCACCGGGACGGGCTGCGGTGCGTGTGGCAAAAATGAGATGACATCTGTATGTCTCTCTCCCGGATTGACTCTCCCCCCTTCTCCCCAGCGCAGAGGCGGCGCCCAGCGCCCAACTATCGTGCCCTATTTCGCATCGGCGAGCAAATCGAGCGTAGAGCAGGCAGCGCAGCACCAAAGGCGAGCGATATTGGCTGCCTGCCCGTCCTCTGGCCCGCCCAGGTTGTCAATGGATGACTCAATGGTCTTGTTTAGCCTCTGCTGCATGTCCCGCCGTGGGATGGGCGCACGCGTGGGTTGACAGACCTGACAGGCACCACCGGCTGATCTTCAGGACTGTCTGCTCCTCGACCAAAATTGGCCACACCTCGTTAAATTATTGTTTACATTGTAGCGCGATGATGGCATTGTGCAGCGCCGGTGATGGCCTCCATTGTTCGGCCCTCTGCTGCTGGCGCCGTGGAATGCGCCCAAATGTCTGCTTGTAGCTGTCGCATCACAGAGTTCCAGATTCCCACATTCACCCGTCGCGCTTCCATGGTGGCGGGCACCCTGTTCCCCTCACTGTACCTATCGCGAACCTATCGATACTCGATAGCGCATGGAGCCCGTACCCATCTGCCTCCATCGGCCTGCGTCCCCGTTGGGAGCGGTGTACCGTGTGGCCCTTGACCGCCTGGGGACGCCCCAGGGCTCGATGGCTCGCGCCGTTGCACGCCCTTGACGTCTGCTCTCCTCCCCGGCTCCTGTTCCTAAGTCCTGGGTGGCAGGGTGCGAGGTCAGCCTCCCACAGGACGGTGCTCTTGGTGCTCATCTCTTCTACTCTCCTGCACATGCCGCTCACTCGATCACGCCGTCATGCGTCAGCATTCTATTCCTCTGATCGGTCGCCTAACTACCGTAGTGGGCTCTCAGGATCGGGCCATGTCGTCAGACCAGGGGACAAGTCGGGGTTGGCGCAGTAAGAATACTCGCACGCTTACTGTTGAGTGCCTCTGCGCCGTCCTTGGGACGCTATTTTCGTGTTATTTACTTTCTTGCCCGAAATAGTAATTCTGCGCCTCATCCACCACGCGCCGCGCCACCGGCTCGCGGCCCCGTACCTGCTAATGGCAGGCTTCTTGAACGCCACGACTTTAGGCCCAACATGCAGAGGTGATCGGCTGATCTACAGGACAGGACGCGCCCGCCGTCATGACTTGACCACCCACCGCTCTGCTTGACCGCAAAGCATCAATAGCTCAGCGAGACGGTCTGCTGGGCCTACCTGGCCTGCCAGTGCAGCGATCCTGAAGCCCGTCGCATTTGTTCCAAGGGGTCCTCGAGGCGCAACAAGAATCGTCGCGCCATTGCGAACAAACCCTAGGGTTCGAAGCATCCTCAACGGGGACCCGCAGAGTCGACTCCACGTTGGGGGAAGCGCGTCGCTCCATCGGGCTTGTGAACTCTGTTTTGGAGATCTCGTGAGATCAGCATATTGCACAATGGCATTCAATAATTAAAACAATAAGATGCCGATGCCGTCGATACGACGTCTAATCAAAGTCTTCATTACTGCTCCCACGATCGGAAGTTATGAATTCATGCGCGACTCGGAGGACGGGGGTCCCATCTTCAGGCCCATCTCGCTTGTGTCCGTACATGTCTCCACCCGAGGCAAGAATAAACAAAGCTTGGGCCAGTTCGCGACAATGCCAGTCTGTGCCCCGATTGAGTTCTCCAGTCCATCTTGATCTTGCCGTTGGCGTGTGCTGAAGGGAGTGCGATATCGTATCCATTCGGATTTTCCGGTCTACTGTACACTAATAAACGAGAAACCACTACGGCGCAGGCCGACGGAGAAAAACACCCCTTGGGAATTTTATGTACGGGACTGCAGCCTGCGGCCCGCGCGAATCAGACACTCCAGGTTTGAGCCTCTTCGATGTTCTCGAAGCCTGTGAAACAGCCTTCCCGCATGCCGCCAAGCAACGAAAGCCAAAGCGCACTGCAACTTGGTGCAGGCGATCCAGCTCTCGTCCCTGGTCGTCGGGTCCAAACTGTGCTTGGGACACTCCTGATCTGCCATGTCAAAGTCGCGGCAGGGTGAAGCTGGGTTTCAACTCCCGACACGTACACGGACCAAGGGGAAGCTGAGAAGCCCGCGCCGAGGCAATGTTACGAGGACCACGAACACGACCAACACAACGTAGACTTCAGACCACCTAAAGCAGGCAGCATCCTGAGTGCCCTTTCAAGCCACATATCCCTGTATTATCCATCTATAACACGGAGCATGGATTGTGGCGTGCCAATGTAACCACCGCGAAAGGCGAGCGGGACAAGACGTTGGGCTTTCAACTACTGTGTAGATTGCGACTGTTTTCTTTCCCTTTTCGGCAATATAGTATCAAAGTACTATCATTCGGATTCATGTGAGAGCTCCGATATCTTTTCGTCCATGAACGACCTCGCTTTCCGTGTCCCCGATCGGGCTGGTCGCTCGGCAGATCGCCATTTGCATGTGTGCGTGCATGAATGCATCTGTGGCCACTGACTCCATGTTGGCGAGAATGAGGCTGGGTTGGGACAGAGTCACTCGGTCAACGACTGCTCGTTCAAGCAGCAATCAATCGTATTGCCGCTTCCCGAGACTCCGCGAGGATGCCGCGGGCTGGAAGCATCCTGCCAACAGAGCCTGTCATCTAGGCGCGAACTATCACAATCTAGTCCCATGCCATGACCAGCTATACTCCCAGGACCAGTTAGTGCTCCATCCGAGCATCCGGAACACTGTCATACAAGAGGGACCCTGATCGACAATTAAAGAATGACAGGCGCGCCAGATGTCGCCATCTAGCTGGCTTCACGGACCCTGACTGACCCGGAAACCGAAGCGCCCACGTGGTAGCTGGGTGACCCTTTAGTATAATCCCAAAGACTGGAGCGCAAATGTTTCAAGATCTCGAGGTATATCCTTGCCGTAGCTATAGACACGTTACCAGTGATCGACAGCCTCAGCAGCACATCCCCCGAAGCTTATTATAAGGCTGTTAGGGTACCCCCTCTCTAATCTCCATGTGAAGAGGGCCGCCCGCAATAATTTTATTCAGGTGCACTGCTCCAGATTAGTGCACGCGCACTACGGCGATGCCATCGTCATGCATCAAATTTTAATGCCTGGTTCACCATCGGTTTCATGACATAAAACCAAGCCGAACCCACGGGCCCGGGAGCGGACCGCCGGTGCGAGGCGTAGCCTCAATCCAGCGGGTCGCCCGCGGGTCGAGTCAGTGCACATCCCCCTCTCTGTCTCTGGCGACTCGGCGAGGCCCTGCGTGCCCATCTGCCTGTGCGGCTCCGGCGTGCGCGCCCGTGCTAGCTCGCGCCAGGCAGCCCGCCCCACGATGGCCTCAGTTGTGGAGAGGCGGTATAGTGCACCAGCCGGGATGTCCCTGGCCACGACACGTGAAGTTTCCCGATCTTGTTATGATGGCTCCGATCCCCAGGCATTAGCAAGCCGTTGACAGCAGGGCCCGTGTCCTGCCTACGTTCCTTGGAACTCCCATGGTGAGGCGGGCATTATATTACGGCTTATTGGTTTCATCCAAGCTACCAAGCACGACGATAGTCGGCCAATACTGGTCGGTATAGTGGAGACCTGTAGGGCTGGATGCCCTATCAGCCAGGCTGATATACTGGATGACATCGTGCCGAGGACTTGCGTATGACTAGATGGAATGGCGTGTAATAGCGGTTTGTAGATCAGAAGAAAGACTCACTGGACTGAATCTGGACACGATATCAATGATAGCCACGTGACTCTCGCTGCCTCAACTGTACAATCGTATGAGCAATTGTACAAATTTGCCATTCTTACTACCTAGTACTGAGACAAGGCGTAGATTAGAGCCATTATGAACGTAAATATATCATGACGAGAAATGTGATAACTTCATGATCCAGCTAGCATGCATTGTTTTCTCTACGGAGTACAACATATGAAGCAGCTAGGGCTCGAAAGACGGAGACCAAGCTCCCGTGAATTGTATTTTTGCGCATTCCTATACCTAGATCCTCTATTATTTGCCAGAAATCTAGTATATCTTTTTCAACGTAATACAGGGTAGATAGCCGTAAGTTCATAGGTGAGAACGACGAAGAACCGCTATACCTGTAGGACAGCAATGGGCAAGAATGCTTTCAACCGTGAATGTATTGCAGAAATGGGTGTCAGCGCACGTCGTTATAACGGCCATTTCCCCTGAATGATCACAGGTAATTACTTGCCCACCTGTATCACCGAACGTTTGGCTGTGTTCTCCCCTACTCAGGTCACCTTGCCAGCAATAGACAGAGTAAACCTTCGTGAAACGGACATGCGGAAACTGCATCAGTCCATACAGCCATTTTTACCCTAAGCTTCCGGGTCTGCCTTGAATGGCCTGCGATGTTGGACCTGCAAGATATCCTGTGCGCTCTGAATTGGCCGCTGCACCTCATGTGCCGATGTCGTGCCCATCTTCACCCGTTTTCTCCTCTCATCTTCTTCGAAAGCCCACTCCACATTGATTCCCAAGCTTTCCAGAAATTCTTCCCAGATGTCCCCCCAATCGTCAAACCGGAACATGTCGTGAATCGTCTCATCGTCGTACTCGTCGAAAATGCAATCTGGTCTATATCGAAACCCGAGGGAAATGATATCCTCAAGGAAGTGCAGGTAAGGGTCCAAGTGAGGATGTATATAATACCCGCACCGGTAGCGCGCAGTCCGCTTCAGCGAAGGTTCTTTGGCAATCAGCAACTCTTCTTCGGCAATATTAAGCTGAGCAACCATTTTCCGTGCAGCGAAATGCACAGGAAATTCGACCGTAGTGGATTTGAATTCCAATTTAGCTCTTTCACACAAAAGTATGTGCAAAATTTGTGTTCCTATCCTTGCGAATTGGTATGCGGCATCAAGGATCGAAGACTCTGTCTTCCAACCTCGAGGAGCACCTTCCCAACCTGGACCTAGCGCTTGTTTTATGTAATATATGATCACTTTGACCCAAACTTCATCGTCAAATAACAAATCGAATCCCATGGATTTGCAAAGCTGCTTCCAATCGCGGTAGCCCGCTCGCAGTCTATCTGGTAATCTAGATCTTTCATGAGCTCTATCCATACGCACAGAAAGCAGCGCAGTCGGAAGCCGTGAAAAGCCAGGCCAGTTAAGTTCCATGTTCGTTGAGAGTGTTTGCAGATAGAAGAACGTTTTTTGACTGGAAACCCAATCGCGCATCCCCGCTGCCAGAGCATAGGCAGCAGAAGAGAAACCGAGCCTACGAACCTGTGTTAGCTTGAGTTGACTCTATTAAAGCTCGCAGCCTTGCCTGCATCGGGCATCGACATCAGCACCGCAACTTATAAGTGCTTTGCAAATGTCAACCTCTCCGTGGAACGCAGCAAACTACTTCGTTTAGCGAAAAGCTTGCCCTCCCAAGATGGATCTTACGAACATGTAACAGACCTTCCCCAAAGGCGTTCTGGTCTGATGGCAACATGGTTTTCTCAGTCAGCATTCTGCGAACACTAATGAGGTCTCCTCGCTGGATTACTTCCCAAGCCTCATGGTACGAGGGCAAGACGCGGTATATGCGTGGTTGGAAAATAAGCTTGGGGGGCGCACATGGGTGTGTTAAGTATCGGAAGTCTCCTGTAATGCCTGTTGAGAAATACGCAGGTGACGGAATCCAGTGTGCGTTGATCTCGAATATATCCCGCGCTGGGCCGGAAGATATGAACTCAACAAGGTGTTCATACTTCAAGTAGAATTCGCCCAGTCCAACATCTATAGACCAACGCCTACGACATAGCACAGTGTAGATATTTAGACTGACGTCCGTTCTGATTGTCTGATGTTGATATCTACGAACAGTTTCAGTGTCGTCTCCCTTCGAGTTCATCTCCGGAGTTGTTGGCTCTTTCATTGACACTGTTTTCTCGACCTGTAAGCCACTTGAAAGCTCTGTATTTTCTCGTGAGCTCTTGAGTGCATCGCCTAGGCGGATCTCCATTTGTTGTGTAGCGTGGCGGAAGAATGTTTCTACACACGCGAGTTCGGCCAAAGAATTGGCTTTGAGTTCGTCTCGGACCGCCTCAATGATCGATCCTTGAATTTCTCGAAAACCTGCTCCGAATGTGTCTTCAAAAGGCGACAAAATGGACTCAGGAGTTGATACCGGCTGGAATGATCCAGCAAAGCGTCGATCGCCCTCAAGCCCGAAGCCCACACTATTTTGACTCTGAGACTTCTCTTGCGGTTGCCACTGTGTGATCTGGTGTGATAATGCAGCATGGTTGCCATTGATCAGCGATATGGTATTTTGGATCTGAGTTTCGAGACCCTTATTCTCCATGCTGAGCTCTTCGAGCTGACGTGCCGCCTTTTTTAGCTGATCGTCGATGGACTGCAAGGCTATAGGTGATATTTGTCTAGCCGACGCCCTACTCATCAAATGGAACTGAATTTCACTCCTGAAATGGTGCAGACGCTCGGTAATCTCTTGTATCTCTCTCTTATTCCACATGCACTTAAGAGCTGTTTTGGATCGTTTGAGGAAGGTGGCTTGTCTGCCTGGATGGACGCCGCATGTTTCAAGTCGTTGCAAAAGTTGTCGCGCGAGTACACAGCAGCCTTCCGCAACTGGTTGTAAAGCCTGTGACTACAGATCAGTACAGTCCATGCCATTCGTTTGTGCCAGTGTGGGTTTCTGCAAGATCATATTCCTTCAAGCTCACATGACGGACAGCAAGACTTTGAGGTACACAGCAGGCTTCTCACGGAGCAGGACTATATCCATGCTAGCACATAACAGGCCCCCTAATTGAAAGCGGCGATCATGATAGACATGAGAAAAGTGCTGTGGCGAGCATCACTTTGTTTTGACTGACCTTGTCGTCTGCGTTGACCGTCGCAGTTCCTTGTTCAAGAGCCTTAGCCTCGTCACTGATTTTCCCGGTCAGGTCCCTCAAGTGTGCTACAATTACTGCATGATCTTGATTTTCAGCTGAGGCTGCGTTGTGACGGAGCTCGTGGAAAGTATGGAGAAGCTTGGATGCAAAATCCACGAACTGGACCGCGTTGGACGCTACACCGACGGCGACAAGAGCCTCCATTGTCAACGTGCCTGAGTGGTTGCAATACTGAAGAAGGGAAAGAAGGAAGAGGTGGGGTAGGCAGAAGATATCCTGTGGGCTGTATCGGGAGAGACTGATTTGCACTGCCGCCTAAGCTGCATCAAGTGAACAGCCCAACGCAGAGCCTTGCGATTTTTCATCCAATCATTCAACCTTACTCATCAGTACAGCTGCATTAGCTACGCGGTGTGAGACAACAAGCCGGAAGTACAGGAATGACGAGGGACTTGCAATTAGAGCGTGAGGAGAAAAGAGAAGGGCGGGAGGAGAGGGCTGCGGAGGGTGCTGGATGAACAGGATAGTCATATATATATCGCTGGAGCTGCCATTGTGACGCTGGCTCTTGAAATTGGCAAGCATTGAACGTCCAAGATCTGCAATAACTTGGCATTTCCCACTGTCTTGCAGCGGACTGGTGCTCTCTACTTGCTCTCCTGGTTTGGTAGCACGTTTCATAATTTACTTCATAATCAGCTGTGGAAGGACTACTAACCCACTAGGCTTGTGAAAAATGCAAGTTCATGTAGGGTCACGCGATCTAAAGTGTAACACAACCACTTAGCAGTAACTTACCGAATGAATATAAGACCGTAATCAAATCCAGCAACATAACATAATCAATGACAATCTTGAACACGAGCCTAGCGATGCGGTAGGTTATTTCATGCCTGCGCTGAGTGAACAGCTTCCGTATGTTGCATTTCTAGGCTGTCGTAGGCTGATCGATCGGGATGATTTTAGTTCTGTGGATTGGAACCCGTCATTCTATTGGTTCTATAGAGGCTATCGAGGAGAAACGGACAAATCCAAGGGTGAAAAAAGGGATGAAGGAAGGGATTGGCACCAATTACATAGTCGTAGTCAAATTTATCACTTACAAGCCGGGTGTAACATCCCTCCGCAAGGGTACCTAGGTACTCATCAGGTTGGAAGTCAGGTTGTTGAACACCTTCGTGTTGCCCAGCGCTAGTTTGGCGTATGGCGCTCGATTAGGCTTGGCAGCCGTTGAGCAAGGGCCAATGCCCGAAGGACAGCACATCAACACAACCCGACAGCCACTGTGGCAGTGGCGCGACCTACGAACATCAGTCCTTGAATCCGACAACGTCGCATGGATTGAAGAGTGTCCGAGGAGACGTCGCACGCTGGTGCTGCACGATTGAGTCGCGGGCGGTGGGACGCAAAAATGTCCCCTATTGGGCTCATAGATCATTACCCCCCTCGCATTGCCAACGGATGACCATAGGGAGCAAGCTCAACGCGTGCTCACGCCGTCGGGGTCATGGCACCTCCCTCAGTTCGTATCCCAACGCTCAGGGAATGACCAAGGCTTACTTACCATCGTCAAGACTCCAACGCCTCATCGCTTTCTCGTTCCCAAGAGGTCAGCATCTCAGAGAAACAGTACCCCCCAAACGCTCCAAGGCGGGACGCAACAGTTCCATGCGACTCCACGTTTCTCACTTCATTCAACCCCCCGGGAGCCTGCGCCATCGTTGACATCATCAACACCCGCTCGCCCAGCTGCTTTTCTACGCCAACGAGCCTCGGATAGCATCAGTGATGTGCTAGACAGCTCACCACCCGTTCCGCAGCCTTCTGCCCATTCAAACGACTCTATCGAGGTAGACTCTATCCCGGCATCTTCTGCTTTTCCCGCAGGTGAATATAAATCCCAGCCTGAAGCGAGTGATGACGAGGCAGATCGGCCTTCCCATAAGAGACGCCGCTTGTCTGAGATTTCCGTCGTCGATTCACACACTTCGCTGGTATCGGCAGAGGATCAATCGTTTCAAGTAGTCGATGAGCAGCATGTGGTTAACGATTCTGATGAACTTTCCGGCGCAGAGTCCGATGCGCCCGAGTCTCCTAAGGTTGCCTCGTTGCAGCAGCCAATCTTCCATAGAGCACCTCGCTTTATACCTGTGGAAAAGCCGGAAGAATCGCATCAAGAACCTCTTCCGGACGTGTTCTCGCCACGTCGGCGAGGTGCTAAATATGTGCCTGGCGGTCTTGCTGCGGAATTGAGAGGCTGGCTGATGGATATAGAAGCAAATACGGGACCCAAAAGAGAGGATGAATTTGTTGCTCGGGTCCGCGTACACGAAGTTCGACGCGGAACGGGTGTCACTCTAATCACAGGTCGATTCATATCGGATGAGAACCCCCTTGAGCAACACCGAGGTCAATATCCCACCATGAGGATCATGCTCGCGGGAGAGGGACGTTTGGCTGGCCTTGCGAGGAGAAACGAAGTCACCGTTGACTCTATTATCGGCATTGCTAAGCCAGTCTGGGAGGCAAACCTGGGATACGAAAGCCGGTGGGCAGCTGTAGCATGTGATTGGGTGGTACTATGAGTTGCTACCTCCTAGTCGCAACATTGATTTGCTATATCTATCAGGATTTTGGAGATATCTCTTGATAAACCCTTTGACATTACTTGGATAGACTGCACCATGATCACTTTACCGTATAAATCTCGTAAATACCTAGGGCCCCAAAAAGAGACTCCAGCTAGGTGTCTCAAAGTGTGGAGCACCAGAATTATATCTAGGGTCAAAACAGCCAGGACTTATCAAACGCAAGGAGTATTCAATTTCGACGTTCTGGAGCTTTCCCGGGGAGTCAATATGCAGGCAAGAGCTCATTCGCATGCGTGACCTAAAGAAGCAAACAGCCCGCGGTGCGTTACGGGATTCAGAGGTCAATCCCGCCTAATGCTACCCACCACAACCCGCGACCCTGTCTACATCCTGGAAGACAGGAATGCCTGTCAAAGCCATGGTCCAAGGCTCCGGATGAAATTAGATGAGAATGACTTCTCGCAACGAGCTTCTATAACTTAAGATCACACCTTCTCAGAGACAGAGAGCTGTCTTCGCTAATCTAGTCACGCAAGTGCTACGCAGGAGATACCCAAGCATCATCAGGCCGCGGGTGCGAGCGGTGCAGACGAACCGAACTGTCCATTTTTCTGTACGCTATCAAGAAACTTTTCCCTTATCTAAACTCCACGCTGTTAATTACACCTTTTGGCTTTTATAACCGTCGATTCCCTGTTATAAGGCATCCCAATGACCTGGCTGGCGCTGATCTCTCGTATCCATGACCTGCACTTTGACGTCTGTGCGCTTGTAAATGGCATTTCTAGGAAGCCTTGTTCCCGTGCTACCCTCGGCCCTCCGGGACTCGAGGTCGTGCATCTCCAGATCCGCCAGGCTCCTTTTGCCAGGGCTTCCACCTGTGACGATAGCCCGCCCGCTACCAGTGTCGTCCTTGTCGTCGTTGAAGCTGGCGTAGCCTTGAGACCGGGCGCCATGGCTGCTCGGCCACTTGTTTCCACCCGTGCCCGTGCCCCCTGTCCGCGACTTCTTATTTGTGCTGCCGAGTGTCGAGCGGAAGCCCAGCTTGTAGCTTGCGAGTCGGATCAGGGGCTGCAACGCCGGGAAACACGCCGTCCAGAGACCTATATGCCCTTCTATATCGGTCCATGGCGCCACGCGGGCCATTTTGTAGGTTCTGTGAGATACGCTACATCAGAACTGGTACCTTGTGTAGTAGTACTGGACTCATCGGTAAGTGGACTTACGTGTCTGTTGTGAAATCAGTGTTGATGTTGATGATGAGTCTAACGATACCCGTGATCACACCGAAGATACCGACACAGAAGACAAGTATCACCTGGACCGTCTTGGCAGAGAACTTCATCTTCGAGTAAATGACCCATATTGGCAGTGCGACGAGGCAGATGTCGATGAGGATGCCGACCGCTCCGTGAGCCCATATCATTGGTGCCTCCTTGGCTTTATCTAGACATTCTCGACCCGGGGCAGTGACATCCCAGAGATCGCTGAGCGTACCATGCATCAGCCGAGGTTGAATGGGTAGAGATGAAGGACGAAATAGTACAACTCACGGGACATGTTTACACTCCGCAAGTTCGAAAAAGAACGCGATAAGAGTGATGGAGATAATCACGAATGAAACTGCATAGATGCATCGCAGAAACGTTCCTATGATCGCTGTGAGCACATTAGCCCGCAGGTCAGGGTGCTTGTCTAACATACTGTCGTGGCTCAATCGTGGATAGAAGGCTGCTATTGAGAGACGCACAATCCCGGTGCCCCAGTAGTACAGGAGCTGGAGTGTCACCAGATACTGTGATACCTATGTAAGTGTGATTCCAAGTTGTGCTGCTTGGGTTTGCGCTGACCGAGAAGAAAGTTGGGATTCTCTGGGGCGGTATTTCGCTCATATGTGTCCCTGATCCAACTCCCACTGCTAGGATCTCGAGTACGGCTTGCGCTGTCAGTATGACCTGAGAATCTTAGCATGGCCTACTATATTTCGCCACACAACAACCTCGTACATATGCGATTGCCGCTAGTAGGTCATCCAGCCCAAGCACCTTGACCATGAAGCCGCGAACATACAGCCGAGTGAACAGTAAAGTTGATGAGATAACTATTAGGGCTATGTTGAGGTTGACCTGAATACTACCCTTCGAGTCGGCAGGGAGGTCAAATATTGTAAACTCGATTGGCCCCGGAGCGCTCATGGTGATGATTTGGCTGTCTTACAAGGCACCAGGCCTTGTCATGCGTGAATATTTCTTGAGGATGAAAAGCAAAAACAAGCACTGCTGTCAAGTCGAGAGAGTTCTTCTAATGCGGAACTTAAGGGTATCTGGTTTAACTTTAACTGAGCATGGGCGCGCGAGGCATGTGCGTCCTGACCCGTTGGCTCGGACCTTGTTCAACGGGCAGTTGATGTTGCAACCGGCAGAATCCGTGAGTCCGAGCACTTGAATCGTTCTCGTCTCTTCATTCAGAGAGACTGCCTTCGGACAACAGAGGTTCCTACTGTAAGGTAAAACAGTATTCGGTGAAGTATAACGACAGGGATGCACTCCAGTATCGACTCGGAGGATTCTGCATCGACTATTCAATCCCTAACCTGGCGCAAGCCACCTCGCATCTTACACGATGCAGACATGATCTCACTTGACGCGTACGAGGAGACGTCGTCACACGGAAGGGGGCGACAGGTACCCGCGTGCATTGCAGGGTGACAATGAACGTCTAGCGATACACGTAACACTACCGGGACCGTGTCCTCGAAGCGCTCTCACTGGGGTACTATTGCACTGAAATCGCAATGCCGGCACTCAACACCTTTTGGCCTTGCAGCTTGTATGCATGTCTTTCCGCATGTACGAGTAATTGATGACCACCGTATTAGGTTATAAAGCCCAGAATAGAGGGAATACTGCACAGACCCACCTCTACTTCTGTTGACTGATATTCTGGGAACTTGCACTACCTTTGATGGTTGCCCCGACAGGCGTTGAGAGGTGTAGAGATATTCCCTCAGACACCTATATGCATTCTTGTAAATGTGGTAATGGAATCCGTATCATTGACTGGCAAGAGAGGTGACCCTTGTCCAGTGGCCAGGCCCCATGAAGTATTGCGACGGTGAGTGGCCAAGATCAGTGTTACGTTGGTTATGGTTTCGAATGGAACGCTTGGTATTCATGTGGTTGAAAATAGAAAGTAGCCGTGCTTCGATCAGGCCCTTCGAGTTCGCTTACAAGGGGCAACGTCTTTCCATGGTTTATGCCGTGACGGAAACCGCTGAGGGAATCTTACAATTTGAGTAACAAGCTAAGGGGCGACACCAAGCTGATACGTATGTACCACGGAGGCGTGTCTTCGATAGGAAGCTGGTGTATATGGACAGCTGCATCCGAACCTGTTCAGACACTAGATATGGAGACATAACGCATAGGGTTTTGCAGTAGTTGCGTCATCCGTTGAGATCTCGCCCAAGTTAGTTAGTGAGCAACCAGATGAGGGGTTCGTCGCGAGGTGTGAGAACTGCATAGGCTAATTTGGTTGGGTAGGGGATTGCTGCAGGGATCAGCAGGTTCCAAGATCTATCCTGGATTGCATCTGGTTTGTGGACAAGTCTGGGGCCAAAAGTTTTTGCTTCGGACGAATCTACCTTATGTGCGTCGAAACGTCCGAAGCGATGTCGAAATCCGATCAAGCTGCTCATTGAGAGACCGTGAATTTCATCAGGCCGCTTAAGTCAGGAATATTCGAACTTGCTAGACTTGCAAGACATGCCAAACATGACGACCCGGCAGGCACTGCCCGTAGTGTAATGGCTAAGATGTAAGTAAATAGCACAAGGAGGCCACTGCAGCGCCGGACAGGACGGTAGATACTCGTCGAGTACTGTAGTACAGTGGTCAGTTGTAGCGGCGTCGGGCCGGCCACCCCTGCTTTCTAGAGAGGTTTCCAGCGCCCAAACCCCTGTTCAATGGCATGATCGGCTCTCTTCCGCTGGATCCAGACCCTGTAGGCCCACCAAGTTACCCCAAGCCCCACTAGATAAAGCCTTCCTCGCGTCCGTGGATGTGGTCGCAGACAATTTAGGATCCATTCAACCCGCTGAAATGGCCACAACCCCGCTATCCCCCCTGGACAGGACCCTACCATAGCAGAACAGGCACACAGCAGTATGTCCGTATTGTCAGCCTTGACCAGCTAACTCCAGGTTTCGCGGTCCTTGTCTGATCTCGTGAACTGGGCCAACCAACATCCACCCCTACATACCTACCAGGTAGATATGCATACGAACGAGGCTCGTCAGAAAGTACTTCAGGCATTACGTCTAGGCAAGATTCGTCAAGTATCAACCCGCACTGTTCTAAAGTCAAGTAGAGACTAGAAATGTGACTACTTTATTCTGTTAATCGAGCAGTGCTCCTGAGGGTTGAGGGTATCAACTTCCACGGGCCGTTTGTTTTGTCGCTTAATCCTCCATCGCTGCTGTATTGGAGGAGGCATTGACGCTCGATCTCGTTCCATCAAATTTCCACGGTTCAGGGTCTATTTGAGAAAGCAGGTTGTGGAGGATCAGTATCCCTGGAAGAAAGCCGACCGAGTGGTTCACACACCCTAACCTAGACACTCGCTTTGGTTGACCCGTCCTCCGCATTTCGCCCGTGCCTGGGGAATCGACATGAATCTGTCTGATTTTATTACCTTCGCCGATTCTAGTGTGATCTTCTTGAGTCTATGCCAGGACTCCTAAGATGACCATACTTTTTACTTGTCTCCCAGACGCAGATGTTGCGGAAAGCCTTCCCTTCGCCTGGGCAACCGGGCGGAAAGTTTGGACTATCGAAATGGTGGGTTGCAGCGGAGGAGATCTCACGGGCCGCAAGATCGGTCACAAACTAAGGCACCGGGGTCTGCACCGTACCTGAACCCATAGGAGGCACGAACGACCGGGAGTTTTCCAATACAGGGTCTACCCTCCGCCTCCTGGTGCAATCGACTTGCAACTCGACAAGGATTGATGGAGATGTCGAGCATGGAGGTCTAAATACTCGGAGTCGAGAATAGCGCAGACCAACTTGGTCTCTACGACGCCTTAGTCAGAGGCCCGCGGATCGCACAACAATAATCCTACATCACGGTGGAGATCTTGTTGCCTTCTGTACACTAGCTTCGGATTACGGACCGAGTCACAAAACGAGGAGGTATTGTAGTTGTAGACGAACTTTAACGACTCGTACGGTGCCGCAGCAGCTCTCATCCTGGGTATTGCTGTTCTGAGTATCACCGCCCTATGAGGTAGAGAGACTCGCGAAATCATGACCTCGATGCCCCTTTTCAACTGGTATCCTTGTTGCCGAGCGGTACGAGAAAGCGAGCAACTCCATTCTCTGGGCACGGCTGACTAAGGATCAGAAGAGACTCAACGCCGGACAAACAGCACACATACGGCTTAGTATGAACCCGATGAATGTAGTTTGCCTGCAAAAGCTTCTCGCCCTTGATTAGCATCCATGGAACGCAGCTTTCAGAAGCAAGGCCTGAAATGCACACATAACAAATTGACATGACTAGTGGGTCAAAGCTGGGTGAGACCATGTCCGCGCCTCTTATTCGCTTATGCATCATTTAGCATAGCAAATCCTGGGTTGGATTTGGAGTAGGTATGTGCGGTTGAGCTGGCCTACCACTCTTGTGATATAAGTCCCTTTAGCCGCATCCGCTGCGTGCCTGGCTTGTTCGTTTCTAGGCGGACAAGGCGCGCGTTTCGGCACTCGAGACTTGCTACTGGGTTCTCTTCACTTGTCACTAATCACGGTCCCTCGTTTGTTCCGTAACCGCACGCCACCATGCACCTTTCAGTGAGTGGCTTGGCTGCCATGCTGCTGGCATTCACCGAGCTTGGTTCCGCTGAGGCAGTATGCAGGAACCCTTTGGTCAGAAAGGAATGGTTCGTACATGAACGGACGCTTCAACTAACCTGCTAATATATGCGATGCTGACATGCGGCAGGCGTACCCTCAGTAACAAGGAGAAACAGAGCTACATTGCTGCTGTGAAGTGCTTACAGAGTGCACCCGCCAAGACCAGCTCCACCTACCCAGGCGCAGTCTCGCGGTTCGATGACTTCCAAGCAGAACACATCAACAGAACGGACTTTATTCACTTTGTGGGCTTCTTCCAGCCGTGAGTCGTATTTGATAGAGCTGCTCACCACCGCCCTGACTGATACCATGCAGGTGGCACCGCATGTTCGTGGCTCAGTATGAGGCGGATCTAAGGTCTACTTGTGGTTATACTGGGGCCCAGCCGTAAGTGTTTCCCGACTGGTTCACGAGTTTTGCTGACATCTTCAAGGTATTGGAGTAAGGAGCATACGCGTACGGGATTGATACGTTACTAACAAATGCATAGACTGGTCTGCTGATGCAACTTCCGAGGAAGCTTTCGTGAAGGCTCCCGTGTTTGACGCTGTCAATGGATTCGGAGGTTAGCTGTCTATCATCGCCCAGTGAACCTCTTCTGACTTTGAAAGGAAACGGAAACTACATCGACTCATCAAACGATACTAATGTGCGACTGCATATTCCGGGGAAGACTGGTGGCGGTAAGCCAAATCCCCGTGGTGTGCACTTGATCAGAGAATTCTAACCTCCCTTAGGCTGTGTCCAAAATGGCCCCTTCAAGAACATGACCGTCAATATGGGTCCAGGTTGGGATCTCCTGACAAGCTTCTACGGGTTTGATACTAACACACGCGAAGGATTCAACACCTCCTACAGTCCTCACTGCTTGACTCGTGATTTGGCACCTCCATTCGCGATTGAAAAGCTCAACCACGCGGCAGTGCTTCATGCACTTGAAGCACCGAATTATTATGAGTTTGACATCCGTGTCGAGGGAGGGGTCGATGTCCCGGGCATGACCTACCATGGAGGTGGCCATCTTGGTGTTGGCGGAGACCTCGGCGAGGTATACATTCTTTTCTGTGTGGTCGAGAAAGCTTACTAACGGAGTTATCAGATTGGGAACGTGTACTCTTCACCTGGAGATCCGCTCTTCTACCTGCACCACGCGAACATGGATAGGCTATGGTACACGTGGCAGAAGCTGGGTAAGATTTCCATATGGTGATCTGAAATGTGTACGTGTTGACTGATTGTTCCAGACTGGCCGGCGCGTAGGAGTGACATTGGTGGACCAGACACGCAGTTCGCCTACCCTTTCGCCTTTTTTGGCGACATTCCATACTCAAACGTGACGCTCGATTATACCATGGATTTCGGCTCACTGCGGAAGAATATCAAGATTCGCGAAGTTATGGACCCCCAGAGCGGAGCTCTCTGCTACAAGTATCTTTAGACTTGTTGAATTGGATGTGTTCGTTACACGCGTATACGAGGCAGACTCTTTCGTAATTGACTATCGCACCTCGCTGATATGTTCCGAATCCCATATTTTCCGGTACTTGTTACAGACCTTGTTCCAAATGACCTCGGCATCAATGTCAACACCCTCCTGATCCCCAAGCGCCCAGTTGACTACGGCCTCTGGCCGCTTGAGAACTTCTGTCTTGCAGTCCCTAAGCCAGAGCCACTGTGCCTCCTGCGCCTCATACCCGTTGACCCAGGAGCCATACCAATCATTCCAGGATGATAAATGATGTGTCGGATCGGGTGGATGGTACCACTTCTTGAATGAGGCCTTCAGATGTGCGTGCTTTTCCCGTAGCATGTCCAGCGTCTTCGCATCGGCGTTTTTATAGTCGACCCCGTTTCTCTTGTCGTTGTTCTTCCATGGTATTCCTGCCAAGATCTCTGTCCTGATGTTGAAGATGTACTTCTCCCGGACTGACCAGTCATTCGGCTGAACATACGGGTTGTTTTCCTTATTGACAGATTGCCAAGCAAACGTCCAACCCATATCTAGGTTTCGCCTTGCGGACAGAGTTGCTGGAAACAAGAGGCACATATACCATTCCAGTAAAACTTGCGCGAACTTCTCCCTACCATTCTCTTTGGCATAGCAGGAGTGGCACCGTAGACCTTCAAGGAATGCCTCATTGACGGTTCTGCCGTCCCAGTTTTTCATGGTATCGGCGCCCCAATGGTGCTGATAGGCGACCCACCACTTGGGCCAGACATTACCAACTCGGTATGCTGCCATATCCTTCCAAGAACAGCAGCCCGGGCACCGGATCATGTACATATTGAAGTAGTTGCCACGGGAGTCTTGGCGATAAATCATGAAAGACGGCACCTTGTCACACTCAGGCCTATAAGAGGGTAGATTCATAAATAAACCTGGAAAGTACCTCTGTTGAAGGTCGCCAAATAAATACCGCCGACTCTTGACAATGGGGACGGTCTTGGTACCAAGGTTAGCACCAGTCTGGTATGCGTAGTCTCTGTTCGGCTGTGGCGGTATGGTGTGTGATTTCAGATTGCCTGTTTGGAAGCGACACTCATTGCAGCTCCGCAGGTGCCGTTTGTATCCACAGATCTGAAGCTCGACAGACCGAGCAGCTTGGTCAAGCAGTTTTGTTTCCTCGGAAACGTCGAGAGCTTCGAATTCTGTGAGAGAAATTTGCTCAAATGCCTCGAATCCCGCGTTGCGAAAGTCCTGTAGACGATCCAACGATGCCTGGGACTCTCTGGCCTTTCCCCAGTTGAGGGTTACTGCGACAGCATACCGAAGTCTCAAGCTCTTCATCTCCGCTTGGTGAGTTGCTTTCTTGTTCCTCAGAACGCTCTTGGAAGAAGTGCTACCCGACGGCCTCCAGGAGGTGACCGGCGATGCAGCCGGAGAACCAGGGAGCGGCTTCCTGTAACCCAGACGCAGAAGGGAGTGGTTATCGAAACGCGTGTGATCGAGGAGTCGGAGGCAATGCGTGCACGCCCAACGCATGCGCTCGATCTCCTTATCGTCCCATGCGGGCTCCTGCGCGTTGTCTCGAGCGCGGAAATTGAGCGCAGGGCCTCCGAACTCCTCAAGACACTCGACGGCGAGCAAGCGCTCTACATGGTGGCTCCGAGTCGGGCGGATAGTTGCACGGAGGCTTTTGCAACACTGATTCAGACTAATCAGGCCTATAGGGTCTACCAACCGAAAAATCGCATGTTGGAGCTCGCTTGGTAGCGATTCAAGTGAGAGATGCGCGGAGGCAGTCATGCCTTGTCGGTAGGCCGGGATGTGAGTAGGCTGGCGGGGGTGCACGAGAAAAGAATCAGGCTGGTTCACTTCCTCAAACTTGGCTCCAAGATAAAAAAGGGCTCTTTTGGTGCGACAATACTTTGTATTTTATACGCGTACCAGATATTTTCACCAGGAGTGAGGATAGAGGCCAATGTGATGGACAGGCCGTCGGCAGTCATCGGATCGTGGCGATGCATGGCAGTGATGGCTCGCCGACACTGTATTAGGCCTAGCGTAACATCCTTCAGTGGGAACGGCGACTACTACGAACCCCTTGCAAGCCTGTTGCCTGAGGGTACTTATGTCACGTAACTTAGATGCGAGTACTGATGCAGGACAAAATCGAGTGCAATAGATTTAAATCTGGTATTGTACAAACTTCTCCATATTATCGTACAGTCGTAATAGTCATGATCTCTCCCAGGGTATCATCTCTCTTTCAATAATACATGTCCACCTTATCGTGGTTCCTCATCTCTACCAGTGACGACCGGTGCGGCGGCTGCCTCGGCCATCCGTGCCTCTCATTCTGCGCGTACCGGCAGCCTTCTCGCCGGGGCGATGTGTCAAGGTGCCCTTGAGCTTCAGTAGGGCGCCGGAGATTTTATCGCCCAGACTGGGCTTGCGCTTTTGGTGGTGCACGACATGCTGATGGTGCACGACCTTTCTGCGGCCAAAGAGGCCCTGACGTCTAGTGGTGGTTGTACGTGTGGTGTGCCTTCCGTGGGTGGCGTGACCGTGACGAGGAGCTGTGCGATGCATGTTGGCGGTGATGGTTTTTTTGTGTAGGATATTGGATGGGATTGTAGGTAGTTTGTGTAGGTGGAGTAGTAGAGTCTGTATGTTGACTCAAGTAAAGTTCTTGATATGTTTTGAATGTTGTTGTATAATGAGAGGAGGAAAAACGACTCTTGGGAGAGAATAACAGGAGTCTTATATCTTCGAGAACTGCAAGTATAGACCTGTGATGCAACATCGGAAACCGGCAACTGAGCCCATCATGTCATCAATGGCAGACCAAGAACACTACGTAGGACCCTGCAGATCAGCTTTCATGGAGGTTGCAAGCCGCATGATCTCCTGCCATCCATTGGTGCTCACCATGCTACAGGCTGGGACCCTACGCAGCGCGCGGGACTGAGAAAGTTGGTATTCCAAGATTCCAGGTTCTGTGACAGCTGGGGAAGCCCACTAGAATCGGCCTAGCGCCAGGGTCGAGAACCCATAAGACCCTTTATGACGCAGGGCCTCGCTCTTATCGGGCGGGGCTGCCCCAATTCCAGGGTCCACGACCAACGGGAGCTAGCAAAACACTGGGAGGCGCGTGGCTGGTATGATGTCATAAGCCACAGTTGACGTCGCGGGCTTCAGATCTTGAGAGGGCGCAAGGCAAAGGACAAACAGGGCAGCAGACGTCCTGCACCCATTGGTGGAATCGAGCGCTGGCGTAGGACGTGCTCTGGGTTGCAGATAGCCCAATACTGTCAAAACAGCTTGGCGAGGCTGTCCTGTCGCGCAATGCAGGCCTGGGGGGTTTCTGTGTTATCAACAATCTGCCAAGGCTTGAGAGAGTTCTGGCCGGTTACCCGACATGAGTACTGGTATTGCCTGTCCTCAAGTTCTCGTATGATGTATCTATCTGGTGGATGTCCTCACCCTACGGCACGTCATATTTTGACAATGACAGGTACAAAGAGGAATGCTGGTGTCTTGAGATGATGTAGATGTTGGAAGCAAAACCACGGACCTTTTGGCCAATTTCCCGAGACATTCCCAGATCAGGCTTTGGTCAAGTTTGACTTGATCTTGGCCAGATCCTCCTCCGAGAAGCCTAACTGCTCGGTGACGAACTGCTCAAACCCGCCATAATCTCTCTGGACGCCCTTGACGAATGCCGCCCACGATTCCTCTTTCAGACTACAAAGATTGTAGAAGCCCGGCTGTTCCTCACTTTGAGCTTTGGTACCAGCCATGGCAACGCCCAGAAGAAATTGCCGGACAGGCTCCGTGCCAATTCGTGACAGCAAGTAGTCAAATGTCACTACATCTGGCGAGGCGCCTGCTAAAGCTAGGAGCAACCCAGAGATCACACCAGTGCGGTCTCGCCCAGCTTTTGTATCGTCAGTAAAAGTTTTCGTATGCAGATAAATACTATGCAAAAGGACGACAACTCAGTGAATCTTACCTGTGCAGTGCACCAAGAAGGGTTCCTGAGGCCGATCCCGAACATGCTCCAAAACAGCTTTCCAAGATGCCCTGTAGATGTCCACGACCTCCATGTACATAAACTCGTAGCCCTCTTCACCTACACCCGAGATGAACATGTTGAGGTCCGGGGTAGAATCTGGTCGAGTACTCTGGATCCAAGTGTTCTCGACACCTGGGATCTCTGGGTCCGGAGCCATGCTACGTTCCTCTGGAGATCGTAGATCGAAGATGCGTTTGATGCCCAGCTTTCCCGCGATGGCAGCCTTGCCATTATCAGTCAGATGGTTGATGGTTCCAGTCCTGTGGACGAACCCAGGTCGAAGCGGGCTTCCTTCGATCAATCCCAGGTCTCGTGTGTTGAAGGTTCCGTCGACGTATACAAAGGGCGCATTCGTAATGACAGGCCCGAGAGTTTCTTTGGGTATCTCCTGTGCGACATCAGTCTGCACGAGCTCACGAAGCTCAGTAGGCCCCGCCATGGTGATGATTGGTCAAGTTGGTTGGTGATGGAAGTCTTATCACCTGTGCGACAGCATAGAGGAGCAGAATGATTCTTTTGTAACCACAAGATCGGGCCTCTGGTACACTTCTGGGCTTTTGCTACACCGCTTGAATAGATTAACCAGAAGAGTTTTACCACCAGCGATCCGTTCTTTGGATAATGCTGACGAGGATTGCAGAACGCGCCGTTGTTGACTTCAATACGACGGGACCCGAGGAGCCCCGCCCCCGCCCACCACCTGGCGCTGGCCAAAGTCCTTATATTCCGTTTTGGGCTAGGCACTTGTACTCGCTTTCGCTCAAACATACCCCCACGCTACCAATCAAAACCCTCTGAGAGTCTCAGCTGGCCTTGTTACGCAGCTTCCACTGTCCAGTATGACTCAAAGTTCTATGGAAGTACCATTTAATTACATTATGAGGTTCACGGGCGCAAGACTTGAGTCTGGTCCAGATGTATGCCGAGGCGGCACCAAGCTGGACTTTGACTGAAGGCACGTCTGTTGGTGGTAACTTGGCATTTCTGCTTATTTCGATTCATCTCGAGGGGCGAACCTCTAAAGAAAGGCCTGCCTATAGAAACCTAAGATGTGGCAAGGCTTCGTGCTTTTGGCGGCTAGCTTCTTATAAACAACTGCCCAGGTATTTGGGTTCTGTTGTGGTCAACAGCCGCAGCTGCAGGGCAAGAGATTGACTTCAGCTTGTGATGGGTGGGCGCCCCGATAAGCTTCGCACCAGGGGTTCCGGCTGTCTGCCGACGGCCCTTATCTAGATAAACTGACCCCTGACCAGCGCACACTAAGGTGGTGAGCGAGAGAGTGGGTCGGGCCAGTGGCTTGCTTCAATTGACCATTGCTCATTGATCTCAACATATTCACTGGCATATGCTGCAGACCGTGACTCTCTTGCTGCCTGCCAACCCGGCTCGACTGTGTCTGTAATCTGTCTCAAGGTGTCAGTATGTGCGGCTAGCCAGATTACCCACAGCTTACTACCAAAATCGCGAAAACAAATCCCACCGTGTGGGCCCCGAGGGCTCTCGGCTGCATATCAGAACAGCGGGATGACTTGGTCCCGCCTCACGAGCTTTGGAGGCGAGAACTCCATCTGGCTTTTCACTTCGGCTGTACTTGTTGGACTTGCCAGTTTCTTCGATCTGCGCCAGGGACTTGTCAACTTGCTGTACACGGAAACACATTGCTACCAGTCAGTGAGAACCCACTCGGATGCAGAACCTTATGCGAACTGCTTCTCTGTGTTGCCGTCTGGAGTCTTTTCACGAGTCTTCCAAGCGCCAACTGAATCACCTTACGCGAGAAGCACTCGGCCGGGCTTCGCCATTCCAGGGTTGTGGGACGGCCATGGTCATCTTCTGCAGTATGGGGAGTTCCTGAATTCGGTCGACCTCTTCGGATCCGAGTCTTTCCAAGATATTAACACCAGAGTGAACACTTATCTTGATACTCACCCCGATGCGGGAAGTAAGGAAGAATGGGTTCGAGGTGTGGGCTGGGATCAGATGGCCCTGGGCCGCATGCCAACTGCGGATGATCTGGCCTCTGATGACAGACTCAGGAATCTTTACATTATGCTGGATCGCGTAGACGTCCACTGTATTTGGGTTTCCCAGCCAATACTTGACCTTCTGCCAGAATCCATACCTGACGTGCCCGGGGGCGAGATCGTAAGACATCCAGGCATGGGGGTTTTCTGCGACAATGCTATGGACATGATCATGGCTTTGTGGCCAAAGCCCGACAGTAAGAAGAAGCAAAAGTTTTTGAAGAGTGCCATGTCAAAGTTGAATGAGGTTGGACTCGTCGGTATGGCTGATGCAGGGGTTATGCCTGGAAATGCAGCTCTCTTCAAGGAGCTTGCCGGCACCGAGGACTGGACACTGAGAGTCTATGCCATGCTTGAATGTGACGACCGTAACACATTCTGCCCAGACTCCGCAGAGAAGCACGTCAGAGATGACGGACTACTAAGCATTGCCAGTGTGAAGCTGTTCGCAGGTAAGTCCCTCTACGATAATGCCATTCTTGAGTACTAACACATTGCTTAGATGGAGCTCTTGGCAGCTGGGGAAGCGCCATGATAGACCCTTACTCCGACCGTCCTGACACTTCTGGCTCACTGCTTGTTAACGCAACCGAATTGACGCGTGTAACGATCGCCTGGGCTGAAGCTGGATTTCAGGTCAACATCCATGCCATCGGCGATCTAGCGAACAGAAACGCGGTGGATGCAATGACTGCGGCGCTGGAGCGAGTCTGCCCTGGGGAATCCCTTACATCGTGCCAGTCCAGGCGACGCTTCCGCATAGAGCATTCTCAGATCATCCACCCGGATGACCAGACCCGGATTCACTCAATTGGCATCATTCCGAGCATCCAGCCCACTCATGCGACGAGTGATTTCGCCTATGCAGAGAAGCGTCTGGGCCCTGAAAGAACGAGAACAGAGGCCTACAGGATGCGTTCTCTGCTGGACGTGAACCCTATCTTGGGTAGCGACTTTCCCGTGGAACCACCGGACCCCTTCCAAGGTATCTACGCGGCCGTGACCAGGAAAAACCCGCACACGGGTCGAGGTACCGATGGCTCGCCTGATGGATGGCACACCGAGGAAGCACTCACCCTCGACCAAGCGTTACGCGGCTTCAGTGTCGCACCCGCCCATGGTGCTTTCTTGGGTGGCAAGGCTGGCGTTATCCAAAAGGGAGCCTTTGCCGATTGGGTGGTCATTGATGAGCCACTTGAGGAAACAGATATTGAGGACTTCCGTAACTTCAAAGTGCGCGAGACATGGATTGCTGGCAAGCGAGTATATAAACGGGACTGAGGAAACACGCGACTACGATTTCGGTACACGATAGACATAAGGAGTCAAGAGAAAATACTTCATTTGAGCTTAAGAACTATTTTACCTAACTTGGTGGTGTCCCAAAGTAATGCTGCGTAGGGAAATTGAATATGGCTCAGTCCCTGTTTTATCCACGTGAAGGGATTGCAAGGCGGATACAGTTGAAGAGAAGGTTGCTTGATTCACAAAGCCGAGTGGGGTTGTTTCTAACAGGTCGCAACAGGCACCCTACGAGCCGTCTCGTGTTCGCATATACAGACCACGGCCACAGGATGAACCCTACAGTATAGATCAGAAATATGACGCCCAAGTACAGGCTCCTAGCAGTGAGGGTGACCAGCTCAAGCGTTTTAACTGGCTGGTCTGCCTGAAAAACCCCTTAGGTTGATAGTTTCCACCCAGCACCCGTCCAGAAGCAGCATGCTTAAGGTCAGAACGTAAAAAAGGGTCGAGAGGATCCTTTCTTGTTTCTCTGTTGGCTTCTAACGAGACACTTCCGACAGGCGATTGCTTGTGCCCAGCCTGGAACGGTGTCGCCGGTGGTGATGATTATGAGACATGCATATCTGGATGAATGTCCATATTGCCGATGCGATGGTGAGTATGACGGAGACCGAAGGCATTGGGCTCGGAACACATGGACGGATCAAAGACGCCACGATATTGTCCATGCCGATGAGCTGTCATACTGACTTGAAAGTAAGCTTTGTTTCCGAGTCACTACGAATTCTGATGAGAGATATGCAAGGCTGTGGACATGAGGTATGTTTCTATTCCTCGGGTGTTTGAACGGAGGACAATGTCGAAAATGGGCGGCCGGTCCGATCTTTGCCGTGCCAGCCCGCGGATATGTCAGCAGACAATAGTAGCCTTCCCGGCGTAAATCACACTTCAAGACGATATACTTTGGCGCGAAACTTTGCCTGCCTGTGGGGATTTGCACTAAAAAATTGCCCGAGCCCCGATGGTGCAGGGGTCGATTTTACAGGTGCGCAGGCAGCTCACCCCTCGGCTTATGTTATGCAAGCTGGATCACCTATCTTCGCGCCGCCTTCATTCTTGCACCTTCACTCGGCCAACGGGGAGAATGAGGGAGAACATGCAACGCACTGTCCTTACTTTCCAGCGAAATGCGCACCTCCACAAGCTGAAGGTAGCCGTGACGGCGGTTACGTCCGTTGCTTCGCTACCGGAAGCCAATCGCGTGCTCTACAAACAAGCTGACGACAAGGACCATGTGATAATCACCGACGCGACCATCTTCCACCCTCAGGGCGGCGGCCAGCCATCCGACGTCGGTGTAATAGAGAGCACAGAGAGCGGTGCCCGATTTGACGTACTCTCAGTGCGCATGAGCGCCGTTGCGCAGGGCGAGGTACTCCACTTTGGCCGGTTCGCGGACGCCGCTGCCATCTTCAAGGCCGGTGACTCGGTCATGCAAACAATTGATTCGGACAAACGCCTGCTGTACTCACGGTATCACACGGCCGGCCACGTTCTCGGCGCCGCCGTGCGCCACCTCGTGGAAAAGGAGGTGGAAAACTTTGACGAGACCAAGGCGAGCCATTTCCCAGACTCGGCGGCCTGCGAGTTCCAGGGCCTGATCGAAGCCAAATGGAAAGATCCCATTCAACAGCGTTTGGACGAGTATATAGAGAAGGACATGCAAGTCGAGATTGAGTGGTGGGATGAGGAAGACTTCCGGACCAATGGCATGGAGCGTCAGATACCCGACCGTGAGCTCATGGGCATGACTGCCGATGAGAAATTTCGCGTCGTCAGGATTGTTGGAGCTGAAACATACCCGTGTGGCGGCACCCACGTGGACAGCACCAGATTGTGTGGAAAGACGAATGTCAAGAAGATCGCGCGGAGTAAGGGCACTTCTCGTGTGGGATACACTCTACCATAGTTGGTTGCTGGGCATACTCAATTAGACATAGATATTAGAAGCTGTATTCACAGTGTTCTGTTGGGAGTTGGAGAAAGCTAAATTCAGTCGAGGCTTATCATCCATGTTGCTAACGCCAATGTTTTGGGATCTTTCAACTATACACGATCACTTACCTTCACCTGCAGCGATAGGCTGATCGCATCATGATTCATGGTTCTTGGGTAAGTCTGAAAGAGTCATCTTGAACGCAACTATTGCCTAACTATACAAAAACTAACTCTGCAGAGGGGAAAAAGAGAGGAACAAGAGGGGAACAGATGAGCATGTGTCATGCGACCTGGAAGCCATGGTAGCCTAACGTTGCAATTGTCCTGGTATGTTCATTACAGGAGTAGCGTCTGAAGCTTTTTTGAGAGGAAAATGTTCAAGTTTTCTGGCGTCCATACACCGAAAGGTTTCTGCTTTTGGATCAGCTTCTGATGTTCATGTTAGACTGCTTCGAATAGTAGAAAATAAGATACAGAATTTCCCTGTCTGTTTGACGGGCTGAGAAGAGAGGGTTTGTAGGTCCAACTTGTGTACCAAGGCCCTGTGGCTGCGCCACAGGTGCCATCAGCCACTCCGTGGCGTATCAAATAATCCAAGCTAAGGGCATTCGCCACCAATGCCGCGCTGGCTCAATGGTAGAGCATTAGACTTCTATGCTTGCGCCAAACACGTAAGGAAGGTATCTAAAGGTTGCGGGTTCGAGTCCCGCGTGTGGTTGCGCGTATCTTTTGCTTCTTTTTTCATTTGTCACCCGGGTTTGTGATGATTACTTGTTAATGCGGATATTTATGGTACTGATGTGTATGGTGGGGCACGTGTGCACAGCTATAGGCGTAGCGCACTCTGGAGGTGCTGTGCAGCCATCCCGATGTGTCTGGTCCCTTGCGGCAACCCATTGGATGACCATCCAAATGATCTGGATTACGACCAAAGTTTTCTGAGCCGTATCTTGTTTGCTTTCATCTTCGACGGACTCTCTTGGGACATAGAGGAACTTGCCAGCCTTGGCTAAATTGAGCACTCCATGTGATGAAAGCCTTCTCGTAGGTGACAATTTGTTGAATGCTCTGAACGTGGAGGGGTGTGCATTCCAAACGCGTTTGTTGTCTTCTCCCCATCTTTGTGCCCACTCGGTCCATCTTGTGTATTGTGACTCATCGTCTTTTTGGCCTTTTTCGGTCAACGATTTCAGATTTGAGCTAGGCGGTATGTCTCTGGCTTTGAGAGAGCCTGTGGATATGGTCCAGTCTTTGGCAATGTCCTCCTATGACGTATGCAGCCCGCCATAGCTATGAAGAAGGCATGGCACATGTCAAACACAAACTGGAAGCTTCGGTAAGCGATGTTGATGTTTACATCGTATAGAGAGGTTGACTAACAACATACTTTCTGAAGTTTTGCTGTTGTTGAAGTACCTTCAATTCCTTCGTGAGGTATCTTGCTTCCTGGAATTGAAAGCAGGCGAGGTAAAGAACAAGTTCTGGAGCAAAGAGTACAGCTATGACCGACTTCAGTTTGAACCATTTTACAAACCCCAATTTCTCCTTGAACATCTTCAAATCTCTTCACTTCAGGAGCGTCTTTAGTGTCTGGGCTACGATTGTTCCGAAATTTCTTCATCAGAACACCGCAAAGGCGAACTGTTATTGATAATAAGACTCTGCTCAGATCATGTTCGCGGCATGCAAGCGGCTGTTTTTTTTTTTTTTTTTTTCCACAACAGATACTTGGGGTCTGTCAACAGAGCCCCTCGTAAATTATGTTCTCACGCAGTACGGAACAGGTGCCCTTCGACCCTTTAGCTTTTCAGCCTGTGTCACAAATACGATACTGGTGATCGTGATTGTACTGCATTCGACCTGGAGGTTCTAGATGACAAGGGCTGATCAAGCGATCCGCATCGAGTGTTCATTTAATTGAGCTCTTCAGTCCAACACTCCGCGTCTTTTCCATGGATATTTTCCACTGATATTCCAATCTTGATAAAAGCCATCTATTGTAACTTATATACATCGTTCTAGAAACGTGACTAACAATTTATCTGTCTTTTCTGGGGCTTGGTCCCTAGCTTAAGAATGGCCTGAGGTGAGGCATGGGCAAGTGAGAATACAGTCGGAGCACTGGAACCCTCAATGATTAATGATCATCCACGGTAAAAGGTTAAGCAAAACTTGAAACGGAAAAACGAAGAGAAAGGCTAACTTACGTAACCATTCTGGTCGCAGCCAGAGGGATAATATGCGGTTGGGTAAATAGGGTTGTAGCCGACAGTCGGGTCGCCAAGCGGGTTACCGCAGTGGACGAAACCACCCGTCATCAGCCACGAGGTACACTCGCAGATACGTGGGTTGCCAGCCTCACAAAGAGTGATGTTGGTAGGCACGCTGTCAGCCGGGCATCCCGGCCCACGGGCCTCTAGGACAGGCAGCGAAACCGCGGCCGCGGCCCCGGAGAAAACGGCAAGCATTTGGAAGGGCTGCATGATGGATATGGCGGAAGCTGTGCAAGAGGAGGATTTTGATAGTTGATGAGGTAGCGAAATCTTTTTTAGTAAAAAATGGCAAGACGAATGGATGAGGAATTAATTCAAGTGGATATTTGGGGTGCTGTAGCGAGACAGAGTCAACTTATATTTCACTGAAGATGTATTTGAACTCTTTTGGTCCGGCGTTGCCGACACAGGGCGCCGTTCATCATAAAAGACTCAAGACCATTCTTCGCCCATATTGTCACCACCCAGTACCGGATGGGCTGATTCTGGATACTAAAAACCATGCCTACGTTGCATATGCATGATGGTTCCCGGACGGGAGTATCCGTCTTAGGCATGTATTCAGGCATTGTGGAGAAAAGGAAACAGAATGCGCCCTCCGTTCAGGGGGCTGCCAGGGTATTTAAGGTTTGCTTTAGTGCTACCCATGAGGTGTTTTTCGGCCGAGTGGCAAAGCAACCCATGGATCTCGTATTTCGTCTGTTGTTTTATGCACTGCGTTGTCTATATATAGTTTCATTAGATTGATGTATTGGCAAGTGACAACTGCCATGTGGTTTAAGGGGCTTGCCTATAAACCTCTTCCCAAATCAGCGGAATGGCCGTTTCTCAGACTATCTCGAACGCCGCAACATGAAAAGTTTTTCTTTTTTTTCCAGCTAGAGTGCGCTGAGCGATCAAGCAACGTTGCTGGCACATAATGCTTCGAGACTCGCGACGAAACCGCGTTGATACAGGCGGTGGCCAAGTTCATGTGGCGCCAATGACTACGGCACAGCAAGCTAGCCAGACGATCGTGGAGGCATATTACTTTTTCTGCTTTATATAATCTCTATACCGAGTTCAAGTATGAAGGGAGCCTGATCTCTATATCCTTGTTGCCGAAGTGCTTTACGATGTGCACCACCTCGTTGTCGCCATCGCCTACAAGAATGTCTGCAACAATGTCGTCGAGTAGAGATGGTCTGGGCATGATTTGAACATTCTTCATACCCTCTTCGTGCCTTTTGCCGCCATCCATGAGGAGCATCTTGTCTACATACGTCTGGCTCTTGTGCTGTACACCAAGGATTTCCGTCCCGATCTCCCACAGCGGCGTGGCGCTCCAACCGTGACAGTCGCTGCGCATCGTGCTCTCGCTCTCGGCCCAGGTTGTGAGGTTGTCGGCGATCATCTTCTTCCAAGGCTGAATCAGCGTGTCCCAGCAGTCCTCATAGACGCCTGCCTTGCTAGCCGCGCGGAAGAGGTAGAAGCCCATGGCGAAGCTCGCCTTAGCTAGCCCAAGATGCTCGCGCTCCAGGATGGCTCGCCGGATGAGCTGCGCGGCCTCCTGGCCCTCAACGAGTCCTGCCAGCACCGCGAAGATCTGTGTGTGCTGGCTGAGTTCCCCAGTGCTGCCCGGGCCATCGAGAAATAGTCCCGTGGCTGGATCGAAGCAGTGTTGGCGTATGGCTTGCAGGACAGATTGATGGCGACGTCGGTACGCCAATGCGGTGTCCCGACGACCGATGAAGACCATGCACTCGGCGGCGTGCAAGAGTACGTACGCGTAAACGAGGGAGTGGTAGGTCGCGGAACCTTTGCTGTAATAGCACTTGGGCACCGCCATGCCTCGAAACCCAATCCCCGGCGTGTGCCAGTCGTCTACCCAGTCTACAAAAGCCCAACAGTCGGGCTCGAACTTGCCCACCAGACCGAGCTCGTTAATTCGCGCATCAAAGTAGTTTAGCACGCCGTCCACACCGCCAGCGTAATACTCCACCAGCTTCTCATCACCGAAGTACACCATGTGATCGTGCACCATAAGCACCCAGAAGAGAGAAAATGTGGGGATATTAATGGTACGGCCGGGGTTAGGGAAGTGCGTCTCGACCAAGCCATCCTCCCGGCGTGAGGCATAGAAGTCTTGCATAGCCTTCCGCGCCAGTCTGTCATCCCGCGAGAGAAAATAGGTGAACAAAATCTGACTTCGAGAGTCCATAGCAAATTGATTCTGCTCGTAAAAAGGACAATCTTCGTACGTCTCGTGCATGCAGTTCTTCAGCGTGTTAATGCTGATGTCCCAAAGCTTTCTTGTCAGCGCCGACGACGTCTGGATGGTAGAGCGAATGTTGAGCGGATAGTGCGTCGACCGGTAAGAGAATGATCGTATGACGATTGGGGCGTCCTTTGTGCTCACGGTCAGGCGCACGTACCGGAATGTTCGGAACCAGAACGGCGTGTAATGGTTCTCGCCGCCGTGGACCGTGTAGTAATCTGTCATGCCGTACAGTCGCCCGTTCCTGAAATCCGTTCGATCTCCTTTGTTGCGGCTCATGAAATTCTCCATAGGAGACTCGTAGCACTCGGAATAGAGGATCTCAAATGAACACGCTTGCTCATCGGTGCCTTGGTGTTCGCAGGCGAGGTCAAGAAACCCGGTGGTCAGGATGCTGCTCTCGACCTCAACCCAAGTCCTCGTGTTGGCGGGAATCGTGACCACCGCCTCACCGCCAATCATCGCCTGCCAGTCATCTTGCGGGATCGCTCCATCGCAGGTCACCACGCCATCAAAACGCGCGTCGTTCTCGGTCAGGGTCGGTATCGTGCGCGGAAAGAGTCGGCGAGGATCCAGCATTGGGGACATCTTGCGGTGCGGCAAACCCGGTACAGCATGCTGCCAGGCGTCGTCATTGTATTCGTTCGTGTGCCAATTTCGGGTACCACGCCTTGCATCTACTTGCTCATTTAGGTTTAAGAATGGCGGGCCGAGTCGGTAGTCCCAGGATGAGGGACCGACCAATTGGGTCGCATTGTCCTTCTTCAACTTCCATGACTCATCTGAGTGAAGAGAAACTTCTTCAGATTTGGTAGAGAACTGACAATGAACAAGCAAGCCCGCAAAGGGTGTCCTAGTCATGCTCAAGCAGCCATCATGTACAAAAGAGAAACGCAAAACTCTGGCGGCGAGAACGTTACGTCCAGCCTGCAGATGTGGCTGGATGTCGACGGTCTCGTAGTTCCAATGGCTCGGGTAACCCTTGCAAGGCCCAAAGCTAATTCGTTGGCCGTTAAGGAACAGTCTATATCTGGTATCTGCCGAAACGTGGAGGAGCGCTTCACCAGTGGGCACAGCAGTGAGGGAGAAAGTTTTGCGGAAGAGAACGAACTGCCCCGACAAGGTAACGTCGTCATAGTCGGATAACCAGATCCATTTGGCCGGGCTGCTGAAGAAGACGGATTGGGCTGCTGCCATGATCAAGACGAAGGGGGGCCGAAGAGGAGAAATTGTGAAGCTCCGGCAGTGGCGCCTACACGGTGAATAGCAACTGATTATTGGGGCCGTGGCCAATAACGGGGACAGAAAGGACGCTCGTTCTAATTAAATAGCGACAAATCGACATGTGGCCAAGTGCTACACCATGAAGGAATCAGAGAACATATCAAGCGCACACAGGCAGAGAATCTTAGCAGACCGGAATACCCGCTCTTGGGGCCCCAGTCATGAAGAGGAGAAAAAGTGGGCCCAGTCTATAGTAGATGAAACTAGAGAGTGCTTAGTGATAATCAGGAAGTCCGGGGTTGAAAAAGGCGAGATGGATCCCGACGTAGGGTTCCGAGGTTGTAGTGGAGGGATTGCATCCTCGGCCTCTAGCCCTAGCTTCTAAATAGCCACGTAATACACGGCGGAGTTTGTGGGGGATAAACACAAGGCCACAATATTTCACAGCGTATTCATAGAGATCTGGCAGACCTAGCGTCGTCTTTCGGGAGAACGAATGGCGAGTAGATATGATTACTGGTTTTACTGCCCTAGGAGTTGGTCATGAGCCACACTGTTTGGGGACGGCGGGGAGCTGGAAGCCGCGTATCTTGGCGCCAAAATTGTCGGCGGCATGACTTCTCAAGGACCGTCATTCTGGACCTTGTAATATCGTCTTTGGGGATGAGAGGTGAGGTAAGGCCCAGCCTTCCTTCTAAAACTCCAAAATAGAGAGTATTCTGAGTCTGGGGTAGTATGTTAGCCGCATGGGGCGTATGGGGTACGTCTTCGATTGATATAAGGACTTACATCTCCTTCCCCCCGGGTTGCGCCCTATCAGCACCCAACACTTTACTTTCCCGCTGTCCACACCCGTTCATCCACGATGGGCGACGAGACAGATGCCAAAGCCGGAGCTGCTCTTCATCATGAAGATGTAGACGGCCGTAATCAGGAGCAGGCCCCTAGCACATGGCATTTTCTCTAGACAGTCGTACTAGATGACCCCAAACTCTGGAATTGCGATATACCTAGAGGGAAGCTACGCGCAATGAATAGGAGAACGATATTATCGACCCATAAATGTATTTGTATTGTTAATTTGTTTACAAACGTCAAGCTACGTTTTGCCTGTTACGACTAGCTGGCCTGGCTCAAATCATACTTTGCGAATGCGCGGGCAGGAACCTTGCGCTCGAATAGTATATCCAACTCGTCGAAGCTCCTTCCCTTGGTCTCGGGAACGAAGAAGTAGAGAAGCACTAGCATAATCAGCCCCATACCACAGAAGATCCATCCAATATGGCCTCCAAGGTTTGCCTGATCAGAGTTGAAGAGGTAAGGCAGAACAATAGTCCAGATTATACTAACGATGCATGACCAACTGAAACCCAGACCAACGGACTTGGCTCTAAGCCTGGTTGCGGAAACTTCACCAGCTACAGCCAATGATGATCCGCAAACAGGCCCATAAGTGATAGAGGTGAATTGCAAAGCAATTCCAATAGCTAAGAGCGATCCACTTGAGCGTGGCAGAGCGGCTGCGATACCCATAACAAGGTACATAAGACAACATAGAATGACGCCGAAGATCATAAGAATTCGACGGCCAAACTTCATCATCGAGTAGATATTAACGATGGCAGAAACAACACCCATGCTGACGCCGATTTGTGTGAGCATCAGGACGGTCTTGCTATCCAGGCCAGTCTGGTTGAGGAAATAAGAAGCGTTGGAAGCTAGAACAGCACCAGCGACCTGAGGCATGTACATGCAGATAAGGACAACGCACGTTCGGCGCAAATTGGATCCACGGAAGCACTCGATGTAATTTGCCTTCACCGCTGCTTGCTGGCGCTCGTGGATGATGGTCGCCTCGATCTGAGCCGTTCGAGCGACCACATCCTCATGCGGACCAGAAAGACGGCGTAGCGCTTTCATGGCATCTTCTTTTCTGTTTTTCATAACGAGCCAGTAAGGCGACTCGGGTAGGAAGGGAAGGCCAAGAGCAAGGATCGTCGGGAATGCCCAGCCAGCAGCGAAAAGGACCTTGTAGGCCATAGGATCGATGATGGCCACACGAGAGAAGGTCGAGGAGATGGCAATCAACATGCCAATATTCTGAGGTTGGGGTTAGCGCTAGTCGAAAACAATAGTTGTCACACATACCATCATGACGATGTTTATCGACAAAGCAATACCGCGCATTGGCAGCGGGGCGATCTCGGAGACATATGTCTGCGTGATCGTCTGCATCATGCCAACCGCAAACCCTGACAAAATCTTGCTTCCAAGGAATTGCGGAGACGTTGCAGCAACGAAAGCGACGGCAATTCCAGAGACAGAAAGTATAATAGTGAAGGCCAAGACCATTCGACGTCCGACCAAATCTTGTGTCCATCCCGCTACGAGCGATCCAAGCAGCATGCCGACGTTATAAGTTGCATTCCAGGCAGACTGCCAGTAGGCAGGAATTGTCAGTGCTCCATTGACTTCTTCGGCGAAGGTCATCCTACAAAGTAACACAAGTTAGCATATCAAGGGAGGCTACAGCATTTCTGTTGGAAAGTACGGTGTGGAGTAGTGTGGCTTACTGGAAAGCTGGCAAGGCCAAACACACCGACAGCACAAGATTCTCATATCCGACGAGGCATGGTCCGACTGCAGTGATAGTTAGAATGACCTTGTTTGCTCTGGTGGTGTTGCAAGGTTCATTACTCACCATTGACAAAAAGCGACCACAGCACGATCTTTGGATTTTGGCGCAAGCATTGCCATGGTGACATTTCATAATCGATCTCCTCAATGACTTCCTCATTATGGAATGCATTGGCCTTTGCGGCTATTTCCGTCACGGGAAAGTCTTGATGGGCCATTATTATAAGGGCGACTTGGGGGATTGGAGGAACCCTCAAACGACAAAAAGGGGTAAACAAATGATTGCACAAATTTAAGTGTGCGATAGAGGCCTGGAGTTTATCAGCAAAGATATATATCCTTCGAAAGATGCCAGAAATATAGTTCGAATTAGAGAATAAAAGGGTGGCATGCCAGCTACATATGGTGAGGGAAAAAACACCTCCTAGGCGGCCGGAACCAAGTATACAACATGTGGAGCCTCTGTGCATGGATGAACGTGGGGAAATGCGCTTAGACTAGCGGTCCCCCGGGTTTTCCGGTCAGGTGTCTGGGGTTCTGGACTCCATTAGTGGAGTTCCCCCGCAAAGGTTGACCAGGCCGGATCTTGGAAGCCCCCTTTCAATCCAATGGAGCTGTTTAGCACAGGTCTAGCGCGCAGCTGGAAACAAAATTGGGGAGCTCTTTTATTTTGATTACGCAGCCGCTGATCTGGTTGGACCCTAAGAAAATCGAGAAGACGGTGTTTACTATCGAGGCATTTTAGTGTATTACGTATGTGGCCAAGCAAGTGGTATTCCTGTTTTGTAACAAGCCAATCATCTAACAAAATCAAAGTTGCTCTATTTGGCATTGTCTTTGAGTGTGACCTGTTGACAAATACGACGATATCTCGCATTAACCCCAGACCGCATACATAGTGAGTGCTTCTAGCTCATTGGAATTAAAATACCCGTAGCGTTGCATGATCTTGTCATGGCCCCTTTCCATCAGCCCGGGCGTGTATACCTGATCGGCTGGGTCTATAGCGTGATATCTACCTCAAATAATGAGATTATGTGACGGTCTGAAAGAAAATGTTGAGGCACATCTTGGCTTCCATCAAAATGGGGCATTAGGAAGCAAAATTTGATAACGTGCAATCCTGGAGCCAAAGTAGAACTATGGTGCTTCACCCTGTCCGACGTACAACATTCCTGTTGCCAATTTTTAACTTCAACTGTGTTAAGCTTCCACATGACTATGCCGATAATGAGGTTTCGGATCTCGGGAGTTAGTGGTCTTGTCTTCAGTGATACGGGCATTCATAGCGTTCATTTGAAAGGCAATAGATCGTCTACCAAGCATGTCAGTCTGGGTGAGGTCTGGTACGGTTCGGGATACACCATACGAGGTGGTATTTAGCGAGACTGAATGTTGGTCCCCTTCAATCTGATGGGGGACCACAATGACTGAATACAGAAGATCATTCGGGTCCTCTCTGGATTTACTTTGATCCCTACGCCGTGACGAACCACCTCACTGGGACAATTGCCCAGACACAGTCTTAAAGTCCTTCGTTATTAAGTGTGTTCTAGTATAGAGATCACGTTGTGCAAAGAATGGTGGCAAGATTTCTGTGCTTGTAGCAAGACATCGATATCTTTTCCTCTCTGCAGCTTATAAATGGTTCCAAGTCAATGCTTGGGTAACGGCAAACTCCGCGCTACAATTTCCTACAAGGACACCATATGTGCCTTCATTGAGCGACCATGATTCCTTCTCTTCGTCCCAATAACTGCACGCTACCTTCAAGTCAACCTCTACAGCGACCATGCTGGATTCGCCTGGCTGAAGCAGTAGTTTCTTGAAGCCTTTGAGCTCTCGCTCAGGTCGCCAAACCGACGCTGTCGACCCGGGTGTGACGTAGACTTGAACGACCTCTCGTCCGGCCTCACTGCCAATATTGCTGACTTTCACTCTGCACATCAGCTTTGACGGCGCTGACTCACTCTCAACCACTGTCGCCACTAAATCCGTATATTCAAATTTCGTGTACGACAAGCCGTGGCCGAATGGCCATCTGACGCCAGTTAAATCAGGGTGACGATAACCCAGCTTCAAACCCTCTTGGTAATTGATGGTGACACTTCCATTGGCCGACTTAACGGCAGGGAAGTGTCTGAAACTGGGCGAGTCCTTCAGAGTCTTGTACCATGTGGTGGCAAGCCGTCCACTCGGATTTACTTGCCCAGTCAGAATGTCGGCCAATGCATTCGGCCCTTCCTGGCCGTAGAAGTGTGCAGCCAATACCGCATCCACATCATCAACGAACTCACTGACATCAATCGGATTGCCAGAGTGGAGAACCAAAACTGTCCGTTTCGATGCCGCCGTCACAGCTTTAATAAGAGCTGTCTGGTTAGCTGGCATTTTAATGCTCTCCAGATCGAATCCTTCGGACTCATATTGGCCATCTCGCCCGGCAAAGATGATCGTGGTGTCGGACTCTTGAGCCAGCTTTGCCGCATCGGCAATGGCAGCTTCCTCTGAGTAGGTCTCTTCGAAACAGAGGGTGACCGCATAGGGAGTGGGTTCGCCAATAGTGACCCTGTCACGGGATTTCATTGACAGCAGAATGTCATAACACTGACCGCCAATCAAAGCCACTTCAGTACGAAACTCTAAGAGGGCGTGGTTAAACAGAGTTTGTTCAGTGGTGACATCAGGCTGCATCCCTGAGAGGACTTCTTGGCCATTGACAAGAAGTGAAAATGTTCCAGTAGCACGGACCGCGAGTGTATGCTTTCCGGTGCTAGGTGAAGTTAATTTCGTAGTCATTGTTAGATAGGAGCCAGGGATCCTGAGACCAGGTTTCAAATCCCCTAGCATCCATACAGTGGCCTTTTCTAGGTATTCTTTGAAGATGGGCTCTGGATTATCATCGTTGTAGTACCGGACGTGCACGCCAGCCTGCCCATTCTCAGCCTGGAGAAGCTCTTTCGATGCGATGGGAATAACACGGCGCGTACGTACGCCGGGCGAATGGCCGATGGTGAAAGATTCCCCAAATGCCCGCTGTATGGTATTCAACGGAGAGAGCCAATATTGCGGATTGCAAGATGCACTTCCGCCTCCCGTAACCACAGGTCGCTGAGCGAACTCGCCAATGAGCGCAATCTTTGGGGGTTTGATCGGAAGAACGCCTTTATCATTCTTTAGAAGAACTATACCACCAGCTGCGAGGTCTCGAATGACCTTGATTGTTTCTTCGCTCGGCTCGGAAGCCTCAGGCTCGTTGCGATGGCTGGGTTTGGTTCTTTCGCGGACGTCCAGCATTCTAGTCACACGTGCATCGATCTCTTCCATAGTGACCTGACCAGATTTGACTGCTTCAATGAGCCTGCCACTCCGATAGATTGGGAATGGCATCTCAAGATCAAGTCCGGCTTTGATGGGCTCGACCGTAGCATGGGTTCCAAACCAATCTGACATGAAGAATCCTTTATATCCCCAGTCATTCCGTAAGACATCCATCAAAGGCTTGTTCTGTGAGCAGAACTCGCCGTTTACCTTGTTATAGCTGTGTTTGTTTAGTAAACTGTTCTTGGATGTGGAGTTTTCCCAACTGACGCCATCATTAACCCCACGGGGTCACAAGTCCGTAATAGGTGCTGCCACGCACCGAGATATATTTCTCGAATTGGTCGTGCATTCACAGACATGTCCACATTGTAGTAATGACGCAAATACTCTGAGTCGTTGCAAACTAGGTGCTTTGGAACGGACCCTACTCCTGCTTTCTGTATGCTGTTGACAATAGCACCAGCAAGCTGACCAGAGAGCAAAGGATCCTCGCTAAAGCACTCGAAGTTTCGGCCGCCTCGAGGATCGCGGTGGATGTTGATGGTAGGTCCAAGGATAAATTGTGCGCTCTTCATGTGAGCTTCAGGCACAAGTCGTTCGCCCATCTTTGCAAGCAGCTCAGCGTCCCAGGTTGATGCCAGGCAGGTTGTATTTGGAAAGCATGCCGTTGACATGTCGCTGTCATGAGCCGCAGGTCGAACCCCGTTGATTCCGTCGCTGGTCTATGCATATCTTAGCAACGATTGCACATGTTTCTATTTGATGTGATGGTCTTACAGCAAGTTGGGCAATGTCGAGTCGTGGGATGCCTGGTGTTGTCCTGAAGTCGATACCAGATAGGAGTGAAACTTTCTCCTCCAGCGTAAGCTGGGGGAGCAGCGCCTCAGTCGCCATTGTGCGTTACTCGGTTTTTAGCAGTAACAATCATCACAAAGAGCATTCATCATCGGTGTAGGACCTTCCTCCATATAGCCGATATTCTCCAATCATTCTTCGGGTTAAGCTTCGTTTCAGGGATTTTCACGTGGTGTCAGGGGCTATCGGGAATTCCGGACACTTCGGATTGGCCGGAACCCTTCAACGCTAGTGGGTGCTCCTCAGCTTCGGGAACGACCCCCAAGCCGATGCAAATAAATCTTTGGCTTTTTTCCCCCTGGTGGTTTTATTCGGATTACGGCGGCTACAATCGCTTCTTGCTTATATGGGCTACTGTGAACTGTAAATGGAGGTAATTTTATGGTGAAGTGCGGCTCACGGCTTGGGATTCAAGTTATGCAGCTGTGCACAAAAAGATCTTATCAGTTGTGCATCCCATAAGAGAACTACCCTTTGCACAACGAGTCGTACTTCCGGTACGTACTTCCGCGGTCTGGTCTAGCCAGCACGGAACTCCCATGAAGGGTTCGCCACGGAGTTTCCGGTATAGCACTAAGGGACTAGTATTCCTCTGAGTTAGTGCTGCGTCTGGAGCATGCTGCTGAGAATAGTAGTATGTCATACTGCTCGGCACATTTCGAACAGTGGGACCGAAGACGACGACGAAGTTCGTGCTGCGAGTGATGTGTGCGCATGGGGCATATCGGGCAGGCGTTCTTGGTTGGACCTCCTTGCACTGTGCACTTTGGGGGCACACCCAACGGAGCCTCGAGATAGGATGTAGGTGCCTGAGAAGTCCAGACGTTTGAAGTTAGGGGAGTAGAGATGAATGTCGCATCTGTAGACACCCGAGCTTTTAGTGAAGTTCGAGATTGATACAGACTGTAGATGTTTTCACCAATATAAATTCCATTCATCTCATGCTATCGATATGAGAACAGACTTTCACAATCTTCATTCACCAACAGCGTTTCAGACGCTTAGCCAATGCCCAGACAGCAACTGCAAAGACCATTGCGGCACCGTCGAAGAAGAGGAGTGGCAGATTTACCACAGGGTGGACGAATGCAACCTCCAGGCACTCAAGTCGCTTGATGACTTCGCCCCTAACTCGCCACATAAGAATATGACAGCCTGACAGGCAAGTCAGCTGCCATGAACAGCAACACATATTGAGTATTCTGATTGGGATCACGGTTCTGGCATGTAAGCTTGAGTGATTGGATAATTTGGAGCACTAAGCTTCAAGTGAGCCATGCAGACGGATTATTGTAGCAGACACAGGATCTTGTTGGCGACAGAAAACCCGGCCTATAAAAGGTGTACCGTGCGAGCGGAAGATGAAGACAATAACGAATGGCAGAAACTGTGAGCGGTATGAATGAGTCTGCACGCATATCCGATCCGTGTTAGAGATCTCGCTTGTTGATTTCAATAACTATTCATGAAATAGCAGCATAAAAAACCCCAAACACGCCGCAGACGACTCTCATACGTCCTTTAGTGGCTTGAAGTATCAATACTCTTCAACATCACTAAAGGTTTTATAGGGAATAGGCAGAGCAACGTCCAATTTACGGACGCGATCGGGCCCATATATGTCAGCTTTCTGTATGGCAACATATGTTAGTGGGCTTGCGGATGGCAAATAGTGTGCGTAACAACTAACCTTCGTAGCCGGCTCATCTGGCGTAGGCATAAAGACTGCCTTCCCGTCGTCACCGAAATAGGCCAAGTCCTGTAGGGTTTTCGTCAGTTTCTTTTACATTGCAAGTCAGGTACGTGAGGGCTCAAGTTAACTTTTTCAAAGGCGACTTGGTTCTTGGCTGCAAATGTAATCCAGTTCTCGCTGAACGGAGCTCGCGAGACCTCCAGACACCTGAAGTGCCAGATCTTCCACACGCCGTCCTGTTTCAGGAAGTCCAACCCATACTGGCCTGTTTGCTCTAATTAACGTACGAAGTACCACCATGGACAATCAGTTATCAACTTACACCATACCCAATGCGTCCAGACACGCTTACCATCTACATTCTTGTCGACAGGTTCATAGAGATTCTCGGGCATTGCGCCGACGTTGGCCGGGTCAGCCAGGCCAGACTCCAGGCCCGCCATGAGCCAGAAGCCCTTGGCCGTCTGGCCATCCTCAGCCACCTCAATGAGTGGGGTTGTCGTCTCGTGTAAGATCAGTTTCCCCTTGGGTGAGGGCCGCCCCGAGTGGTATGCCATGACGCTGTCGTAGTCCGTGTACACACCAACATTGGTATACTGCGCGTGAATGCCTGGCGTCCCACGCTTCACCCACAACGGCTTGATCTGCTCGTCTTCAAAGACGTTGTGCAGGTGCATGTACTTGCTAAAGACATTCTCCACAGCGCCGCGGTCGTAAGCCTAGTTGGATCCACCACTATGTAAGACTTAAGCGACTCTCTATAAAGGCATTATGTGGAACTCACCCGCTGGGCAAGCCGCTCAGCAGCGACAACACGCGCCTCCAGCGCTGCGATAGTATCAGCAGACATGTTCGTACGGAATAACTTTTTCGAAGCAAGACTCAACTGAGAACGTGATATGCAATGTCCAGGCGCGAGCAGTATATCTCGAGTTATACAGTTAGTGTAGGAGGTGCCCCACACTACTATCGGCAAGATGCTACCGCTTCCCGAACCGAACAGACCGAGCCTGCTCCCTCCCGAACCACCCTTCAGGATCCCCGCATACTCGCGTCGGAATAGTTATTCTCATTGTGAATACGGCATAGTGCTCTGCGGGGTGACCAATAGTAACAAACCCTCGTCTCCGTACCCCACGGGGTAGCACATACGTGGGGCCCCGATGGCTGATGGCGAAGCTGACCTTCGGTGGGGTTCCGTTCCTAGGCATATCGTCAACAAGGGACGACCCAGGAAGCTGTTTCTCTTTTGGTTGCCAATTGTGCGTGAGTTTGATTTTGAAAATTCAGTGCCTCGGGGTACCACAGCCAGCCCGCCAGTCAGAGATTGTCGCGTTTGTACTTGAATTTCTGTGACGATGGCGAAGGACGACCTTCCGGTCGATAGTTGGACGGAGCATGTGCCGGAGGCCAGTACGAGTAAGACGGATCAGCACATCGAGGGGAATGCGCTGCTCGTGGACAAGCATGGAAAAGTGCGTCGACTCCCGGTGCCATCAAGCGACCCGAACGACCCCTTGAACTGGAAGCGGTGGGAAAAGTATGCGGTCATCTTCTGCTGCTGCTGGTTCTGTAAGCAAACCCCATGGGGGGAGTTCACGTCTCGAAGCCTTGTACTGATGAACCAATCTCATTGCAGCTGTCATGAGTCTCGCACTCGCAGGTGGACTCGGTGCAATTCTGGACGTATTCTTCGCCCTATACGGGCCACAGGGCTATGATGCCAGCGACATTACCCTACTGTTGACACTGCCATCGCTTTGCATCGGACTAGGTATGGGGAGCTATACATTACGACCCAAAACCAGACAGTTTCCAGACTGACCTCCTTGATATGACAGGAAACTACATCATCCTGCCCTTATCCCTAGCCTTTGGACGACGGCCCATCTTTCTTGTCTCGACCGTGATCCTGCTGGGAGCGACGATTGGCGCGGCTGCACAAGATAGCTACAATGGACATCTGACAGCTAGAGTGATTCAAGGCCTTGCGACTGGAGCCTCCGAGTCTCTTCTGCCCCTGATGCTGACCGAGGTCACCTTCCTCCACGAGCGCGGGCAGGTGTTTGGCCTCTACTGGATGACACAGAGCATATTCAGTAGTCTGCTCAACCTGGCCAGTAGTTATGAAGCCGCAGCGCTCGGCTGGCGCTGGTATTACTGGATCTTTGCGATAACAGTGGCAGCCGGGCTCGTTTTCGCGGTCTTCGGCGCCTTTGAGACAAAGTTCAGTCGGCCAGCCACCAGCCTCGACGGATGTGTGTGCTACACCGATGAGTTCGGTGTCGCGCATGTTATTCCCGACAACGAGGCTCAAGAGTTCTTGGATCGCATGGGGATCCAACTGCCAGACGACAACGCCGCTGAGACTCCACGAGTCAGGACCGCATACGGGCAGAAACTGAAGCCATGGTCGAAACCACATCCCCAGCCAGCCCGCATGGTTGTCATGTCGTGGGTGAGAATGGCGTCGAGTCTCACCTCACCGGCCATTCTATATGCCGTCCTGATTAGCTCCATAGCCCTTGCCTGCTCTATAGACATTTCCTTGACCTACAACACGGTGCTGCTGGGCTACGGGTGGCAACCGAAGGATATTGGACTCATCAACCTAGGTGCCGTCGTGGGGGCACTCATTGGGACTGCGTACTGCTCGACATTTGGGGAGTGGCTGGTGATCCGAATGGCGAAGAGAAACCGCGGCGTTCATAAGCCAGAGCATCGTCTGTTGGTCTTGGTGATCCCTGGCATCCTGGGCATAGCCATGCTAGTCATGTATGGCTACACCGCTGTGGGTGCGAAGAGCTACTGGGGCGCCGTGCTAGGCTGGACATTCTTCCAGACCACCTTTGTCTGTGTCTTGATCGTGTCGACTACCTTTGCTGCCGAGGCATACCCCAAGCACCCGGGGCCCGCGTTGGTGGTGGTTGTTGGCACCAAGAACGTGGTCTCTTTTGGAGCCACTTTCGGGTTTACTCCTCTCATGGCTTCTCTGGGTAGCATGAACGGGGCGTTCAATGTGCTAGCTGGCATCTTTGGTGCGATTTTCGTTCTGGGGCTGCCGGTATACGTCTTCAACCCCAGGTGGAGAGAGAAAATATCACAAATGGAGCATAAACGGGGAGTCGAAGGAAGTGATTAGATGCGGTTTGTTGGGGCTGATAGCTAATAGCTAATACTATGGGCACTTTTTGGAGAGTCCAGAGATCGATACGGCCAAAAGGGGAAGCAGCGTAACGCCTTAGCACCAAATAGTATTCATTTTACTGGTAGGGCTAGTGCGAGTCTTTCTTAACTTCAGCAAAGATAGTGGGTTTGAATGTGTGCCCAGTAGGAATGAGTCTCCAATCAGATTCAACGGGCGATCAATGTACCTATCCATATACGCTCAATGAGGAGAAGGTTGACTGGTCAGATGGCCCTAGGTTCTCGGCAACTCGGGCGGCCGTGGAGTTGGCGGAGAAAGTTCTAGCTAGCGGGCGGGTTTCTAACAGGCGACACATGATTGGCCGCACTTGTTATGCAAGGGCCCAAAGGCGCGATGGCAAGCCGAAGCCGAGTCTCCAAGGGGGCGAATTGGGCTACCAAAACCACCGGTCATACCGACTGACTTGAGTTGCTCTTTTTTTGTCTCTCTCCACGACTTCTTTAAAAAAAAATCCCGTTGCGTATCCATTGCTTGCCGTGACCAGCAAAACCCCAGATATCCATACAGTTCTAGTTTATGGTTTTCTGTTGCGTGTTTTAGCCGTCGTCTGTGCGCTGCTGCCGTGAACTGTTCCTTCGGCATCCTCGAACAAAAATTCGGTCTCACCTCATCTTCAGCCCAGCGGTGTGTAGACTTTCGCAGCTACACCTCGTCCGTCGCGCCAAACTCCATTGATCGATCAATCGACCCACGACCGCTGTCCTCGACGTCTCCAGCATGTCGTTCTCCAGCTTGGTACAGGACCTCTCCATCCGCGAGGGTGGCAACGCCCCGCGCCGCTCGCGGCCTGTCCCCTCGGTCTCGACCATCGACGACCGAGCGTCGCACATTTCCAGAAACACCTACGCCAGCACTGCTGCCACCAGCGTGAGCATCGCCGGCGACATCTCCAGCCAGCTCCATGGCGGCTATCACCACCCTCTGGCTCGCGCCTGGCAGGCCGAGCGACAGCTAACCAAGGTGCGTGCGACCGGGAGAAATCCGTACTTGACTGTACGGCGTGGCACACTTGTCATATACTGACCTACGATGCTACAGTCAATGCTCATCTACCCCCTGTTTATATCGGACGACGAGAACGACGAGACACTTATCCCGTCCCTGCCCGGCCAGTACCGCCGAGGTCTCAACAAGCTGGTGCCCTTCCTCGAGCCCCTGGTTCACAAGGGATTGCGATCCGTGATTCTGTTCGGCGTACCTCTGAAACCAGGCTCCAAGGATGCGCTTGGAACGTCGGCCGACGACCCCAAGGGTCCTGTCATTCAGGCCATCCGCCTGTTGAAGCAGCGATTCCCCCAGCTCTTCATTACGGTCGATGTCTGTCTGTGCGAGTACACCTCTCACGGCCACTGCGGCATTCTACGGGACGACGGCACACTTAACAACCAGCTTTCGGTCGATCGCATCTCTGATGTCTCTGTCGCCTACGCTCTGGCCGGCGCCCACTGCGTCGCGCCCTCCGACATGAACGACGGCCGCATCCGCGCTATCAAGCTCAAGCTCATCGAGGAGGGAATTGCCCACAAGACTTTGCTCATGTCCTACGCTGCAAAGTTCTCGGGCTGTCTCTATGGTCCATTCCGTGACGCGGCTGGCTCTGCGCCCTCGTTCGGGGACCGCAAGTGCTACCAATTGCCTCCCGGTGGCCGTGGCCTCGCCAGGCGCGCCATTGTGCGTGATATTGGCGAGGGTGCCGACATCATCATGGTCAAGCCCGCCAGTCAGTACCTAGACATCATCAGTGACGCAAAGGAGCTCGGGAAGGATCTTCCCGTTGCAGCCTACCACGTCAGTGGGGAGTATGCTATGGTTCACGCGGCGGCCAAGGCTGGTGTTTTTGACCTGAAGACCATGGCTTTCGAGGTGACTGAGGGCATCCTGCGAGCCGGTGCCACAATTGTCATCAGCTACTTCACTCCCGAGTTTCTTGACTGGCTGGACAACTAGAGCCAGGTCTCGTTTACTTATGCATGTGCTTTGAAATCAGCGCAGAGGAGTTTGGCGTCCCGGATTAAAATGTATTTATTTTTATGGCCGAATGACGAAATGGATGAAAATTTTACTGGCTCATATCGTACGAATGAACCGCATTGCATGTATAATAGACTACTATATCAATACCACCGTCGTGCGTCTTGTGACACGAACGTTTCGTCGAGGAATCCGCTTCCCTACCGCCGTATCAATGCATCCGTTGTGGTTCGAGGGATGGGCCAAACAGCCAAAGAAGGCTGTCTCGTTTGCATCAAAACGTTGGCATAAAGCTTGCTGTTGCGCCAAGTCCTTTCCCAGGCTTGCCCTTACATACCAAGACGCCCAAGTGTTTCCTGTATCCAAATCTAGAACAAAACCTGGAAATAGTTGCCGAATGGCCGGAAAATGACAAACACCAAAGGAGATGACGGGTCGACGGCCAGCTGCGAGAGTGGTCGAGATGCCACCGCGCACTGGCCGCCACCCGTGCACCGCAGCTAGCCAGCTATTGCCAGCCATTGCCAGCCAGGCCATCTCGATAGTCGCATGGGTCTACTGTATGTACCATGGTAACTTACTGCGAGTTATCCATCATGGTGAGCACCCAATCGGGAGACCCACACGGGCATTGTTTCAACCTCTCCAAGCATCTCTCATTCTGGAACGTCCCAAGTCGGCCATGCCTCGACGTGGAGCGTGCAAAATGAGCCCACGACTCGGCCTGTATCAGCCAGCGGTCGCGGATACCAAGCTTTTCGGGGTCCCCTGCTGATCTGCTCTGTTGATGCCAAAGGGAGATCTGATCGGCCGGCCACTCGAAACCTCGCTTGCATGGGGTGACCCAGTCGTGCCCAGTTTGGGGCTCCAACAGCCGTGCTCCTCAGCCGGCTCGCCAGCCAGCTTTCGCCTCACCTGTGGCCCTGTCACAACAGCAGATCCAACGCTCCCATGCGCGACGACTGATCTCCGTCCCTGGGGCTCGGGCGCTGCAGGAGATAATTATGCTTACCTTGCGGGCTGCTCGGTTTGGACAGCCGTACGACGATCGTATTTGCGCAGCATCTTTATCGCCCGAGACATGTGCGGCTCCCCCACAATCCACGATGGCATGCCGCATGGGGAAGTTCTGCATTTTGTTATCGACTTGCCGTATGCGCGAGCCGCCCACGTAATGGGTTGTCGTAAGTCAGACGCTCTACTATGCCTTAATACTTTATAGTTTTCGAGGTCCTAGGGGAGCTCATATGTTGAAAACGTTGGACTCGTGGCCATGACGGTGGGAATATGAGAGGGCGCTTCCTCATGGTTTAATTGGCTTGTTCAATCTGAAACCAATACTGCTGTGGCTGGCACCACCAACAACAACTGCAGGCCAACAACAGATCAGATCACCCAACTTGCTCCACGGCCGCCCCACGCGGGTTGAGCATTGAGCTCGGTTCCAGTCTTGGTCTTGGTGTCTATGTGACCGGCAAAGTTGCCGAGTGCTGTGTCCCGGTGGCCCTTTTTACTCTTCTGGTTTCCTTCCCGTCTGTCTGTTCCTCTCTCCATGCAAGCAATATAGTATTCGAGGCGGCGGGCTGAGTCGATGATATCCTCCTGCGGAACGAAAGACAACCCTCCTTTGACCCCCATTGCCGGACAATGAATGGATTTGCCCCCTCGAGGCTCTCCCTCTCTCACGAGGAGAAGCTCATCCTGATCGAGGAGAGGTCGCTATCCGATGTAGAGAGCGAGAGCGGCCGGGTGGATCTGGATTCGCGGTACTCGAAACCGCAATGGATGAACAACGTGGGAGTGTACTGTCGAAGCTCACGGCTCTCATCATGGACATCAACATTACTACGGGTCGCGATATTTCTCCTCCCGAGCTTCGTCCAGCACAGATTCTCACATGAAAGAGCTAGGAGCGACAGAGTCGGGCCAACAGCATATCTCGACGGTCTCCGAGGACTGGCGGCTCTGTTTGTCTTCTTCTGCCACTACTTCTACACCGCGTTCAGTATAGCCGACGGGTACGGAGCGAACGGCGGCAACTACATCTTCTGGAAGCTCCCGTTCGTACGCCTTCTATACAGCGGACCCTCGATGGTCTGTCTCTTCTTTGTCATATCGGGCTACGCCCTGTCCTTGAAGCCTCTGAAGCAGATCCGCAGTCGGTCCTTCGATGGCTTCGCCAACACCATGTCTTCCTTTGTATTCCGACGCGCCTTTCGCTTGTTCCTCCCGACCGCGATATCAACCCTGATGGTGGTCGTCCTCCTTCAGCTCGGAGTCTACGAGAGGACCCGGGACTTCGCAAACGACAAGCATTATATTCGCAACGTGGTAGAAACGCATCCGCTGCAGGCCGAGAGCCTCAAATGGCAGCTACACCACTGGGCGTCGGAGATGTTTGACTTTATTCATGTCTGGGGCTGGGAGAAGTTTGGAGGCTCCACCATGTACGACGTGCACCTGTGGACGATCCCCGTCGAGTACCGGTGCTCCATGATGCTGTTCTTGGTGCTATTCGGGCTCGCCCGACTCCGGACCGGCGTCCGGTTCTTCTGCCTGGCCGTCATCACGTGGTTCTCGCTGCGCAACGACCGCTGGGAGATGGTCCTGTTCCTGGCCGGCATGGCCCTTGCGGAGATGGATCTGATCCGCGGCGTCCACAACCAGCCGCCGCCGCAGGCCTTGACGAGCCCCGTGCTGCCGCTCTCGGAGAAGCCGAGCCACAAGCCGCGCGACCCGAAGCGGCACCTGTGGATCGCCCTCTCCATCCCCGCCATGTACCTCATGTCGCAGCCCGACACGGGCACCGAAGGCGTCCCCGGGTGGCAGCTCCTGGGGTCCCTGATCCCCGAGTACTTCTCGGACAAGTACCGGTACTGGCAGATGTGGGGCGGGATCCTGTTCGTCTTCTGCGTGGCGCGGTCGCCGCCGCTGCAGCGCGTTTTCACCACGCCCGTGGTGCAGTACTTTGGCCGCATCAGCTACGCGCTCTACCTGATGCACGGCCCCGTCATCCACACGGCCGGCTACATGGTCGAGCGCTGGGCCTGGTCCGTCACGGGCACCGACGGGGCCGCCTACACCCGGGGCTTCATGCTCGCCAGCGCCTTCAACATCCCGCTCGTCATCTGGGCCGCCGACGTCTTCTGCAGGGCCTTCGACGTGCCCACGGTCAAGTTCGCCAAGTGGCTGGAGGGCAAGTGCTCGATCAAGGAGTAATAGGGTCGACCGGCTGTTGTAGCAGCCAGCCGCGACAGATTGTATATATACTACGGCACCAGCGGGTGTAGCACAACGTATGTAAAGAAATGCTCTTGGCGAGAAAGATGTCGCTCGGCATGCATATAGCTTGGATATACCGAGGATTTGGTCTATCACACAATGGCATAGTCTCAGAGGTTCGGCGTTCGCGGTCTGGTCTGGTCTGGTCTGGTCTGGTTTGTTTGGTTCTCTATCATGGCACAATTGGTACTCCACGCACGGCGTTCCATGGGTTAGAAATGGGCATCAAGATAACTGCATCAAACGAACGATTTTCAAAGCACGACGAAGTAATAACTAGTCTCTTGATGCTCTTTCTCCTCTCTCTCACGATTGCCTACACTTGTTGAGCCTGTCGAGTCAGGTTTGACAGCCCGTGTAACGCAGCTAGCTGTGTGCTGTACGGGTGTATCAACTCGCCCAAATAGGGGCGCAACTCAGGCGTCCTCAACGACCGAGATATGTGGGGACGGCCCACTAGCGGAACGTTTCACAACCCCAGCCCGGGGGGCTCCACGGCCCACTCTATTCACCTATTCCGTCGCAGCGTTTGCCGCTCCACCAAGCCGGGCAAGCCGGGACTTTCCCAAGGTTAACACCAGCACAGTCTCCCGTGTGAGATACAGTAGCCATGGGCAGTGAGTTTAAAGGTTGTGGCTTTTCTCTGTAGGGGGTCTAGGTAGTCTATCTATTCATAGCGGAAAGACTGTGGCGTTACGCGTATGCCTGTCGTTGCGGATTAATCACCGTGATGGTATGCCGTGGTCGCCTCGTTACTATGCATACAGTTCGGGGGCTCTATGTCCCATGAGTACATAGGTAGGGAGAAAGCAGGGTGGGTGTTTCCATTAATGGCCAAGGCTCGGACCGCAATGGCAAGTTTGTGACGAAAAAAAGATGGGATGGATTGTTCAATAGCTGGTTCTTGTGAGTGCCGTGCGTCGCGTGGCTCAAAGTCTATGGTGGTCGTCAACTGAGACCCGGCTTGCCATGCTTTCGAACCCCTCCACGATCTTGAGCACGCACAGTCACCACAAACTGTTCACAGCTGGAGAAGCGTCGAGTCTCGTTCGTTCCACAAACTCAATTCGTTGTGCTAGTTCTACCATTGTACGACTACGGTCTTGACTGGCACGGCTACCGCTTGAGCCTGATCTGACCTTTCCTCCCGACATGACACCTCGTCATGGAAAGTCTATCAATCGTGAAGCCGTTCGCCACATGTTGTTGCGTACTCCAGCACATCCCCCCTCGATCGCAACGATCGCCGAGCCCGGGCTCTGATGGAAAGGCGCCGCAGCAGCTCTTCATGAGCAAAGTCAAAACCCCCTAAACGCAGACGCCGTTTTTCTGTCTTTCACCACCGATGTCTATGAACCGAGAAAACCCCACTAAATGGCAAATGAACCGCCACCGTGAATGACAGCTCGCGCTGCACGTCGAAGAAATAAACTGACATGGATCCCTCCTCGTCTCCACGTCTGATCTTGCAGTAGCGAGAGGGCAAAATCCTTCAGGTGCTTGAAGAGTTTTGCTTATTTCTTCTTACCCTTACCCTTGCCCTTTGTGGCCGAGGTCGTCGACGCTACGCTGGAGGCGCGCGACGAGGGCGAGTTGGCTTTGCTGCCCTTGACGTTATCGAGGGCCTTGTTCTAAACAATAATTAGTGTCTTGATATTTTTTGAAAATGCGTTATCGATGTGACTTACCTTGGCAGCCTTGGACTTTTTCTTGGATGGAGCCATGCCAAGGAGGCTATCCTCATCGTCCTCATCATCGTCCGCTTCACGCTTGCCTTTGCCGTTGACGCCATTCTTCATCGGGTGGATGTCTTCGAACTCCTTTACGATGGTGGTGAGCAGTGTGGTACAGCGTCGAGAGAGCTCGACAGGGGTACGGCTGAGGAAAAACCAGTCGAAGCGGAAGAGCGGGCTGTCATGGATCTCATCACGCATACGCTCGTACAGGTTCTCGGAGTCAAGGCCGTACTTGTCCAGGAGCACAAGGAGGAAGCGGTCTTCCTCCTCGTTGTAGACCTTCTTATTCGTGGTCGACACGGAGTAGTTTATCTTCATCTGCTGAAGCGGGACACGGTACTGCTGCATCTTCTTGCGGAGCATCTTACGTTGGTGCTCCGTCTTGCTTCGACGCTCGTCACCAGCCTCGATAACGGCCAGTGACTTTTCATGCTCTGCAATCTCGGTGTATCTCTGCCAGAAGACCTTAGCATAGGCCTTGATCTCCGCCGGATTCTTGCTGTCGATCTCGTCGGCGATCTTCTCGTAGTTGGTCCTGCCATACTTGGCGGAGCCGTTGATGAACTGCTGATAATCACGGCGGTTCCAGTCACCGAAACCTTGCAGTGACAGCTTGGCTTTCTCTTCCTGCTCTTCCTCGGTCAAGGGTGTTGCATTGTCGATCTCCTGCTGCTCGGCGTCTCGTTGTGCCTCGCGCTCAGCCAAGTCCTCATCGTCGCCATCAGCGACAGGGACCTTGTAGCCAATCTCCTTGCGGTAATATGCTGTCTCACGATCCTGCAGTTCCTGCAGTCTGGAGGGGTAGAACTGGTAATCGTGTACGGGAACCTGCCGAGGTGCTCGCGGAGCTTTTGGTTTCGACTCGGCCTTGCCACTGTTGCCGTAAATAGCCTGTCTGTAGAACTTGTCGACGGAGTAGGACTGCTCCTTGCGCTCTCGCTTGGCCGGGTTGATCCATGGCATGACAGCGTCCTTCTTCTTGCCTCCAAACTTCTCGCCATTCCATTCGTAAGCAGACTCGGAGGTGAACTTCTGGAGGTCGTCGAGACCGAGCTTCTCGTATTTGGCGTTGATTTCCTTGGTGCGGTTCTCTCCCTTGGCAAGGATAGCATCGATATCCTCATCGTCGAGGTCTGCCCCCTTGGCCGCCAAGCCGGTCGCACCCTTGGTCTGAAAGACGTTCTGCGCGCCGTGCTGGATCATACTCAGCAGCTCGTCCTTCCCGGCTGGTCCCTTAGCTCCCGGGTGGGCACGGCCTTGCTGAATGACAAGCTGATCGAGTCGCAATTTCTGGGCTGCACGCTCGAGAACTTTCTCTTCGATGGCGTTTTCGGTAACGAACCGATATACCACGACTTGCTTCGTCTGGCCGATTCGGTGAGCTCGGTCCATGGCTTGGAGATCGGCCTGAGGATTCCAGTCACTGTCGTACAAGACAACGATATCGGCAGAAGTCAGGTTGATACCCAAGCCACCAGCCCTGGTCGTGAGCAAAAAGATGAACTTTTCGGAGCCAGGCTTGTTGTACTCGTCGATGGCAGCGATTCTGTCTTCGTGGGCGGTTCCACCATCGATGCGGCAGTATTTGAACTCTCGGAAAACACAGTAGTCCTCAAGAATATCCAGCAGACGACTCATCTGGGAGAAGATGAGGACACGACTGCCCTGTTTCTGCATTCTCGACAGAAGCTTGTCCATGAGCGCCATCTTGCCAGAGTTGAAAACCAGATGCTCGTCAGTCGTATAGGGTGGACCAGGCTCGGCGCCTTCGAACAAATAAGGGTGGTTACAGCACTTTCGGAGCTGCATAACAATGTTCAACAGACGCGTCTTGGACTCTCGCTTGCCACCAGCACCGTTGACCGCATCGATATCCTTCTCCAGAATCTTCTGGTACCATTTGACCTGCATTTCAGACATGCCAATGTACAGATTGACCTCCTTCTTGGGAAGCAGGCTCTTCTCCACGTCGGCCTTGACACGGCGAAGCAAGAAGGGGCGCAGGACGCGGTGAAGTTGCTGCACGACGGTGTCCTGATCTTGACCCTGGCCAGAGAACCACTGGTCAAAAGCCTCCGAGTCACCAAAGACATCGGGTAGCAAGAAGTTAAGTAAGGCCCAAAGCTCGTGCAAATTGTTCTGCAGGGGCGTTCCGGTGATGAGCAACCGGTTGCGAGAGTTGAACATTCGGATGACCTGAGACAGGGAAGACTCCTCGTTCTTGATGCGGTGAGCCTCGTCGATGATGATGTACTCCCAGGCGAACTTCTTCAGATGCGACTTCTCGCGGAGGATCATTTCGTAACTCGTGATACAGACGTCAAACTTCTCATCGACGAGGCGCTCGTTGATGAGAGCGTGTCGCTCGTCCTTGGCACCCTGCAGCACCAAAACATTCACCTCGGGCGTCCACCTCTCAAATTCGCGCTTCCAGTTGTCGAGGGTAGACTTTGGGACTGCGACAAGATGGGGGCCCTTGATGTCCATGATGTGGCGCAGATAGCCCAGGAAGGAAATGGTTTGCAGCGTCTTTCCCAGACCCATCTCATCGGCCAGGATACCGGAGATACCGTTTTCGTGCAGTGAAATCATCCAGTTGAGACCAGCAATCTGGTAGTCCCTCATGACTCCCTGGATGTAGTGAGGGGTCTCGCGGAACACGGTCTCGGCTGAACCTCCTTGCCTCTCGTCCTTGAGGAGCTCTGCATCTTCTTCGGCCTCGGTACGGCGCACTCGGCCGGTGTTCGCGCCACCTTGTCGGGAACCCTTTCTCTTGGCCTTCTCGGCCTCCTCATTCTGACGATCAATCTCGACCATGATGTCGCGGATCTTGGGGTTGGGGTTTGTCTCGATGAAATGCCTGAAGAGATCTGTGAGGCCCAGCAGATATCGGAATCTGCGGATGCTGTCATCTTCCTGTTATCCGCCAGGGTTAGCAAATGGCCTCCGGGTGGGAGGCGCGCATATCGCGTGGATTTCATATATGTCCCGTCGACAGTACGCCACCTTGACTATATGCAGATTGGGGGCGGGCTAGGGATTGACCGACCTTGGACTCGCCAAGCGCATCGTGCTTCTTGCCAAATATGCTTCGTCGTAGCAGGTTGGCCTCTGATCTCTTCTTGCGGCCGTCTACGGGGTCTCCGTTGACACTGCTGGCTGTGGTATTCGGGTTTGTGTCCGAGTCGCTGTAGTCGGGGGTCTCGTCAACCTGCTGGCGGGGTAGTTAGCACCTCTGTCGAGAGACCAGGACCGGGAAGAGAGGCTACGTGTAGCATGCCGTGCTACGTTTCGGGTAGGATTTACTGGCCGACCAGGGCAGCCGTTCGCGGAAAACCAGAAGCTGGGGACAGGACGTACCATCTCGTCTGCTTGCGACACGTCGGGGGCGTCGGACATTGACGCGTCGGTATCGACGGCGCTGGGCCGTGATCGAGGCGCCATCGTGTGCGTAGGCCGTCGCGTTCTGCGTTGTTGTGTGGGGTGGGTGCGGTGGTCGAGTATGTGGCTGTTCGGCGGGCGAGCACTCAACGCGACTCGAGACGCGACTGGTGTAAGTGGGCGAACGCGCTCGGGGAAAAAAGCGGTCGACTCGCGGCTGAGCGGCGTTCTTGATGCCCGGCGTGGTTCTGATGCAGGATCTGGCGAGAGTGCGACGTCGAGGCTGGGAGGGAGCTCGGCGGGCGTGGTGATGAAGGGGGGAGGAAAAGTAAGGCCCAGGGTGGGTGGACCTGCAGACGATAAAGTTGCGTGCGTTTGCTCTGCGAGACCCAAGGCCAGTCCCGGGACGCGGTTTCTACTGACGCGGGTCGTTAATTGGCTGCTCGGCGCGGATCAAGTTTTGGCCTCTCTCATCTTCTCGTCTACTTGCCCCATGCGTCTATTGGCATAGACGGGACCCAACTAACTTAGTAAACTCTTGACAACCCGCCGGACACGAACGAGTCTTACCCCACGACCAACGGCACCACCTGGCCACCTCGAAGAATGCAAGTTTCCATCAGCCCAAAGAGTGGATTATCTACGATTCCAGTCTGCATTTCAACTGCTCGCAATCTACGAGTTTCAGTCTTTTGCTTGATACCGCCTTTGCATCAGTATACTATTGGACTATACAACTCTCTTGGATGGTAACTAGTGACAAGAAGTCGAAAGCGCCACTGGGCAGTACATGCAGCTCGCGATTGTCCATGGCAGCTCGTGGAAGACATTTAGAGTATCTGGCGATCTGTATGGAGCATTTGGAGTCGCCCTTGTTGGCTTGACTTGGTTGCTGCCGTATCGTCACACTAAAGATGACGTTAGACCTCAATTAGGAAATCCTTCCTCGACTCTCAACACGGCTTGTCATGCGCTTGTCCAGAGACTCGATGTATGCTTCACACTATGGGAAATCCAGATCGAAACGACCTTGCGTAGTTCCCGAGGCTCGGGCCCTGATGGGGAGTGGGCATTGCCATGCTGCGTGAGCGTGCCCCTGCATGGCGCGCAGCCAATCAGAGCCCGCGATTCTACTATAGCCAGACTGTATAGAGAGATACCGTGCAGGACTTTGGTCAGCTGCTTTGCATGGTGAGTATGTTGGGGTTCTTGGGGTGCCGTTGCGCAAAGGCTGCCGAGCCGTGTACGGGACGTCGCGGGCGAGAAAAGAGGGCGGGCACGAAAACCTGCAATCGTGGTGGGCGTGGTTGTCTATCCCTTGAGATCCCCTCCAGGCGGAAACCATGCCTCCTTCGCCCATGTGGATGCACCAGTGGATACACCAATCAGAAGACGGCTTTCTTCAAGACCCCATCGCTTTTACGGATTCTGCCAGTCTTGTTTGAACTGGATTGAGAAATGGTGTTGCCCATTTGGTGAACGGCACCTGGTCGTTGCGCTTCCCGCTGGCGTTGGATGGTTCTCCCGGGGTGAGACCCCGGAACGGGAGTCGGCGGAAGCACGAGCCATGCGCAAATTCGGGACCCTCCTTGGGCGCAGACGAGGTGACGTGCAAACCGAAGGGAGAGCCACGGTTGACGGGGGGGGTGTGCACTAATGGCCCAAGGGAGCTTAGTGGCAGATCTATCGTGTGGCATCTGATTTCGGGTCGATGGGCTAAGCCCAGCAGGCCTACCTAGCTAAGGTTGCTGGTGAGCTGGCGGACAAGTGGGCAGGATTTTGCGTAGACGGACGGACGGACTGTGCTGTGGCAGAGGCAGCGCAGCACATGGCAATGGGCGGGAGTGACAATTGCCCATTGCCTATTGCCCATTCTGTCCACTGCCCACCAAGGGCAAAGGTCTTCTGGTCCCCATAGAATACATAGAATAGAATGCCATGGTCTCTGCGCTGGCCCTTCTTCTGCCGGCCAATAATGGCCAACAAGGTCAAAGCGCTTCCCCGGGCCTGATCTCATCGACGGCCGACGCAGCGCAACGCAACACAGCAGCAATCACATCGCAAGCTGCCGTCAGCTAACCCCATCCCATCCCATCCTATCCCACCCAGCCCATCGCTTCCGCTCCCCGTTTCTTCCTCTTTGTTATCTCCTCCATCAGCTGACGTGAAGCGACCCATCTGACTGACTGATCCCCCACCGACCCTCGAGGCATCGCTTCCTATTTCTTCGCCCTCTCCCTTGGCCCGCTCGTCGAGCCTCCCCTTTGCTCTCTTGGGGTGTCTGATCATCGTCGCCGCCGACCCGGGCACCTCACTCCGAACCCTCCAGAACCCGAGCCCACCACCAAGGGACCCAGCACCCAGGACAGGACCCATCATCCACCACTGGTCCAGAAGAGGCCCCCCCGGCCCACTTCGCACCCAAGAACCGAAAAAACCCCCACCAAACCACTGCGCAAAGTCGCTCGACCAACAGAGAACGGGAACGAACCCTCTGCCGTTTCCGACGTCAGCTCCCCAGCATCTTGCACCACGCACCACCACCAGGCATTCGACGCCCGTTTTCTTTTGTCCACGACGCACAACTTGGCTACGGCTGCATCCCTCCTCGCATTGCAGCTGCGCCCCCCTCGATCGCACCCGACAGCGACAGCATTCCACCACCATGGACCACCTCCGAGGCTCCTCACCGACAAAGACCTCGCCTCCCGGCAATGAGTCACCCGAGCAGCTGTTGGACGTCTTCAGAGCCGCCGCCCTCTCGGTCACAAAGCTCTACAAGACATCGGCCGCCGCCCAGAACAAGGCCCGCACAGACGGCTACCAGGACTGCCTGGAGGACCTACTGGTCTTCCTCGATAAGCACGACATTGGCCTGAGCGATGGAGAGGGCTGGCGGATCCGCCGCTGGGCCACCGAGCGGTTCGACCGCGAGGGCGTGACCCAGTCCATCGAGAGCGAGGACGAGGCCGACAAGAACGAGACAGTCTCGTCGCCAGAGATCCACCGATCCGACGGCACGCCACTCTCGACCGTCACCCAGCCCGAGCCCGAGATGAGGACAGATTCGGCCCCGCCGGCGCCTGTGCCTGAGCCCGCACCCATCCAGTCAGCAGCCGAGGCCGCCTCGACGGCGCCGCCTCAGCCCATCGTGGTTCCGACCCAGGACAACTTCACATTCCAGTCGTCCATGGCTTATCCGCAAGATACCGATCTTAGTATGGCCAACCTCGACCTTTCGGATTCGCGCACAAACCAAAATCTACCTCATCGCCACACTTCTCACTCGTTTCGCCCGCGGGGCACAAAAAGCGTACCCCGGGCCCGAGCTTCCCACCTTGGTCGAGGTGCTGGGCAGAAGCGTAAGATAAATATTGCCGAGATCTTCGACCTGGGAAGCATAGGAGGCAAGGACATATTCGGAGGTGGCAACGGAGGAGGGAAACGGTCTCGGCACACATGAGCATACGACACCTCAGCCCCTGCACACAAGGGCATGGTAGATGAGTTTGGAATCACGGACCACTTTCGATACCCAGCGACTAGATAGGAACACGGCGCAACTCGGTTCTCTCGCATTCAGGGTGGCATTTCACGGCATTGCATGGCATGGCATGGTATGGTATGGTACGGTACGGAGAGCAGCATTAGTGTGGAGTTCTTGTTTGCTACCCTTCTTCTTTCCCGGGTAAGCACCGATGGCGGTGGTCGCATCCGTGTCGGGTCCATGTTATAACACGAGGTCACGACTGCCAGCTTATAGCTGAGAGCATATTCTTACTTCTTCTTTCAACCACTATGTGGCTCCCTCACCCGGAGTCCGCAACGGGGGCAGCCCCTTTTTGCGATCTGTACATAGGGTCTTCTAGCCTTTAGCTTGACATCCAGAGCGAATACAGTAAAGTCCAAACAGCCACAGCCCTGGTTTTTCCGCCTGACACCAAACTCCGCCCTGAAAAGGCGTACCCAGCCACAATCAGCCAGTTTCTACACTCACCATAGCGCATGAGCTACATTCATCATCAGGCTACAAGGTCTCTAGAGATAGTTTGAACAGTCTCAGTCCCAGACGAACACAAAGTTTCTTGCATCTAATCTCGAAAGATCAGATTATCAAATCAAACCGCTTTTTTGCATTGTTCTCTCAGATAGCGTCACATATTCGTGGTTCGTTTAATGAAGCTTCATCGCCAAATTCTTCCAGTGAGCGATAGTTGTGCTAAGTGTCCTCCACAGCCCTGCGGCCAGGATGCTGGATGTTGGTGTATTCGGTGAGCAGGCAACCCAGCGCTGGGTACAGATCAATCCTCATACGCTTTCAGCTAGCTAACAAATTGTGCGCAGCTTTCGATGGGCAGCCCCCGGGCTACGGACAGCATGGGTGCGGAAAGTAGCCATTCCGCAAACTCGCCCGCAGTAGAAGCACCATCTGACCTGGACGCAGGCGGCGTGCAGAGGACCATTCTCTTTGGGGTCGCTTAAGCATTGAATGGTGTGCCTCTTCTACACCCAATTGGCGGACGAGAACCTGAGGCTCATGTAGTCACCTCAGCTGCGACGCCCCAGTTCGCTTGGCTGGCTTCACGTCAAAAGAGACCATTGGCCAAGGCAGAGCGAACAAAACGCCTTCGAGGGAGCCTTATCGCATCACGCAACTTGGGGCTCGTCCTCATTGCTTGTCTTTTCCTTATGTTCAGCTGCACTTCACTTTCACCAAACGCGCAACAAACGCGAATGTTTTCTATCACAATCGTCGTCTCTACCATGTTGATGGCCCCAGAATGGCTGAGGCAATAGGTATCGCAGCCGCGTGTCTGGCATTTGTAGAGGCGGCCAAGTTTACAATCACAACTATCGACAGATTTCGGAAAAGATCGGATACCGCTCTTGAGCATATCAACACAGTCCGCGACGAGGTGCGAAATTTGAGCAACGTTTTAGGCTTGATCCAGCGAAAAGTTTCTCTAGATAAGAATGGCACAGTCCGCGAGCCCTTCGACCCTCGCATCACGCCTATGGTCAAGAAATGCCACGAGACGATCACGCAGGTGCAGGATCTCGTATCTGAGTATGATAGACTGGGGAAAAAGACTGGGGTAGCGCTTTGGGCTACCCGAGGGCACTCGCAAGCGAAAGAGTTACTGCAGACTTTGAGCGATGACAAGGCAGGGCTACAGTTTGCCCTCCAAGCCCTCGACGTGTAAGTGCCGCAGCTAAACTTGAGTTGCGATACGCTTGTCTTCATGCCGCTGAATACCTGATTAGGGCACTCTCGCGAGACGCTCTTACGAACGGAGATGAAATATTGTCCAAGACGACGGCGGTACTAGACAAGACGGATATAACTCACCGTGCAGTTTTAGATATGCAGCAGAAGTTTGAGGACCTGCTGAAAGAACACAAGAGGCTGCGAACTTCGCCATTCCAGGGAGACTATGAGCAGCGGAGAGAGTGCATAGACTCGCTAGCCGACCTCGCCGCATCATTCGTCGATTCGTACGATTTAACGAGCCCCGAGTCCTCCATCATGAACTTCTCGACAATTGGACTTTGTCCCTCCAGAAGTCTGAGCCCCTTGCAACGAAGCCGTTCCTTCGGGACCCCCCTTGACGAGATACTCCATAGTCCCCAGGTACCGGCTGCAACCACATCTTCGACCCCTAGCCCTAGCAGGACGAAATCCGCACGTCGCGCTGCTTCGTCGGAATCTGCGAGGATTCCGCTCTCGGAAGGTTTCACAACCTGGTCCACCACGCAGTCTTGGATGAAACCAGACAGGGAGCTGATCAGGGAATCAGAAAGAGCGAGGAGAAACCTATCGCTAAAGAAGCGAGCCGCATTAGACGAACAACTACGTCAAATAAGTGGTACGACAAAGCCAGGGCACCTGATGGTATTACTAAAGGGCGGTGCCTCTGCTGACGCCACGACTACACCTTCTAGTGACCGGTCGCCAGCATCACCACTTTACCGGGCCATCTTTCATCGCAATTACCCATGTGCGAAGGTGCTGCTAGCATATGGCGCCGATCCAGACGCGGTCGTTGGGGATAGAAGCTATATGCAACTCGCCGTCAGAAATGGCGACACCGAAGCGGCGAAACTACTATTCCGGGCAGGCACTCGTCAGAAGCTCTTAGAGGCCATGAATGATGCCGTGTCCAAGGAGAGCACCACGATGGTCAAGCTTCTGTTGGAGAACAATGTCACTCCAGATCAGTCTTCGCTGAAGCTTGCTGTTTCGCGCAGTCATGTCGAGCTCACACGGATGTTACTTGACAGGGGCGCTGTCCCGGACATTTTATGTCTCAAGAAGGCGATCAGTTTGTCTGTCCCGAAGATACTGCGACTCCTCCTCGACAGTGCCACATCCTTCGCTCGAAAGGCCAGCTCCATACCTAACAGAATCTTTCTCAAGGTCACAACACATATACCAGAGCTTTTGCGTAAGGTCTCTAAGCAACTGTCGAAAGCGGCCTCGCTCAAGGATGTGGATTCCACCTCGTCGATGTTCAAAATGCTTCTCAAACATGGCTCCCGGGATGAGATACGCCGACTGGGCACACGGCTTAGTCTCCTTAACCACGCGATATCCATGCCTTTTAAGACACCCGGAACGTCCATGCAGGATCCGCTACATAAGGCCCATCAAGACATGTGCAGGAACATCTTGCACGCTGGTATAGAGGCCAATGCAGGTGGCTCATGCGACGTTGAAGAGGTGGCACACACTCCAGTATCCTGTGCCATCCGGCATCAAGTCCCCTTACTCCCTGATGCGAGCTGCGTGACTGAGACAGTCCACCTGCTTCTTGATAATGGAGCCTCAGTAAACCAGCCAAGCCCTCAAGGACGTCCACTGCTGCTCGCGGCACGAAAGGGACACGAGCAGGTGGCATCATTATTACTGACATCGGGAGCCGAATACAATCCATTAGCCGATAATGAAAGCCTTCGGGTCCTTGAGGAATCCGTGTATCGTGACTGGACCTCAGTAACCTCGACACTTCTCAGACGCAGCCCCTCCCTGCCTCTTGCGTTCGTGGATAACAACAGCCAGGCCTTCCTCACGGCAACGATCAAGTCCAAAAACGAGCCACTCGTGACGCAGCTTCTGGAAGCCGGGTTCAAACCTCAGACAGGTGTGATGAAGCTAGCTATCGACAACAATCTAGGTAGCGTTATCCCCAATCTACTCGCGTCCATCACCTCGGATGGCTTGGAGTACCGTCGATTCTTAGACCAAGGCCACAACATGGTCTACAAGGCAATCATGCACCGGAATGGAGAGGTGGCGACCGCTATCCTCCAGTCGCCGATTCAATGCGGTACAAACACCCTGACCATGGCCGTCAGATACGGCATGACAAACACAGTGCGGTCGCTTTTGTCCAATGGAGTATATATCCGGCGCGACGACGGGCCGCACGCTCTTCGTACGTGTATCCATCGGTGCATAGACATCGCTGCGGAGAACTGCTCGTATCACATGCTTGACGTCCTCTGGAATTTCTTATCAGAACACCGCTTCCCTTTGCCTCTCCAAATACTAAGAAAGGCTGTGAGAGGAACCAACGCCGAGTTGGTCGCATTTCTTCTGACAGGGAAGTTTCCTTTCGACCTCCAGCTACTAGAAGAGACGTCGAATGTCGAAATGATGATCTGCGTCTGGAAGAAGGCTGCCGAAACGTCCTCCCTATACGGTGACACCCGATATCTATTCCCACGGGAGCCATCGACGCCCTCATTTCTACGAAAGGCCGTACGCACCGGTAACATAGAGATAATCGACTCCATGTTCACCGCTGCTCAGCGAAGGCATAAACGCGGTCTCTGGGGGTTTATCACACTCCAACTCGCCTTCACAGATCCACGAGTCTCCGAGGCCACACAGCAATACCTGTTACAGCACGCATCAAACCGCGCCGGGGCCCTCGTCTTCGCCGCCGAGCGCCAGCTGCGCGACAGCATCGAGAAGTTCCTGGACGACGGGGCCGATCCTAACTGGGGCATCCGCGACTTCGCCCCATGGCATTGTCCCACCGACAACCCCGTCTGCGGGTTCCCTCTGATTTACCACGCTATCATGCAGTGCGACACGCACTGGGTCAAGGACCTCATCAGTGTGGACAAGGTCCGGGTCAACGACGTCTACTGCCGGCAGCCCGTGGTCTCTTTCGCCGACGTGCGCGTCGAGTCGCACTACTGGACGCCGCTACACATGGCCGTCGTGCTCTTCACCAGCAGCCACCGGCGGGGCCCGCGGCTGGAGACGAGGCTGGAGTTCATCGCGAGGCAGGACCGCCTGCGCAAGATCATACGCGACCTGGTCAACGGCGGCGCCGACCCCAAGATCATGGTGGGCATGTGGATCCGGTCGGAGCGCAACGCGCGCCCAAGGCATGTCTCGCCGGAAGATCTGGTCAGGAAATTGTATCCTAGGAAGTTGTTTCCGACCTGGGGCGGCAGTACGAGGAGCAGGTTACTAGCTGCTTTGGCTGAGTGACAAGGAGCGTACCGAGGCGCATACAAAGGGGCATATCGCCTTTTACACGTGAATGACGAGAAGTTGACGTTTTACTCCTTCGCGTGCTAGCCTGAGACATCTTTCTTCGACTGCGAGCAGATCCAACTGTGCAAGGACCAGAATCTCGAGCCGACGTCATCGGCGAAGTCGACGTTCGTGGACCTTATGACGCTCACAACTCACCGACTGGTTGATATAGGACTAGAACGTCCGGGCTTGCGGAACACAGCTATGAATTCAGGTTTTACTAGCTCAATATTTATAACTCAAAATGATGAACTGGTAAGAGCGGTCCCGATGTTTATGTCTCCATGCGTGGCAAGTATGTGGTTTACATATAGATAGCACTGTACATACATCTAAGAGTCCTCATAGTCCAATCGCCAGCTATTTACAATCCAGCCGTATTTAACCGCAGAGTTGGAGGTAATCGT